CCCGCCGTTTATAATAAACGATATTATAATGCAGTTCACCGTAATATTGTGAATTACGTAGGTATACGCTCTGTCCGAGACCCGTCGAATTTCCCGAAAATAAATATCGAAATATATCGTTACGCGTCCGTGCGGCTGCAGGGAGGCTGTGTCCCGGGTACCTACTCGTAACGTACCGTATAAGAAGCGCGCGCACACTGGGACGTATTCAGATATTTCGCGTCCCGGGAGAAGAAAAAAAAAAAATTCGCCCCCGTCCCCAACCCAATGTTCTTCGGAAATATATTTGTGAAAAACATCTGTCATCAGCGCCGTTGATGTATTTTGCGCGAAAACGATTGATTATGTATTTGATTAACGTTCGAAAGCTTGTGTTGAGGAGCGGTTCTCATCAATTACGATATTGTGCCTACACAAAACAACATGTTGTGATAATTAACATCGGAATACAAAACATATGTTGCACGACGTTAAATATAGAAAAAAAATGTTAAAATAAAAAAGGGAAACCGTAGCCATAAGTAAATACGTAGTATTTAAGTTTACGCTAATTTAAACTATACATTAGAAAACCCGAGACACTAAACATAACTTCAAAAGTCCAAATTAATGTCAATAAACGGTTCACGTTAGTATTTAATTTTCGGCGTGGTTTTAGACCATTATATAAAACACTCGTTTGGCAAAAAAAATTTATCGCGACTAGGTAAACGTAAATCAACGGCGTTCTTCGTTATGCCCGGAATCTAAAACACGTATTAGGTAGGTATACGTAAAAAATACGTTCGTTGACAAACAATATACATTGTACATAAGCGTAGTAGGTGCATTGATCATAAATTATACGAAATGTATATAAAGTGCGAAACTGTGTGTTTAGTCGGGGATTGTTGGTTTTCTAAAAAATATATAACAGAAAAATGACAAACACATTGAAAGTTTTAACGCGGTTCGCTGTTGAACAAATTCGAGAATAGAGAATATCTTTCTAGAAATGTTGATGTGCATAACACCGACATCAGATTTACCGTTGGTAAGGTAGTGAATTGCCTATCCAATAACCCTTCCATGCTCCGCCGGACTCATAAACGGGGTAAATCTGATATTATCGTTATGCGTATCGAAATTTCTAGACGGATATTCGCCGTTCGAATCGAAAACAGCGGCGGCAAGGTGGCGGGGGCGGGTTCCTATTTGAAAATAAAAAGTATGTACACTCGTTTGAGGCGCACGGATTACGGGGTGAACGATTGAAAACGGTTTTGAAACAGAGCGCGAACGATTCCGCGTGACGATTAGAAAAAAAAAACCATTTCCCGCGCGAAAAACGAAATAACAACGCGCCCGTGCCTCGCGCAATATCGTCGATACGATAATATTGCCGAGCAGAAATGTACGCATTATAATACAGGGGGTACCTACGGTAACGCACACGGCGGGGCGGGAGCGGGGAACCGCCGGCGGAGACTCGCGGCGCCGCGCCATACAAAGCGGGCCGACGAGCGCGAATACCGCCGGCGGTCTTTGCCGGGTGACTAGTGATGTGGGAGCGCCGAACAGGTGCCCGGGCGAAACGATGTTTGTGCGTTCGGTTGACTGCAAAGGCTAATACGTCCCTTCGGGGAAAACGCGCCGTTCTCGGTTCATTCGACTATGAACCCGAAAGATAATAAAACGTCGTCGTCGTCGTCGTCGTCGTCGTCGTTGGGCGCGCACATGGTAATATTGTATAGGGTCTCCCGGTGCTGCGTTGAAAAATAATAATAATAAAAAACAAAACCTACCCCCCCCCCCCGACGGACGGACGAAAACCCGTGTCGTACCCGAGGTGAACCGCGAGCGTGTATGATACGAAATCGAAAACAAAACAGATGGAATTAAAAAACAATACGGACTTCCGGGAAACCTACGAATTCGGCCGACCGTATTATCCTGCCGCCGCCGCCGCTCCCCCCCCCCCGTTAAACTGGGCTTGGACTTATGATAGGAAAAAAGAAAAATGTATCTTTTTTACGTTTTCGGCTATTTATATATACCGGCTAAATGTTATGCAGCAATTTTAATGTTTAACGCCATCGGGAATGTATTGGTTTTATAATGATGTTTATTAAATATATATATTTTTTTCTTTCTCCCTTTTTTTTTTTTTTTTTTTTTTTTTATCGTACAAAATATCCATCATAATTATCAAGTGCAAGTGAAACTGGTTCAAAATGCCATAATGACGATTCCGGATATCTTGGAAATACTTTGAATGCAACAAGAACAAAACACTTCTTATTTATGTAATAGTTATGGAAAACTAAGTGAGAACAATCGGTTTGCGGAGATATAATAAAATAATGTATATTTAGAATCGAAATTGGAAACAATTGATTTAATTTGAATTTTAGATTCCGGGTGTATCTATTGGATTTACAATGATGTGTTGTTTTTTTTTTTCTATACTGTGACAAAAATGTCTACCGGAAATCTTACTTGAATATGTAAGTGTAGCACCTTTCCTGAGAGAAAATATTGTCATACTAATTAGCTGGTACTTTAGAAAGGCCATTTTTATGATTTTCCAAGCACTTATCATAGTATCCGGAAAATCCAGGATAAAACGTAAGAAAAACGGGAAAATTTACGAAAATAATGTGTTTATTAGTTTTCAATTTCGTTTTTTGTTGTAATTCAGTTAAAAATATTCGTAGAGACTTGAAATTCGGACTGAAAACTTATATTTGCCTTTTATTTTTTTGAATTTTTGAGCAATTTATAGAGATTTTATTTTTGCGAGTTGTGTACGTAATTTTCAATCGGTTAGGTTAGGTTCGCCCATCACTTTTAAATATTCATCGAAATGAAAAGAATATAGGAAATATTGTCAATCAAACCGCTTGCAAAACGCTGCTTGAAATAAAAGTATTTTGGGTCATCTAACTTTTATTAATTTTTATTATTAGTATTTTTACTCATATTATCATTATTTTAAATATTATTTATTTAACGCGAACAAAATTAATTTGATTTATAAATAGTTCTGTTTTACTGCATTTGTACAGTATACCCGCAGTCTTCTAAACTAATATAAGTTGAAATGACATCAGGGAATGTACCACCTGTAATGTTGCGTATTATTATTATTATTATTATTATTGTTTTTGAAACGGGCACCAACACTCGGAAACGAAATACAAATTAAACATAAATATGCAATACATTTCGATGTAATTTTCCACGCCATCAAAGCTCGGCAAACGACAATCGGTAAAAAAAATTGTAATATTAATATTATACCTAACTTGACGCGTTTTTTTATAATGGTGTTCCCCCAAGTGGTCCTAATCCACTAGTATTATTACAGTGGAGCATAAATTATCGGTGTTTTCACGTGATTCGATATTTTAGATTGGAGAACGATACGAGTATAATATACTCGTGCATTTGTTGTCTGCGTCTTACAACCACAGTGAACCACGCGACACAGCAAATTTGAGTTTACGCGGAACAACTTTGTGCAGTTAGGTAGTTTTAATATTAGAGTGAATTGGCCTATTTTATAAAACTTGAAGGTAAGATCATTATATGTGCTTGTACTCTGGTTTTTTACGACATTTTAGTTACCGAACGAGATATAAGCTTGTGAAATATCATAATGTAAGAATTATCAGTGACTGTGTTTCGCTCGCTCGTCGTAGACAGCTGCGTTACAGGAGTGTGACAGTAGTTTTGATTTAAGGTTTGTGAGTGACATTGACTGCCACATGCTATTTCATTATTGATTTCATAATTGATATCAACAATGCAATTTAAAATTCACTTAAAATGGTTTCAAATAATAAAATATTGGAATGAACTAAAAAACAACCTTGAAAATTAAAAACGTCAACAAATTCAAAATAAAACTTTAATAAATGAATTTGTTGTTACTTAATTCAAATTATGTACTTAGAAAGCTATGTTTCACAATCAGCTAAATAAAAATGCACTTTCCTACAAATTCACAGCCCTAACTATGATATATGGTCTAAATTTGGACTTCTCCTAGATACCATTAAATATTTAATTTTTCCTTGTTTACACATAGAACTATGGTTTTATTTGCTCTCAAGCGTTTAGACGTAGAATTTATGACTCCGCCTCTCCCATCATTACAATGTCATCTGTAGCATACACCAATATTACACGTCCTCTATATAATTCAATCTTTGGATAATCCCATATTTCTCTCATTGCTTTTTCTAATGCTAGATTAAATAGAATGGCAAAAAATAGAAAAGGCATCACCTTGTCAAAGGCCTAACTTCACTTCAAAGGTTACAGACATTTCTTGCATGAAACAAACTCTGCACAAAGTTTTATTGTTACATACTCTTATAAGACTTACATTAGTGGTGCCAAAGTAGTTTAAAATATTTGGGCAAACGAGATAATACTTTATTATATCGGTCTTCTTTGGGTGTAATATATTATATTACTCATAGTACTATTTGTTATAGTTATATTTTCTACAAACACTACTTACACTATGTATATTTCCCACCACTAACATCACTCACCAACCCATAACCAAAGAATTTGGTCAAGCAGTCGCTCGACCTGCACCCCAAGTTCGGGGCCACCGACTTGCACAAATACTTTTTAGTAATGCTTAGTATGCCCAATGCTTTCTATTATGCTGTCATAAGTCTGTTTTAGTCTATAAAAATAAGGTGTAATTCTTTGTCAAATTTATAATGCTTAGCCATTAACTGCCTCAGTGTAAAAATATGGTCCAGTGTCAAAAAGTAATTATTGTTGAAAAACAAAATCCCCAGAATTTGGATACTTTTGAATATCTACTTTTTTTTAATCATTATTCAATATATTGTGGACAAAAATAACCAAAGTTTATTCAACATAAAATACAAGTAGGGTAAACGAAATTTAAAAACACTGAAAATTAACTAGACACATAAATATTACGTATATTCTTTTAAGAAAAAAAAAAAAACATGAAATTACATAATGATAATATTTTAATAATTAGTACGATTCGACAAAAAAAAAAACGAGTGATAATAAAGTATAATTTTACGAATAATAATAATAATAATAATAATAATAATAATAATAATAATAATAGTAATAATAGTAATTATAATATTATGTGTACTGTGAACATACATTAAAAATGATTGATAATCATATAAATATGTGTATTATAATAAAAATAATATAGAACACGAGTAGCTCAACACATTTACTTTGGACTTTGGTGTCTGTCCTACAGGGAATATTATTAAAATATGCTAAACAATAATAATAAATTATGGATCCAATAATTTTTTGTTTATATATCATATAATATAATGGTGAAGAATTAAATTTTGAACGATAATGACAATAATATTATAAAAATAATACGCAGCGATTTCAACTATCACCCGCTTATATAATTTCCCATTGTAAAACGCTGGTGTCTTTGCCGCCAATAGATATCAGTCTGGAGTCGTCGTGCAAGAAAGTCACATTTGTCACATGGCTGCTGTGACCTCCATATGCGTGACAAAGTGACTGTGGACAAACAATAAAAACAAAACATTTTGGTAAATTATTCAATCACACAAATTACATCTCAATATATTGCATTTTTAAAAGTAATTTTTTTTAATATAACTGCACTATTTGAATATATTTGTGGGATTTGAAGAAAAAGACATGAATTATTATGAATAATGAAATAATAAAGTAAAAACAAAGTTATTAAAATGGTTAATAGTTAATACTCGTTTTTAATTAAAAAAAACAATTAATACAATGTGAATCTGTAATAAATCTTACAAAATGTCTAAATCAAAATCAATAAAAACTACGAAAATAAGCCTGATAAAATATTAAAACAAAATAATTCAGAAATAGTTCCGATAGATAAATCTAATGCTATTGTTATCATTTACACTAATGAAATTCATAAAAAAAACTTCAGATTATATAAATAATAATAATATTCAAAAATTATCATATGACCCAACTATAGTTTACACTAAACAAATTATTAAACTGATAACAAATTCGAAAGAAATGATACCTAAAGTCTAAAAGAAAATATTATTAAAATCTGATTACAAAATAGAGGCTCCACACTTACATCTATTTATCAAATTACATAAACAAGATAATATGATTCATCCATTAATTAACTTCAAAACTACTCCAGCTTATAACCTTGCTAAATATTTAAACTCTCATAAACGAAAAATTAAACATGAATACTTCTATAAAAAACACTTATGATTTTATTGATAAAATTAATAAAATTAATATTGAGCCAAGTTACAAAATGATTTCTCTTGAAGTCAAAAATATATACACATCCATTCCTAAACACGAAACAGTCAATTTTTTAAAAAATAAACTTATATAGTAATGGGTATATAGTATAAACGAAGTACAAAAAATTATTCAATCAAAACTATTTCCAGTATAATAACAAATTATATTCGCAAAAAGAAGGTTTAGATATGGGTAGTTATTTAAGTGCTCTTTTATCTGAAATTTACATGTGAAATTATGAAACAAATAATATTATTAACAACAATATATACAGTCTATATATAAAAGCATATTATAGATATGTTGATGACACTTTTATTTTATTTAGAGGTTCAAAATAGGCAAGCAGACAATTTAGTTAACTACTTAAACAAAATAAATAAAAACATTCAATTTACACTTGAAATACAAATAAATAATAAGTTTAATTTCTTAGATCTTACAGTTTTCATAATAAAGAATGAATTTGATTTTAGTATTTACAGAAAACATACACAGACTGATACTATAATACCACATGATTCTAATCACCCTTATTCTTAAAAAATATCATTTTTAAATCAATATTCTATACGTTTATACATTTGAATGTATTCCATTAAATAAACACAATTATCAGCTCAATATTATCTATAATATAGCCCATAGAAATAATTTCAATTTAAATACTATTAAAAAAATTCATAAACATGATAAAGAAAAAATAATACACAACTCACCAAATAATGTTGTTAACATTATGAAATATCAAAAATAAAGTAGTATAAAGTATATAAAGTAGTATGAAATATCAAAATAATATGTCTAACGAATTTGCTAAAATTCTGAACAATAATACAAATAGTGTAAAAATTGCTTTAGGACTAATAATAATTCAATCAAACATAATACATACAATAGAACTAAAATAACTTCACAAAAGTCCTCCTTCTTTAGAAAATGCCGGTATAATATATAAACTTAAATGTAACTGTAATAAATTGTATATAGATAAGACAAACAGACATCTTAAAATAAGTTATAAAGAACACATTTCTGAAATAAAATTTAAAAAGACTGCCCTTAATTCAAATTGCGCTAAACGTGTTTTAGAAAATAACCATAATATAGACTTTGATATTAATGCAGACTTAGAAATATTAAATACGGAAAATAACATTTACATTGATTCAGTTTTAGAAGAATTACATATATACAATGAAATGAAGAAAAATAATTTTTAAATAAAACGAGCAATTATTTTTTCTAGGTATTCCTTTATTTTATTTTTTTTATATTCAGTTGCTTTTTACATTTTGACTTTGATATACCTGATGATGTTTTTAATTCAAAACTGGTCGCATAATACACTTATCATAATACTCCAGGCGACGCATTTATTAATTAATTTTTTATTTATGTATAATTATTATGAGTTACTTAATTATGGTGCATACAGTTTATAGCTTCACATTTTATTGACCAAGTATAGTATATTTTCAAATGTAAAAAAGTAAATTGAATGATTTTTTTTTTTTGGCTTCCTACATTGAGAAATTACCAGTACCTAGTCTTTATTGAAGAAAAATAAAATAATGTGTTTTTTAGTATAAAGTTAATAAATCATTGAACTAAAAAATAATTATTACTTTATTCAACTGAAAAAAAATTGTTGTTGATTAACTATTATGCTTTATATACCTTTGGTTGCTTGACCGGATAAGAATAGAGTTTCACTTTTCCAAAATCGTCACCTGTGGCCATTACTTTGGATCCATTAGACCGCTCACAAGCATTAACATCGGTGCCATCAGCACCTTCGGGCCATATTCCGATGGTGGAAAACGTTAAAACGCACGAATTGGATGCCCAAACAGTGTCTCTGAGTTGAGTGCTATGAGGCACTTGACGGCAAACTTTTACTTTCCCTATAAAAAAGAAAAAAAACCAAATAAAATTGCAATTATAGTTTGTTAGATTTTTTTTTTAAATTTTACTTACAGTACAACAATTCGTAATCCCCAGAGTTACTGCGTAAGTATTCATTATCTTTTGACCAATCAATATGTGTGATAAAGCTTGAATGTCCCTGGTTAAATACAAATATTATAAATTAAATTTGATTTGAATTTGTCATAACTATAAAATATACTATTATGTACATTGAAGTACCAACACATATAATATATTTTTATTTCCATTTTTTAAAAAGTTAGCAGAAACAAATGGTTCTAATAATATTTTAATGAATAACAAATAATTTATTAAAAAGCAATAATAACTTGACCCTATATTGTCAGCAGTCAATCAAATTATTATTTATAATTACATACAAATAAACCAATAAAATACCTATGAGAAAAACTGTATTAGTAAATAACTCCGATTGGCAATGCTAGAGGTTATGAAGTATAATATAAATGATTTTGGATTATTATGATAAATATTTTAAAGCATTTTTTTTTAAATTTAAAACAAAACAAAAAAAAAAATACACAAATGCGATTAATTACCACACTATTACAACAATATTTTGCAATACCTTTGCTGTACATAGGTATTTTAATCTCTACACAAAATATTTTGTCTACATGCAACTCAGCTCTACAGGCGACAACCTAAACCTACCGACATCTTGTCAATAATAGCACCAGTGCTACTTCTTCTGCGTCGTTTATCTTCCCAACACTAAATTTTTAATTAGTCCAACAAAAGTTAATTATGTCAAAATTAACAGTAAGTATAAATATTATTAACAATAATAATGTTAGATTCAGATGCACTGCAACAGTAAAAAATTTTTAGATTGATTGACTTACAGTGCAACGACCCAAGCGAGTGTAATGTCTAGCGCCATCAGTGACTTGATATATGTAGATGAAATTATCCCTGGAGCCCAAAGCAAGCAGCGTACCGTCTGGTGAGAATTTCACCACCTACATGGAACAAAAACAATATCAATAGTCATAAACTCATAACAAAATATAATTGTTCCTTATTTGCTATTATTCGAATATACATGCATACCTGTATCGGCTCATTTCCGTCAATGTGAGTGGAATAGATTTCTCGAGTTTCGGAATTCATTACCATCCATTTGCCAGACACGCAACCAACAATAATTATTCGACCATCACTAGAGAAGGCTGCTGATTGTGCTTGTTCCTATATAGATAGAGAGTAATTAATGTATACAAATTGATTTAATACAAATATGTACAATAAAATTAATGACAGGTACTCACAGAAATATCTTTGCTCCAGACAACTGAATGAGACAGTGAGTCCCAGAGTTGAACTATACGATCGAAACCTGCCGTAAGAAACTGGGCCAATGTTGGATGTGGACACAACGCCCACAATTCATCAGTGTGGCCTAATATGGCCGGGCTAAAGCCCATTGACAATGAACCAATTAAGATACAATTACGTGTAGAGCCAACAAGCAATTGTGATCCTCGGCCTTCAGATACAGTACGAATTCCGCCCAAATGTTCAGCTACCTATAATTCGATAAAATAATATTAATTTTGTTACATTAAATTGAATTTATCAGTCATTTTTACATTTTTAGTTGTTCTTAGAGAATTTATTTATTTTTTTTTTGAATACAAGTAATACAATTAAACAACAATTTATAATTATTGAATAAAATATTACCTATATTTAAACTACCTACAATGTTAAGAAAATATATAGGTTCCCTAGTTATTATTTAAGTGCAGACTTGAAAAAAATATCAATTACTACCTATCACTTAACATTTGCCCTAGGAGTCATGCCAAGCTGAGGTTGAAATAATTGTTTTTATCGTTTACAGTTATGTATAATAAAATAATATATACTACCTATTAGTAAATTAGCTTATGGTTCAGATGCAAAATAACTACAATTTTGTATGATTGAATAAAAATATACAAGTATTCAAATTATTTAAACAATTCCTAAGAACACTGCCCGATAAGTAATATATAAACCTCTGGTTCTTTCCTATGGTCCAGTGTAATATTTTTGAACTTTTTTATTTCCAATGTAACAACCAAAACATTTTACAATAATTGTCTACATGAAAATATTATTTTGATTTAGTATACGGGTTCTTACTCGTGCTTCGTATCCGGTGGGATGCATCGAAGTGTCGAACTGGATCAGCTTACCGTCTTTACCACCCCCGGTAATAATACTGCCCTCCTTTAAGGCACAGATTGAGAACACTGATCCTTCGTGAACATTTCTCGCTACTTTGGTGATGTTGTTCGTGCCTAAAACGAAAATAACACGTTTAGAGGCTTGAATAGAAACGCACGAGTTCCGAAAAAAAAGGGAAAATGAGTTAGTAAGACTGCTTTATAGGATTTCTGAAGACTAATTCAATTATGTAATCAAATAGTTTCAACACGCACAAGAACAACATATCAAAACTAACAAGTTCTTTTGTGTTATGTGAATTTTGATATTTAACTTTTGATACTGATCATTTGAGTTTTAATACTGAACCCATCATGTCAAAATTCACAAGATCCATATTATGAAAATATATTTCATTTAAACCATTTTTAAAATCTCACGTTTTGTAGAGTCAAAAAGCATAATATGCACAAAAAAAATACAAATAACGACTAAAACGTTTAACTTATAGTGGTAATTTTGATTTTTGTTTAAATTTTTTTTTAGCCTAAATTGCAAAAAAAAAATTAAATTTGGATTTCTTCATTATACAGGAAACAACCTCTTTTTCAGAAATTCTGATTTTCTGAAAAATTCGAGTTTTGGAACTTATTGTTCTGATTTCAGTCTTTTCATTTACAAACTAAATATGATATACGGTCTCGCGGTGACTAGAGAAGAGCTATAAAAATCCTTCTAATTTAGTTTTTATTCTTTCAATAACTTTTGAATGAGAAATTAAATGAATAATAAAAAATTGCATAATCAATCGGTTTCTTTCAACTTAAAAATGTCAACATAATATAAAATGTGATTGTGATGATAATAATGAAAAATAAAAATTCTGGTCTTTGAGCAGAGGATAATTATGGTGAAACTGCAAGGACGACATATTATTCGTAAAAATTGAAATCGACATTGATAAATATTGTTTCATTTGAAAAACGATCTCGAAAGGTAAACGTATGTATTCAAAAGCCACTAGACCAATATTTGTTTTCAATGTTTGTTTCGTTAGTAGCACAACAAAAGCATTCAACATTTCCATGATTACGACTCTCTAGTTTATGTTCAAGGTGAAGTTACGTATTGTATATTTTATAAAGGAAAGTAGGTATTTAATATGATTTGGCTGTATGATTTTTTTTTAATATTTGTACTTTTGAACAAGTTATTTAATGGTTAAATCTGGGAAGAATTAAAACCGTCGTATCTTGTTAAAAAACGAAAATATTATTAAAAAATCATTAGGTCGAAACATAAAGGTTTACTAAATCTATAATAGGTCCCTTTGTCCTAAACTCAACTGGACAGTTTCAGTCGTTGAAGTACAAAATACTTTTGGGACAGACAAAGAAAATAAGTATTGGTGTAAAGAAATCCTCTTCGGCCAGTCCTCGGACTTAGCCTCGTCCCTCCATTACTAACCACGTCCCCAAATGACGACGGATCCGTTCGAGTCTCCAGACAGAATGTCTCCGTTCTGGGTGAAAGCCAAGCACGTTACGTATTTCGGACGGTCGCGGGTGGTCTCGAATATTCCATTGCGTTTGTACAGGGTGCCGCCGGCGTCTAGCGTCCAGAAACTGATGTGACCCTTGCCGCAAGTGACGATCTGGTTTCGTTCCAGCGGATGGAATTCGGCGGCCACCACCGTGTCCATCGAACACTGACGAATATAATATTATATAGATTAATATCAGTTGTATACGGGTTTTCGATCAACAGTGTTTAGACGATTTTATAACGGACGAATATTTTATCCGCTTACCTTGGTCTCGGTGATCTTGTGACCCTTTTCGTTCTTTTGCCAGTCCCACACGGATATGTTATGGTCGTTTCCTTCGTCGATCGCGCACAATAGACTACCGCCGTCCTGTAATCGGCATAATAAACGGTTCAATCCAACCGGAATACTCCAAATATAGGTAATAACAATAATATTAAGTCAATAAAGTTTATAACGGTACGTACCGCTTTGGAAAACGACAAGCAACTTATGGAACGTTCGAATTCGCCCAATCCCAGGACGACCACCGTTGCCAAACTCACCGAATTCCACACGCGAATGTGGGGCTGAAAAAACAAAATAAAATTCAATGACATTAAATCTCCAGATTATAATTACGACTAAACTATGGAAAATCGTTTACCTTTCCTTCGCGATTATCGTGCCCGGCCGTCTGGCCCGTGGCTACCAACAGCTTGTTGGGATGAATGGTCAGGCTGAAAACAAGCATCACGAAATTATAATAATATTAATTTGAACATTAACTCAAAAGTCTATAATTAAGTCGGAGTACGGCACAGCGATGATAATATTATTATGATTGTTTTTATCTATTTCTCGTCATCAACCGTTTCGAAACGGTTTGTTGCAGTTTACATGCTTCTCTTTCGTGTTTCAATTTTCCGTCACTCCTTGTAACCATCTTTATTCACGTCTATCATGATTAGTTTCATATACTCTACCCCCGGCCTTTCTCTTGTAATACGACCATTATCGTCACATTTCGTTAAGAAATCGTGACGCAATAGATGCCTTATCATTTGGTGCCTATCGATTTGTATATTATGCCGAAGTTCTCGCTATTCCTTTATTCTGTTCAATACCTCTTCGTTTGATATTCTTTCTATCCATTTAACCTTACGAGTTTTTCGACCACAACACATTTCGAAAGCCTCTATTATTGTTTTATCTTCTGTAGCGATTGTCCAAATTTCCTCAGTTGTACAGAGCCACGCTTCATATATATATATATATATACTCTCAGAAACGTTTTAATAATATTATACGCGGCCGAAAATTACCCAGATAGATACATCTAAAAAAAAACCTCGTTTATTTTTACCATTTGATATCGTCGGTGTGACCCAGATAGTGCCTTTGACTTTGTTCCTCGACGTTGTACAACACGGCCACGGAGGCCACGAAGTACACCATCTCGCCAGTGGGCAACAAGTACAAGTTGGAACGGCAGTCTTTTCCTCTGTATCCGTAACTGTTTGCGAGATTGGTTAAGGAACGTTTCGTGTAAATTGTAATAATTGTTCAGTGCCTATTAGGTACTTTCAGTCGTTTGCTATTTAACGCGCGTTATTACATAAAATGTCGTTAAAACATATTCATAATTCGTGCAGCTCGTGAAAAAAAGTGAAAGGATTTAAAACTAGAGAAAATAATATAATGCCGTTTGAATAATAGATCGTAATAATATTCGGGGTAGGCACATTATTCCATCAAACCGATTTAATATACTCAGCGCGTAAAATCATGATTATTCCCCGTGCTAACTACAGTTTTAAGGCACGCAAACGGGTGGTGATTTGGCGGGTCTGATGGCGGGGAAATCGATTTCACCTGAAGCGGATTAATGAATCGGCATTAAAAATATATTATAATAACTCCGAGGGTAACAAAATATAAACGGGATTATAATCGTGAATTATTGAAATTCATCGGCTTCCGACGAGTTGATACAGCGAAACATAATAATTGTTGTTATATTTTCGTAAATCGTTGGAACCCGCCAACACGACGGACAAGACAAACACGGAAGAAATGATTTATTATATTCGTATTAATTAATATTGATTGCCCGAGTAGGTGTATGCGAAAGAGTTCTGTAAAAATAACGAATTGTGTACGCGCCGCGAAAAATGATAGCGTGTGTTTGATTTAATCGGATCGAACACGAAATACGGAAAGGCGAGGTCGTTGCCGGAGCGATATAGAAGAAGAGCCGGGCAAAACACAATCTATTATCATAATACATTTGACAACGGTTGAAAAAAAAAATTGATTAGTCTCGATATTTTTTCAATTATTTTAAGATCTGAAGTTATCTGAGGGCATTAAAAATATAATATGAACGATAAGCGAATCACCGCGGTTTGCACTTTTGTATAGCTGACGATGCAACGGTCGAACAGACGATCTGAAAACCGCGGATAATAAATCATCCTAATAAGAAAAATCGCATATACAAATAACCATAAAAACACGGTCGATAATATGAGAAGTTTTCTTTGAAAATGTTTAAAAATTTAAAAAACCTAGTGTTGATCTATAATAATATTATGGTTTATTTCAGATCCGGTTGAATGGTGGGCGGGGGGATGTTCGACGTGGCGATCGTATTCCCTATTTTTCAATTTTTTTAAAAAAAAAAAAAGATTACTCGAATTGAATCGCTATCCAAGGTCATGACCAGGGGCGGGTGAATGGTGTACGTATTTAAACGTAAAAAAAAAAAATATTAGTGTATCAGCTATAGCCTATATAAGTATGTCAAACAAATTTCGGATCTCCTTCGAAATTCATTGTCAGTTCTACGGTCTTGTCAGTACTTACGATAACCGGTAAAGTTCGAGCTTCCCCAATTAGGTCGGAGCAACGTAGAAAGAAGAACCGAGCGAAAAACAAACAATCTATCCATAATATTTGACTACGGTTTTGAAATTAGATAAGTCTCGATAAAAATTTTTGATTTCAAGAACATTAGATAATAGCTGCGCCTATACGGAGGAAATGAAACGAAAATGAGCCTCCCGACGTATAAAAACGATGTTTTGTTACACGGCGTTGCAATAAACCGCGGCGTTTTGCGATCAAAGGATACACCCAGTCTAATTTGAGCCGGGACGAAGGAGCGGTGGCCACTTTGGTGATGTCGTAGGTCGCGATCTCGGCGGTAGGCGCGTACAGGTTGATGGGACGTCCTCGCAGGAACATCCGGACGCTGCCTTCCTCTTCGTTGTACGTGGCATCGCGAGTGCTGCGGAGGGGAAAAACATTATTTGAATTAGTATTATCATTTCGTCGTACACGGTAAACCGGTTAACAGTTACTTATGTTTAACTGATTCAAATTAAATCACTCAAAAATAACAAATAACTCATGGCTAGGATAAAGTCGGTTTTGAAGCATAACTTTGCGAAAATAATAATGCTCGAGTTAAGTAGTTAAAAGTTACTCCTGTTTACAATTGCTCAACTAGGCCACATATTTATTGTCTTATTGTGCGACAATGATATTCGCATAACAAACTAAGCATACGTTACATTCGTCGAAAAATAAATGCAAACGGTTTTTTACACAAAAACCTTCGTAAAAGACTTTTTTTTAAAAGAACCGAAATTTCATTAAAATAAATTATTTTAGTTTAAGTTATCGAAATAATTGTAACTTATAAATTGATTAGTTATTGCCGAGCTTTGTAAAAACACAAACGAAAAATCGCCAGATACGTCGTTGGAATTTCGATGCAGTGTCGGAAACTTTGAAGTCGAAACACGCCGTACTAATTTTAATCTACTAAAACACGTTTTCCACTCGAGGAGCTAATGAGTTGGAAAAAAATCCACCATGCAAACTATACGAAATCGCATTGAAATACCTGTCCGGGTATACGGGACGATTGTTGTCTATCAGCACGAACCAACTGAATTATTTACATACACGGAGATTCCGAGTGAATTCGATTTTAGCTGGTTCGATCAAAACCCTATAATCGGGAGTTTAAAAGCGCCGGGATAAAGACGAAAACGTTTGCAAATTTCGTTACGGACAACGGTTGAAAATCGCCGAAATCAAATTTACAAGAAATTGTCCGTAAAGAATCCAGTGATTCCTAACGTGGGCGGTACCGCCCCCTTGGAGGCTTTTTACTAAAGGGGGCGCTAAGGGGGGTGATTGTACTGTGATTTTCATCGTAAAAATAATTTGCTATTATTAAAACACTAATAGCAAATTCATATAACTCATTGCAATGAAATGTATATCTGTGTACGAAAAAAAAAATTAATTTAATAATTTTTAACACACGACAATAGCAGCGAAATGGTAATTAATATACACATATATATATATTTTATCTTATCGTATCGATGCCAATAAGCTTCGTTTAGTCCACAGGCGTTCTCAGGGGCGGGTGGAGGAGGATATGGGGAATGGATCCCTCCCCATGGCCTTTTTCATTTTTACGTAAGATGGACTTTCATGATTAACTGATAAGTGATATTTAATACTTTAATGAAAATTAAACAAATAAATATTTTTTTGACACGTTATCATTTTCCATGCGAATATGCAATTGCTATACAGTAACAGACTACAGACCACCGTTACAGATTAATAACTGTAATATCTGTAATCTAATATAATATTGATGTAAACAATAAATTAAGTCTCACGATACCATCCACCAAGTGATGACATATTTGTGTTTATCAATCGTTTTTAGCGATTTGTATAGTGTATACAGACGAATGACGACTGTCTTCCTTTTTTATTTTTGATCAAAATGAAACGAAGTAATTAAAGTATATTCAATTTTTTTCCCAAAAGTTTGCACCTGTTACAAGTACTGATATACAAAAATATAATATTGTTGCAATTTAATGTATGTAGTTTTTATGTAAAAAAAAAAAAAAAAGAGGTGAGTAGGGACCTGGTCCCACGGCTCCTTTTAGTACATTTTCATACCTATCCCCCCCAATAAAAAATCCCCTTGAACGCCTCTGTCTTGGTCCCATTTTCATACGGATACTTCCGATGGTTATTGCATTTATTACACGAAGTTATAATATTTAGAGTGCGTGTACGTTAGTTATACGTTTTATTATCATAATAAAATGTCCGAGAACGAAACGCGAAGAAAATATTTATTTTTCACTTTGATTCAATGGCCGATTATAAAAAATAAACAGTAATTTTTTTTATTTATTAAATTTATCGGGGGCGCCGGGGCGGCGTGAGTTTTTAAAAATCTAAAAATAGCGTTGAGTAAAAAAAAAATAAGGTCGGGAAATACCGGCACCATAGACAATACAACGGTCGCCGGGCGGTTTCGCGACGTGGTCCGGTGGTAAGTTAATAATATGTTTCGGGCACCTCTTCTTGTCCGCGGTACTCCGGTACATTCCGACGGAAACGAGTCGACCCGGTACGCACAGACTCCGTTGAAAAACGATTTCGATTATTTTTCCTCTTATTTTGCTGCAGCGGACGCGAGCGAAATTCGGCGGACGGCGGACGGTTCACTACTGTCGCGAGTACCGAAATCTGAAATCGGTTCGGCCGACCGGTTCGCGGGTCGTCGTCGTGACTGGCGATGTTTACGCAGTCGCAGTAAATAGGCCGCGGCGAACGACGACGCCTCAAGGCCGGTCCGAGAGACGATTAAAAAAAGCCGCCGTCGAGTTAACGTTATTCGCGTTCGTATATACAGCGCGCGCCGAATGTGCACACGTCGTACGTGTGCGCACACTGGACGGGTGTCGTGCACTTTCCACTCAACATGCTCTCCGCGCCCGTTATCGTGATCTTTACTTGCCGAGATTATATCATGTGGTGGACCGTTCGTTCGTTGATAATTTAAAATTATAACACACGCGTAACGGGTAAAATTGTCAAATTATTACAGGTTCGGTTCCGATTTTTGAACGAATGATAAATGATATGGTAATATTATAGCAATTAACAGTATTATAGTAGCAAAAAACTATTTCCACTGTCATTTTACGCGTGTGTACATTCTCTATCATAGCAAACACAATGCATCGGAATCATCGACGGGAGGCTAGAGGTTGGAGTACGTACCAGCAAAAGAAACAAAAAGGGGTATACACACATTTAGATCAACGTATCAGACAAATAAAAACGGCGTTGCCCAAAAAGTCGAAAATTTAAAAAAAAAAAATGTTTATTTACTCTATCGTTTGTTCAAAAATTAAATTAGATTAGACGATTATAAACGATGCATATAAGGTAATCGTAAGCCGTTAAGTTATAACAACAAGTTAGCAATTGTGTACCTGCTCGCAACACAATACTATTTTAATAAATTAATTTCGCGTTACTTAACGTTAATTTTAAATTGTCGAGCGGATAGTCCACCTAGCGCAGGTAATGATTATACGACAACGGACGGAAATAGCACGAAAAAGGCGTTGAGCGGAAAACGCACGGGCGGAAAGTGCACGGAACCATTATTTTTTCCACCGTTCAGGTATTGGGACTCAATTAATATACAGCGTTAATAACATTATGTTTCGGAGGCTGCGTACGAGTCCCGTCCCAGTAACCTTTTTTTTTTTTTATATAAATTCCGTCCTGGGTGAAAAAAAGGTTAAATAGTTGAAAAAAAAAAACAAAAAGGTTCGATCCCGCGGGCCGATAAATCTGGAGTACTCGACAAAATCCCATACAGAGACGCTCCGTATACTCGCGGTAAGTGACATTGTTATCGCGATCCGACGTTCTTGCCGACTCATTGCGCGCGAGGAGAACGCCCGAAACGGGCCACGGGATTCGTCGCCGTAGGCCAAACTCAGTCTATGGAAAAATAACGGGGGTTTCGCAAAATGTTCAAATTCCTGCAAAATGTTACGTGAGTAAAAGAAGTTGAGAAACACTGGGCTAGAAGACTGCCGGGTCTCGTTCGTCAATTGCTTAAGCGATTTCATTTCGTTGTGAGCTCGAACCCGACGCCGTTTTAAAGTCCGTCAGCGCGAGACAGACCGCAGAATAATAATCAGTACGCGACGCGGTCGCAGGGTCGTGGCCGGCGGGGGACTTCCGGAGCCCGCTCCTCGATTCTCGCGCTCCGGAGCACAACCGACACTGTACACTACATTCCTGTATCAGTGTGTATAGCAATAAGTATGTAAGTATATACAGAGTGATTCACAACAATAGCGCGCTCACCCCATTTGTTTTGGTTAAATTTTACGTGCGTTCAAATTCTGATATTTTCGAACACTTAAGATTTTTCGCAACATTTTAGGAGTATCCTTATAGTGGCGATACAGAATTTGGATTTTCAAACGAGAACCTATATTAAAAATTCCATAAATGGATGGACCATTACTTTAAATAAATTTTGGTGTGAACATTTTCGATTTCCTTCGACCCGTTGACGAGATATTTCATTTTTAAGTTTAGGTACGGACCAGAGCAGCGGAGCACTGATAAAACGCCGCGCGCCATGCCGCTACACAAATGATACTATCGGAGCGAAATCGCTGGTAGAAAAGTTGTTCACAGAAAAAAATTTAAAAAAACATCATTGTAAAACCAATACATGTATCGCTCCACTCGGAATCTAAAAGGGCGCGATACTGCTGGTGGGTGCCAGTGCCACTGTTTTAGGAACGTATACATAGTTGAAAGGGACAGTATAATGTACAGAGTAATGTAATTTATACGAATACGATAAACTGTCATTGCCAACGGAAAACGACGCATACAACAAATTGTCAGTTTTTCCCGTTTACTGGGCGTTTATTGCTACAAGGAAAATCAAAAAAATAAAATAATCGCCGCCTAAATGCGACAATAATAATAATAAAAAAAAAAAAAAATAAAAAAAAAAAAAAAAAAAAAAAACGCTACGAGAAAGTTCCTACATACAATTGTTGAGGAGAATAAGATTTCTGATAGAAAAGATGTCAACAGACACAAAATACACACACACACATTATACAGTATACTAATACCAGCACAAACTTCGCTCGGAATCTAAAAGTTTGGGAACCGTCGGCCGTTAAAATAATTATTATTGTCTACGTTTCAATGCTGAATTACATTACGAAAATTACCGTTAAAGTCTCGTTTAACGAACACGCAACGTGCACTTAGTAAAATATAATAATTGCAGTATGATTAAAAACACATTACCTGAAAGATAATACATACATATAATACATCAAAGATAATAAACTTTCAACGTAACATACTTAGATGTATCGTACATTATTATTTTTTGTTTCCATCAAATATAATACACGGTGATTGAAAATGTACGTTACAGCCAAATTTCATTGTGCAAATGTTTAATACAGAGCAAAATGTAGATCGCAAAAGTATTAAGTTTTTATTGCGATCTAAAACAATATGTATATTTATTTTTTTTGTGAGGGTTTCGGAGGTCAACTCCTGGCAATTCAAATGAGAACCCGTAAAACTTCATAAAATTTCACAATTAGATGGAGAGTTAGTTTGAATCAATTTTAGATATCCGTCAGCCCGTTGACGAGATACTCCCCTTTTTAGTTTAGGTAGGGAGGGAGTATAGTGTAACATTATGCACTTATGCGGCAGCACGGCACGACGCGCGGCGTTTGAATAGTGGTCCACCACTGTCCTCCCTCTTAAACTCTCCTCTTAAACTAAAAAATGGAATAACTCCGTCAACGCGTGGAAGGAAATTAAAAACGTCAACACCAAAATGTATTTAAACTAATACTGTTTAATAATTGTGAAATTTGAACACAGGTTCTTGTTTGAATTTCAAAAATCGATCCCCAATACCTTTACAAAAAAGACAAAAATCAAAAAAACACGCACGAATTATTTTAGATATTCGTAAAAACGAATAACTTTTTGTATCGTACGTTTCACTCCATATCGAAATACTAATCAAACGATTTATCAGCCTTGTTTTTCAAACTGGTTTGAAAATTTAAAGATCTGTGCGTTTTATAAGCTTAATTGTTGAGATATGATAATTGACGTGAATATTTCATCGAATAATTAAAAAAAAAAAAAAATTCCCGCACGCAATATTATGTACGTATATTATTAATACACTATCATAGCCCGGTTTAATATACACGGCTGAAATAAAACGCATACGGTTAACGGCCATTAGCTAATAATAATATATCGTCGGGGAAAAATCAATAACCCGACAGTTTTGAATAATTGATACCGTCAACCGAGGACAATGTATCGAATTAATAGTTGTTATTGTTTTTCGTTCGACTCAACTATTATAAATAATGAGAGTGTACGCACGCGCGGTGTAGGTATTGTATACATTGTATATATTGTATCATAATGATTATTGTAGAGAAGTTTGAAGGAACTCAATAAATACAATTCTGCAGACCATATTATAACCATTTCGAATTAATATTGTACGTGCGTATATACAAGAGGCGATTCTTTTATTGCGAACCGACAATTTTTTCGGAGGATTTTAATCGAATTTTATTCCCATTTCGTTTCTTTAAACGGCCTCGCGTAATGATTGAAAAACATAAAATCGAATTCACTTGAAATCCCCCGAGAAAACTGTTGGTTCGTGATAAAAAAAAAAAACAACGCAATATCGTAATGGCGAAAATCAGGGGGAAATAGGGCTCGTGTGACGCACCTCTGATGCTTACGGGTAATAGTATTCGTTCGGAAATCGTGTTTAAAACCGTACGCATCGAATTATTAAACAACTAACGGCGAACGATAAGCGATTTTTTATTTCGAAAAAAATAAGTGTTCTCCTTCGCTTGATTACACTGCTCTGTTTTCCTACTCCCTGTGTCGAATACACGTAACTGGACTTAGTCTTCTTAAGCGGCTGTCGCGTGACGAAAGAAAAATGCCGCTTCAAAAGTCTGGTTCGGAACAACAAACACTAAAGTGTGGGATTCGTCCGTCCCTCGCGGTCGATGAGGCACGCGGGCGTGACCGCCTCGCCGCCGCAGTCGGTCGCCGGGGTTTTCCGTTCGCCGGGCCGGCACCCGGTGGCGTACACGTCGAATTCTCTGTGGTTGCCTTGTCCCGTCAGTCTTTGGACGTTCGTCGCCTTGACTTTGGTCTCGGACAACTGGTCGCGGAGACGGCCCACGTAAACGTGGCCTTTGCGGACGGTCTCCCGTTGGTCGGTCAGCGTCCGGGTGGCCGCGTTGCACGCGGCCACCGCTCCGTTGTACTCGCGGAACGCCTCGTTCAGCTGGTCGGCCGCGGCGAACACCGCGGCCGTCGACCGTTCCCGGGCGACCGTCGCGGCGCTCATCAAGGCGGACAGCGACCGCGCGTCCAACGCCAACTGTTCGTGCAGCCCGTTGGCCGCTACCTCCTCGGACGTCAGACACTCGACCAGCTTGCGTTGCCGGTCCACGCACTGGCCGTCCGAGCACACCGCGAACACGCTGGTCGGCTGCGGCCGCTGTTGTTTCGCGGACGACGACGACGACGACGACGACGACGACGACGACGACGTACCGGAGTTTCCGACACAGCTGTACAGAACACCGTCACGCATCACGGTCCGGATTCGACCCGGTCGACGAAATTAACCGATTTTAATTATTTATACATAAATATACACCAGTGCTTCCCAACTATGGGAACTTTTGCGGGAATTCGAATATTTGGACGAACCCTCATTTGTTATTTTCATAACCACATAACGCAGACACGTCTTTAGGATACTCAAATGAGCGGGCAGTTGGAGACTTCCGGCAAAATGTTTGTAACCGATTTCCATTGCATTCTGTAGAACTCCTCGATTTTAATTATAAAAACACAATCAAATCGAAAATGTCGTTTACTAATTTATCTTTTCCCAAATTCCTCACGGCACCCTCGGCGCTGGTTCACGGAACCTTTGAGTTCCGCGGAACACCAGTTAGGAAACACTGATATACACACACATTCAGGGGCGTCATTTGAGGGATTCGGACTATACTTTGACGGCCCTATAGTTTTAAATGTGTTTTTGGCCCGCGTAAAATGTTATAATGCAAACCAAATGTATACATTTTAAAAGTCGTTTATTTTTTTTCCCCTAACTCACGTCCAATAAATATGGATTTAGGGGTATATCGCCACGAATATATATTTGTTTAAACTTATTAGTATCACGTATCCGAGCAAAGGGAACGGACAATTTTCAGAAAAATTGGCCCGATTCAAATGTTTGCATTCCTATTGAAAAACTGAAATGATGCCCCAGCACGTATTTCGAATACCTATTATCTTGACGGTGTATACAAGACAAAGCGTACACGTTTGAGCCAATAGCGAAATTTTACCCCCGCCAAGTTGTCAGATCCGACCAACGTCAATATTCTAGATTTGATTATTTTTCGACAAACAGACAGAAAATCTGATTTACGGTTTTTCGGGTACATCGCAATATTATTTGCGACCCATTTTCGACACGTTGCCGTTGGTCTGAAGTGGATCCAACACAACTCAGCGGCGTTACACTTCAAAATTGCAATTATTATTCGGGGTATCCCACGAAGACATACCTGTTGCGATGTCTTGAAAAGTATTCATATTTTTTGGAAGTTGCAGCATTAATATGTTACATTACTTTGAATACGTTTCGGTGTGGATAATAGGTAGTGGAGAACAATTCATACGCCACACAAATGATGCGGCGTCACTATATTCTATCGAAACTTCAAAGTAAAATATTTCGGCGACGGGTTGACGGGCATCAAAAACGTTAACACTGAAATTTACCTAAACTAAAACTCCGTCTATTTGTGAAATTTGTCAAATAGGGTGCCATTTAAAAATCAAAAATTAGGTAGTCGTTCTACGCTCCGTAAATAAGGGGAAAAAACCGGTAATGCAACATTTTAGAGCAAAGGATTACTTAATTTTCAAAAAAAAATTTACGAAAAAAGTTATTTCTTTCCGAGATATCGCAACAGCTAACAGGTATATCTTTAGGAGACACCCTGTACAGGTTAAGTATTATGATCTAACCTACAATAAGAATATACGACCGTCCACTGACACAATTTTGATTTTAACTGTTTTTACGTCGAAATAAGGGCGGAATGTTATGCAGAAATAAACAAATTTCAATCGAACACGTGTCAGTTCAATTAATATTTTACGTTATTTAATATTTATATCAAAATCTAATGGGTACACAAAAATATACTTGTTGTCAAAACAACAACAATATACATATTGCGCAAAGATCTTTTGATACTGATATTTTTTGTTGATATTGTATTTTATATTCGACAGTTTTTTTTTTATTATTATTATAATTGGAGGTTTTATATATTAGAGAAACTCCGATAGAAAAAAAAAGGGCGAATCCATTATATATTTACGAATAAAAAGTTCCATGTGTATACGGAAAAAACCGTACCTATACACGAAACGAATTAAAAATTCAAACGTCATTATTTTAGACATAAAATTAACTATATACGCATTACACGCACTGTTATTGAAATGGAAACCGATAAAAAGTAAAAAAAACTATAAAAATATATATACGAGAGTTCGTTAGATAAAAATTATTATTTTTAGACGTTTTTACTATGTTGTTTATTACGATTTTGTTCGGATTCATGCGACACAACCGTCGAGTTTAAATTGAATTTACGAGTTTTCGGATTGTACACAGTGATAGTGAACCAAGGATGGCTCAGGACCGAGGATACGTTCGGGTTTTAAATTAGAGTGACCTGCAGTACATATACTTATACTTTAATGTACCACTTTGAATGCATAAATATTACAAATGTCGGTCGTTTTTCCCCCACATGTGTGTATTTATATATATATAAATACATCGGTGAAATTCTATATCTGTGAAATTGTCCGATTCATGGAATTACATTAGATTTATAGTTTTCGTTCGTTTCTCGCTGTTAGTTTTGACATTAAAGCGCATTCGCCTATTATCATACTTAAATCTAAGAACATTGTCTATATTTTTACGTTATTTTTTTTTTTTCGATATTTTAATTACAAATATGAATTACGAATATCAAACGTAATACAATTTAACAATCACCGTGCCTCGCTTAAAAATTAAAATATCGGAACAAAACCAACGTAGGCACACGGGAAATATTCTTACCTTTAGGTTTAATAATAGGCGAATACACCCTAAAGTCAAAACTTACAATACGAAATGAATGGAAAGTATAAATTTACCGGGATTTCACGAATTGAGCCATTTTACCGATGATGTGGCGTAACATACATAGGAAACATAATATTGTTTATCGAAATTTTACTATAATACCTTTGCTGGGCTGTTGCTATTTGGGCGCGGGTCAAGCCGCACAACTTGTCGATCTGAGGCACGTTACTTATGTTGTACAACGAGTAAATCAATTCCGAACGCGCAAAATTAAACGCGGCCACAAACATTACCAGACGATAATAATACGATTTCTTCGTGACGGACATAATATTTTAACACGGTATTTGAATATCATTCGCAAAAATTAAACGAGACGGCGAAAAACGGGAAAGAAAAATTCTCAAATGTCGTCTTATACGCACGACGCATATATTGTTGAACATTATGAATTGCCATGGAAAAGGATAATTATATAGTATAAATGGGTGGCACATTAATTATTGTACGGCGATGCATAAACAAAACATTTAGAGTTTTACTGCTAATACATGTAATTATCGGTACATTTACATCGTTTTGTCAGAAAACTGCGACATGCGAAACGACAATTTATTCCGTAAAAAACTATCCCGGAAATATTATTTGAAAAATTTAAGAACCGTTTTGTATTTTGTATTTTTTTTTTTTTTTTGATAATCTTATTATTATATTATATTATGTACGGTCATCCGTTTTATTTAATTCCGTAGGTTAACAGCGAGAAGGAGACGATGGTATTGGTTAGTCTGCTGCGGCGCTATAGAATAGTGTGATATAATAGAAGCATCGGGTGTATAGATCATCTCGATTCAGTTGTTGAGACGACGAAAATTCTTGGACAACTTGTATAGAGGCCGAAAACGTGAGGCGATTGAGCGTAATGTCGGGAAGATTACGTTAAGATTCCTGGCAGTCGTGGATAAGTCGGAAACCCGACGTACAGAGAGCGTATATTTTAACGAACTAAGACGTATATTTCGTGATATTTATTTCCCATAAACGTTGTATCAATTATAATAATATATCACCTACAATAAATATTATGTCATCTCCTTGACATTATTTCGGAGGGGGGCGATTTGTAGGGGTGTTCAAAGGTACAGTAAAACACCCGTCTGCCATACGATAAAATACGACTGTAATTCTCGAATTTGAGCCGATTTCTGAAACTTCTGGAACCTTTAAAAGTGTCCGAAAGTAAAACAGGGGGGGGGGAGGGAAATGTATACGAAAATGTACAACGTGCGACAGGTCGCGGTTTTTGAGGTCAAATTTGACAAAAATGAAGAACTATTATTGGGTACGGTTAAATATATATTTCGTTGGTTTGGACATGATATTCTCACACTATACGAGAATATTTACGAAACCAACTGTAGAGGATTCAACGCCTAGTCCGAGCTAACGTGTGTACGGAATTATTGGTTTCAAAATATTATAGGCGCGCATTACGGCACCTCGATTTCGCGTGCGTTTTGAGTCTGTTCGTTTTCTGTTGTTTTCGTAACGTAACACAAACCGTATAAAATCCGAATTTCCGATAGAAAACAAATACTTTCGAAAAACCATATACCAAACATAATGTTATGCACGCGCAACTTCCAAAACCGTGGCTCTACATCCAAGACAACCCCCTTGGATGGACCTGGGTAACAGCGCGTATACAACCGAATAACTGAAATACTATTGTGATAAAAAAATATTGCTCCGGTTACACACAAGAGAACAAAAAAAGTTCATCTTATCTGAAAGGCATATTTTTCTATTTTTTAAATCGACGACGGCGAATAATGTTATTATTGTTAATTGAAAATTAAAAAAAAATATATATATATATATATCGACACTTTCGATAACGATATTAAAAATCAGAAATTCGTCAATAATGTATTTTTGACGAAAAAAAGAAACCGGTAAACCGCTAGCCCGAAGTCAAGAGTCAATAGAAGAATATGGTGAAAATGCGAGATGTTTAAATCGAATTATACAAATTACACGCGTGTATCCAATACAATTTAAAAGAGTTGATACTGCTCATGAATTGTTATCACTGTTGTAGGTGATGGGTAGTTGAGAATGGGTAATTTAGTTTGAATACTGTTCGCAATGATAAATACTTATGAAAAAACGATTCAGAGCGGAATAGTATAAAACGTACACGTAGAAGTAAAAAAAAAGACCTAGATTGAAAACTGCTGTCAATTTTGATAATAAATACCAACGGTATTTCAAATAAATTACAGCCAGGCGAAAATTCCGTATCTTTTAATGTATGACATAACAATAATAATAATATTAGGACCTGGACTTAAATGCCCAAAAGAATAATCGAAAAATTATTGGAAAAATAGCCGAAAATGTAATTTAAATAAAAAAAAAATATGATTTTTAGCGAAATAATGATCCCGAAAATTCTAAAAACCTATTTGAAAATGGAAAAACACCGAATGAATATTTCGCATTTGTAGTCGGTATTTGTTTGAGTCGGGTGACGCACCGCAACCGTTAATAAGGACAAGTCGTTATCGAAATCATAAACAGAACGATTGCCAATCTGTATTAATAAAGATAACCTAAAATCTAAAATAAATACGATATTTTGAGACAATATTTCGAATTGCCTAAATTTAAACCATTATGGCTATTCGTATAACGAAAAAAAATATAACAATACACGGCGCTTAAAACTATAAAAAAAAAAAAAAAACAAATGATGGTTAAAAAAGGCGACACAATACTGTCGCCTTAAATCATTATTGCAGCGGTATAAAGAGATACGGTGTTCTCCGTTATTTATGCCTCGGAAACTACGACAATGCCGTGAAAATCCGTTAAAACCGATAATATACGGGCAAATAAACAAAACGGAATATTCACGTGCGGCGCATACCTGTCAGTGGCGGCTGCCGCCCCTTTGGCGGGCACCGGCTTGGCGGGCGTCGCGGGTTTGGCGGGCGCTGGTTTGGCGGGCGCCGGTTTGGCGGGCGTCGGTTTCGCTGCGGGAATCATCGCGTTTCAACGGGAAATTCGGCGTCGGGACGATACGCGAAAACTCTTTAACTTTAATCGAAAACTCCGGCGATGGACGTCGGGGCGGACGGACGAATTGTAACGACGAAGGCGGCGAATGAACGTGTGCGACAACCGTACGAAAGAACCGCACTGCAGAAACAAACGAGACGAAAACGAATTATGATGTCATCGGCTGCGTCGAACCGACGTTATATATGCGACGAGTACGTGCGCGTAGGACAAAACAAAACAAAAAACAACAACAACGTATTTCACCGCGTCCTTGTTCCGCGGTTTTCGACAATCGCTACCAGAACGCGCATCCCGTCCGCGGTGGCACTCTATCTCTCGGATACGCCGTCCAACTCTACGATGCGAAGATAATATCCCACAAACTATCCCACGCGCGCATTTCTTCTAAAATAGTATTTTCCCACCGACACGCGAGGCGAGCCCCCCCACCCGCATGCCATTCTCGCGACGACGACCAATCAGTAACAATTATTACAATATATTATAATTACAATTATACCGTTTTCAACGCCGCGACACCCGCGAACGTTCAAACGGGCGTGATATCATTATTATTGTTATTGTTAAATATTATACAGAACAGGAGTAATCGTCGAGGTGATCCATTTAGGTGGGTACACTCATTTACTTGGAAAGTTAGAATTTTTTTCGGAATTCGTTTTCTAGAACATTCAGGAAACAAGCAGCTCTATAATTTTATATTTATGTTATTTTTTGTCACCCTCATTTTCGAGGGTAAAACCACTACCTACTTTATACTTTCAAACCGTATCTACATTAAAAATTCCATAAATAAATGGAGTATTAGTTAAAATAAATTCGAGTATTGAGTATAAGTCGCTGACGAAATATTCCAATTTAATTTTAGGTTGGGGGAGAGTTTTAGTGGTGCATTAATAACACATGGCGCGCCGTACCGCTACACAAATGACACTCCAATGCTCACCTCGAACCCAAACAAAAAAGTGGAATATCTCGTCAACGGATCGACGGAAATCAAAGATTTCAACATTAAAATTGATTTTAACTAATATTCCATCTATTTATCGATTTTTTTAAATATATGTCATTTGAAAATCAAAAGTAAGTAATGGTTTTACCCTCAAAAATATGGGTGACAAAAAATAACATAAATATAAAATTGTAGAGCTGCTTGTTTCTTAAATGTTTTAGAAAATAAATTCCGGAAATAGTTAATACTTTCCGAGATAATGAATGTACCCACTATAAATAGATCACCTGGTATATCGTTTATCTTTTCGTGTTAAGCCTATAGAAGCGTAGCCGGAAGAGGAGGGGGAATTATGGGGACTGTAGCCTCTCCTACGAACCGTGTTTACGTATACGCCGCATACAGTATGCATGGTATAGTGTTTTTTTTTTTTTTACGTAGAAGAGAGGGCAACTCCCGGATTAAGAAACAATTGGGCCCCGGTGTACCACATATTTAGTGGACTCCCTTTCAACTTTAAACTTCAAAAATATTGTATTACAACATTTTATGGTTTTATACATTATAATTGTATAATCTTGTAGTATAAAAAAAAAAAAAAATAATAATTAAGAATATATTATACTCGTATAGATAAAAATGTCACACTGCAGTACACTTGATATTAAAGAATTATAACTTAACATTTTTTCCTTGATTTTCCTTTTACAAATTATCGTGAAGTTTTATCGAAATCTATTAATATTGCAAAATATTATTTTTTGAGTATAACACTCATCGTATCATTAATGATGTTAAATCTGACTCTGTTATATTTTAATTTGTTATTTTTGTTAATGTGGAAAATGTTTTGTTAAACGTGAGCATTAAAAAAAATATATATTTCGGGGATAAAGACGGGCCCCAATTTCAATGGGTCCAAGGACAGCGCTCTTTCTCCCTTCCCTTAATCAGTGCGTAAGGGGGAGAGTAATTCGATTCGATTCGATCCGACCGAACTCCCCAATATACAAAATCCTGACTACCCCGCTGTCTCGAGACGAAAAATACGATGTAATTTTATTAAAATAACGACTCATCAAGTATTGAACAATGTAAATATGAAACTATAACAATTAATAACACTAACGACATCGGTACAGACAGTCTGATAATTGCATTATAATCCGAGAATGAAATTTTCGTTCCCTTGAAAATCTCGAGACGAGGATTTTCTCGATATAACGAAGTTTTTTTTGGCCAAAACTCTCGCTATGTAACGGGTTTTTACAATTTTCGAGTTTGCTGTTACGCATTTGTAATCACTCTCAAGATGAGATATTACTTCTTTTAAAGTGTAAAACGGCTCTACGAAAAATATATTATGAATTTTGATAATAAAATAAGTTTTTCCGACGAACATAATATTTATTGCGTAGCGGGTCGATTTAAATTTTCCCTTAAATCTCGTTATAACAAATATTTTTGTTGATTGCATGATTTTGATCCAAAGAACGTTTTTTTCTCCGCTCCTTGAAATTCGCGAGCAATAGTAACAGTATTATAAACAGTATAGCAAATTTAAAACTATGTTCTTTAAGAGCTACATCCGCATTTACTGCACTATTACTAACAAACCGACATAGCAAAATCACGTTAATTTGAACCGGTCCTTGGAAGAAATAAGATTCAAAAGAACTCGTTCTGTTGATTTCGTTAATTTTTACCGAGAACGGATCTCTTAAAAGACCGTATTAGATTTTTGGTAATTTTTTTGAAATACATGAATAATTTTTTTTTTCCTTTTTTTTAGATAAATCCACTTAATAGAAATAATTATTAAATATAAAATGTAAGTTTATATTTTTCTAGAATTCTACTTATAATAAAAATGTTCATAATTTGTCTTTAGAAAATATTCTATGCAATATTTACGGATTTTCCGAGGAGCTCGAATTTATTATGCCCCCTCCCAATTACCAAAGAATACTACAATACCTTATTCCTGTAATAGTTACGTAATGATCTAAAATCTATAAAACAATAATGGTACATGATATTTCAAAAAGCGTTTTTTTGGACAATAAAAAAAAAAAAAAAAACCGTAATAAGTTTCGAAGAGAAACATTCGCCATTCGTGTACACTATTTAAACGATATCACAATATTTTACTAAAATATAATTGAAGTGGTCGCCTTTAGCTCGAAATCAAAAATGCTGTTGAATTATTATTTACCCGTTATCGAGCTATTGATTCGTTTTACAACGGTGTACTTAGGTACCAACACATTTTTGTTCGGAAAATATATTTTGAAGCAGTACATACCTATTCAAGATACATATAGATACTATATAATAGATATTCGAGAAGTTTTATTCAGACATTTTTTTTTTTACAAAAGGGATATAGACGTATTTTGAATAGTTAGTTTTACTAATAACATTATCTCGTATATTGAGTTATCTATAGTTCGGCCGACGATGGCCTCGAAATCGCGAATAAATGAAAAATAGCGAGAAGAAATTCTGACAGCAGCCGTCTCAATACTTATTTCAAATAGACGTTTTACTCAGAATCATTATCTTTTACGAATTCGCAATGATTTATCCTTTATTTTCGCTTCGACCCATCCCGTCCCGTTAACGTCTTGTATCCCCTATTGTGTACGTCTCCCGTACCCATATCGATTCGTATTCCGCCGATTTTGGCCATTTTACAATATTAACTTAACGCTAGAAGTGCCGAAAAAAAAAGGGTCTATTAATACAATAGTACGCAATAAAGTCATTAAAAAACGCATTATTCAAAATTAAATTAAACCGTATCGTGAGAAACAAAGTGATTATAATATTCCTATAACAATTTTATAATTATCAGTATTTTTTAATTTTTTGGTTCACACGCGATGTATTATCTTTTGAATTTTGGCGTTTTCCATTTCGGATAGATTATGATATCCGAATATTTTAAATTCTCTATACCACAAAACCGCATTTAAACTCTATAACAAAAAAAAAAACTCACCAAAATACAAATAAACAAAAATATAAAAAACATTTTAACCACGAAACGCGTATTTTCGATACCAGCCAAATGCGCGATAAAAATATATACATACATTTTTTTTTCCAGTAAAATAATATTTATGCCTCTACGATTTCAAATGACAGACAAATATCGTTAATTCCTTTAGATTTTAATTGCATTCACAACGCGGAAATTATTTCGTAATACGCGCATAAAGCAGTTAGATAACAAATAATATATCTAATAAATACCATTTCCTCCGTCGCTTTAACGAGTTAAATTCATTTTTAACAATTTCCTTTTCTTTTTTCTTCGGGTATAGATAACTCATTGTTTAACCGTACGTTTCACCTGCCTAGCTCTATGACAAACATTCGATTTCGATGTGATTGATTTATGTAAGAAGGCTAAATAACCAATAATAATTATTAGGTAAATCAATAGTATGCCCAGATAAACAGCGATCGCCTAAAAAAAAATCCTAAAATTAAAATATGATGTAATAAACGGCTTTAGGGCCGTCCCTAAGGGGGTGCGAGGCGTCTATGCAGCAACTGCTATGACCACAGAGGAGCCATTGGAAATGTTTTGAATATTTTTGCAACGCCAAAACGCCCAACAGGTTTAAATTTTGTGTATTTGCTCATGGATACACTTTTCTGGTACCGGTTGCCGATTTTAGATAGGCACTGTATGGTTTTTAACCAGCGTTTTAAAATTCAATATAAATAAATTGAAACTAAGGTGGCATTTAAAATATAAAACCTTAGGTTTCATAGATATTACTAGTACTTATTATCAAACTCGATATTTCACATTGTACGAAATATTTATAAATTACTAACACTAAACTACTTAATAGTTATAAATTTAAAAATAAATTACTTTTATATGATTTCATTAAATTTCCATGAAATGTTTCGAAAATATAAGATTCGTACAAATTTAAGATCCCAGTTTATAATGTTTAAAGTGTTAATAATGTTTATGCACAGTTAGTCTTTTAAAATTTTCATTTTTAAAAAGGAAATTAAGAACATTAAAAGAAATTCAAGCCGTTTATGTTAATGACATAAATTCAAAATATAAATATTAGCCACACCAATTAAATTGCATCAAACATTATAGCTTACAATAGTTTCAGACAAATATTACAATTTTAAATACTATGTCTTTTTGTTTTACACAAAAATTAAACCAATTTAATTTAATAGATAAATTGCTTAAATAGTTTTTTAAAAAAAGTAAATAAATTTTATAATTAAAAATATTTAATAATAATGGTTATTAGAAAAGTAATAGATTTAATTTGAATTTTGTAATAATTATTAAAAATATTAAAAAAATATACTATTATTGAATAATACACATTTATGGAGGAAGAAGGGATTTCAGATCTCATAGATCTTCCTTAATTACTAGTTTATATATGATTTATATCGTATATATGATAATTAGATAATTTTTTTTTATTTTTTGTTGTAAAAATAATATTTGTTTTAATATAATGTTGTTTTTGAACGTGCTGCACCCACCACAAGCTATTGTTTTATGGGCAGCGTCATAGTTTGTATTTATTTAAATTTCTGTATTTGCATGTAATTATATTTATTTATGACAATAAATTAAACTTAATATTATTATTATTATAATTAATATTATGATCATTTACCTTTAAAAAATTGTTAAAAAAAAAAAACACCACTAAATCTATACTTAACCTTACCAAAATCTATCTTAACATAGCAATATATCAAAATTAAATGTATGCACAGAAGTTGTCTATACCAAAAAAGCAACCAAATTTAGAACAAAAAACATTAATAAAATATGTTTATTTTTCTCACTTGCATTACCAATAAAAATATGTTCTTTTTACAACATTGTGTAAGTAAAATAAAAACCAATACTAAAACCATTTAAACATAAAATTAATTGCTAAAAGTTTGCTTACCCGTGCTTTTGATGATAATGATGACTGTGATTTTGCTGTGGTTGTGATCGTAAATTCAAATTAAGCAACGATTTTGTGCCAAGTCTACAATGTGTTACAATTTCACACAACATGCAAAAACAAACACAAACATTAATACTACTGAAAACATTTAATCTATACAATTTTATATGGTTTACATTATTACTATATTATTATTTGCGTACTGTATTTATTGAAAATGTCCAAAATGTTATTATAAAAAATAAAAATAAAGGTAACCCAAATATTTAGGATTGAAAATTTTAAATAATTTCTTAGAAAAACCAACGTGCGTACAATGTGAATCGACATTTATCTCAAAAGGAGTCGAACTATTTGGTATTTGGAAAAAATATCTAGTAAAATCAACATCAATAGTTAATTTTAATAGAATATTTGACTAAAGATCCGATTAAAATAATTGAAATTTAACTTGTAATTAAACATTAGTTTATTTTTATAGATTTATCAAATTTAAAGTATAATTTTATATTAGTTTATCTTCTGTCCTTCAGTTACAGAGGTTAAAAAATATTAAAAAATGATTATACTTTATGTTTTAGTCCATTTCATTACCTAAAATGTTTGCTGGTACTAAAATGTTGTACACATCAATATTTTATAAATTAACCATGTTATAGTGTGGGTTAGACAAAAAAAACTAAATTTTATTTTTAACCTTTACAACTATACCTAATTACAGTATGATGTACTAATATTTTATTTATAATTATTTATTAGACTAATGTAAAAATGTAAAATAAATTGTACCTATCTTTATAATTTGGTAGTATATATTGAACAATTGCAAACATTATTTTAATTTTTTTTTTTACACAGATTTATTGATTAGGTACCTATTGGTGTGAGATTTAATTTTAAACATCAACATTTACTATGAAATCAAATTTAAGCAAAAATGTTCAGTTGATTTATTTAACAGAACATATTAATAATAATAAAAAAAGTTTAGACATAAGTGAAAATGTATAAGCAAGAGTTTATCAAATCTACCAAATTTATTCTGATGTTATATTTTACTTTTACAGCCAATTCAAATATTTAATTTATTTGAATTACTTATAATGCTTAATGTATTTGTTAGAATCTGTCTATTATAAACACTAAGTATAAATATGAGACAAAATTATACTCCAATTTTGCATGTAACCAAATTGTTTTATAGAACTGTAACAAATTTAAAAATTTTATTATAGAACATAATATATTTTATAGGGTTCAAAACAAATATGTAATAATTAGAGTATATAAAGTTTATGCACTTAAAAGAACTGTAATATGTATGCATTTATGCATTAAAAAATTACCAAATATACACTAAAAATCATAAAATATGCATTTTTAGTTTAAAAAAAAAACTAAAATATGCACAACAAAATTTTACCCTAAGTATTTAGTTTTTATTAGTAGTTATTTGTACGTATAATAATTTAAATAGATAATTATATATTAATTTACAATAAAAGAATTACAGTGTGATACAAAGTTTTTGTTATTTTTTAGATTTGTTCAAATTTTATGCTTTTTGCTTTATATTTCATTATTAATTTAAATTGTTTTTAAAAAGTTTGAAAATGTACTGAAATATGCATTTATATTCCTAAAATTCTAAAATATGTATTTAAAATTCAAACCATAAAATATTCAAAAGTATGCGAAACAAAAATACTATTGTTTGGTTCAGTCAAACATAAATCAAATTTGTATCCAGGTCATCAGTGAATTGGATAAACAGAAAAAAATATGCAATTTTATAAATAACTGAACCTTATTAATAATGTATTTAATCTGATTATATAATGGGTGTAATTTACAACAAAACTTGAGAGTGTGGACAACTATTTTGTTACATTTATGTAATGAACAGAGACAGCAATTATTTATTTGAAAATTAAACAATTTTGTTTATATATAGTTCTAAACAAAAGTTTATATTTGTTTATTTAAAAGCATCAGTTTTTATAATTTTATATTGCCCTCGTAAGCAAAAACTCTGAAAGTCACTAAAGAACATTTTTGAGAAAAGCGTGTTATTATATTTTGGATTTTTATAAGTTCATAACATCTCATACAATAAACTTCTTAAAGTATAATATGGATTTTAAAATGTAATTTTAACTGATATATTCAATGGAATATAATTTATATTTATATATATAATTATAATTTATATAATTACTATTCTATTTTACTGATCTATTAGTTACAAATATGTTTTACACATATCACATTACAACAAGTTCACAATCTGTACTAAGTATAAACGTCATAAATTATTATTATTATTGTATATTAAGCAAAAATGCTGTATTTTCATCAATACATTCAACAATTTTGCTTAGCATGGTTATTATACAACATGTTTACTTAGTAAATGCATATTTTAAATATTTACTATGCTCTGTCATAATAAGTATTGCTAATAGCCTTTTTGTAACACAACATTTCAGACATACCGCATATATTGATCTAAAAGGTCTGAATTTTATGATTTTTTTTTATGTATACAACTCCTCTTTCAGTATTTTTAGATTCTCATAGTTTTTGCTTATGAAGGCAATACCAAACTTAAAAGTAAAACTGAAGAATAACATGCTTGCCTTCGATAATTTTTAACACTTGGACATTTAATTTAAATTGTCGAAACCCATCAAAAGGATCGGAATGAGCTTGAATAATTAATACATTTAAAAAATTAAAACAGTACAATTTACAACTACACACACATACACACACATACAAATTTAACACACACAGGTGTTGGTCCTAAAAAGTTCACCTGGAAGCTAAAGTGGATGATTGGGGTGCGACGCTGAAATTTTGCGCCTGATTGAAGTCTCCGGTGGAACTCCATCGTTTAGAATTATACAAATTTGTGCCGCTGGAACGCTGAGGTTTTTGAGCAGTAGCAGGTCTTGTGGGAGATGGTGACGGAGATGCCGGTGGCACTGGTGATACGCTACTGGAACTCGGTGAGTCCGAATGTAACGATCCAGTAGATTGGTAATGTACGGCCCTTCTAAAATACAGTTTTCAAATTTAATTACAAAGGTAATGTACAAAGACCAATACGAGTTGTTACCTTTGTGGTAAAGAAGAATGTGAACTATTATGACTCGGGACTCTTCTTACCGGATCCCTGAGAGCAGACACAGGATGTTCGTTTGTTGATCTATAACGAAGAGTTACTTCTTTTTGTGAGAGAGTCGGAGAAATCAAATGATGACCGTTTCCACCATAATGATTTCCTAAAATACAAACGTTTTAACTAAAATAATTGTAATTTATTAGTATTATTTTCAAATATAAACTTGCATTTAAAATATAACATAATGATTTCTTAAAAACTACAGTTTTAAAAATTCAATCATCACCATTCAAGTAGATGAACTAACGCCCCTCAATCTTCTGTGATACGTTACCATAAAACACCAATTATAGAATTTGAGTATTTGACATCCGCGTAAATATATGTATACATTTTTTTTTTCATCAAAATAAACACTACGGATGAACCTTTATACATAAGCTTAGATCATATGCTATGGATGGATAACTATAATAACTATAGGATACTATGGAGTCATAGCCTATCCCGCCTATGTAAACAATTATTTGAAGCACATATTAGCAACGAGATAACGCATTTCAACGAGAAACTCATCGCTAATATGTGCTTCAAATATCGGGACATGGCTTCATCCATGGTATAATATGATCTAAGTACATAGGTAACATTTTCCAACAGCAGATGTTTTTATTACCATTAAAATTTGATAAAATATATATATTTTTTTTTTTACTGACCGTATATGACAGTCTAAAAAAATAATAATTAAACATGTTATTTAGCAAACGTTAGAAATTCGAAGGGTAATACAATAGTTCTGAAGGTCTTAGTCATATTAAATGTACCTACGTCAACTGTCAACATTTACGATACAGAATCCTTTTAAAACAGTTACCGGTCCACTTAATTTGTACGTCAAACAACCCGTAAGTTTCGATAACCGAACAAAAAACGATAAATGCGAGTTCACAACAATACGTCGTCGTACCAATATGCGTTTTAATTGCCTATCGAAAACGCCCAGAAATATTTTCTTTGACCTCGGGTGGCCATTGCGATTACTAGAATCGTTAAACGTACTTAGATGGTACTTAAGCTATTACTTAACATAAAAACTATAAACCTGTCTTGCGCGTCTTGTGACCTTTTCGGTTTCACGATAAATTATTGTGCGCTGTATGCAATAATGTTAAAATAATAATAATAATAACGCTTAAGTTATAAAGTTCACTCGTAGAGAAATATTATTATGACCAAAGGAAGTACCTATACCCGTGTTTAAAGCCAATAAAAAATCAATGCCCAACACGATGTTACAACATAAATAAATACAAATTAACGGCTAACGGAAGCTTTTAAACACAAATCGGTATTGGCGAAATCTGACACGATCAACGCCCAAAATATTTCTACAGCGTTTACGCGAGTAGAATCGACCCGAAACCCCGTTAATAACTATAGGAATATTTCGAAATCAAATAATGTTAATATATTATATGGTTTATGGTGTATATAGTTGAATGTTCCTGATAATTCAGTAAAATATGTTTCAAAATTAGTGTATATCGTCAAGAAATACTAGCCTTGCACTAAAATAGTGGTAATATTAAATTTATTATTAAATAGTTTTTTACGGTTTGAATTGGGACGAATTTCTAACCTCGTCGGAATAATATTTACACCGCCATCGTCTATTTTGGAACAAGTGATACCTATAATATGCTCGTAATATTGCAGATAATAATATTTATTACACGTCGTTTTCAGTAATAAATATTATTACCCGCAATATAAATATTAAAACATTTAAAACGACGTACCTATACCAGATTAGAAACATATTATTGGTACATATATGGTTATGACGAAGGAATAATTTTGTTTAGTGCCCACCGAACCCCGAAATATCGGTTTTATATACTGATAAAATAATAAATATCAAACTGTAGGTTAACTATTCGATATAATTTATCCAGCGAGCGAAAATATATTTTAAACCGGGTGTAATATTATACATTTTTAAACGGAAAAAAAAAAAACAAAAACAAATTTGAATTTTTTTTTTTTAGTTAAATTATTAGTTACATTATTCGTAACTATCGGATTACGCAGGATATATATATAGGGGGTTAAAGCCATAGTGGTATAAGTCATATTAATTTTAAAGTTTAATGTCATATCTTAAGTTAACATAACTGCAACCGGTTTGTTTCCACACAAATATTGCACTGCAATCTAGTCGTAGCGATTATTAGTTATGACTTGGATTCACTTTGCCTATCGAACAATTTTAAGAAATATGTAAAGCACTAGAATCAATTTTAACGAAAACATTAATCACACCCACATTCAAATTCGCAAATTCTAACGAAATTTACTGTCATCACATGGACACTGTATCTTATACGATATACAGTTGTCTATTTATCGCGGAGGTAAAATTATCAACATTATTGTGTGGACCCAGGCTTAAGTGCGTCTAATATACTAACATCGTGAACAATTTTTTTTTTTCATTTTTTGCGTGTAGTCAACTATTATTAACGTTAATAAAACTTTTTTTTATAATAATAGGTTAAGTATACTTATAATAATACCGTACGCGCATTATGAAACTAGATGATCGGCAAGTCCATTATTATCGCCATATAGGTATACTGCGAGAGGAATGCAATTCATACGAGACAACAAATAAAAATAATACAAAAAAATTTAACATTTCACCTCGAATATAATAATTATATTTTTATTGGGCTTCATTATTATATTTTTTTTTTTTGCGTTATTTATCCTTTAAATTGTTTAATCAAGGGCACTTCCTTGCTGTAATAATATTAGGTAAGTATAAAATATATTTTGTTTCAACGCGAATTTCGTACCGCAAAATGACGACGGGGGAGAGGGGGGGGGGAAATCGGACCGAAACCGATATAAAGCTTATTCCCTTCTCGCCTAAATATCGCCGAGCCGTTCGTTTATCAGATCAGCAACACATATTGTGTACTATACAACGCATAATAACAATAATAGGTGGTTTTTTTTTTTTCATTCAAACTTTCCCTATTTACACTCGGCCTCGGCCGTCTCCGTCATTGCGATTGAGATATGCGGATATTCTATATAATATACATAACAGTATCAATTATTAACGTTATTAGCGCGTACCGGTTCTAGGCGTATTTCCGTTTTTCAGAACCGATGTGTTAAGACTCAACGTCCGACTTCCTTCCAACTGGTTCAGCCGCCTGAGTACGTCCGCCAGCGTCGACCGGAGGCACACGATTTCGTCGCCTTGTTCCAAAACTTTCTTTTCCAAGTCGCAGACGCGTTCGCGAAGGGATTCGTTTTCAGTTTCGATCATGTCATCTAAAACAGAAAAATAAAAAAAACTCATATAGAAATTATCGCATGATGACCGCGTACAATAACTGCGGTAACATTATCGTTATAACGAACCCATTTTTTTTAATGCTAGTTATTTATTTTTATGTATACATATTGTATTGTAAACATGTTACGCAATGTTTTCAAGTTGTTTATTTTAGTTATTACTGATCAAGGGGGGGAGGGGTTATGCTGCAAGTGAGTATACGTTGATACCGTTATATTGGAAAAAAGTAAACAAATTCAAAATCAAACCGTTTGTAGGTAGTTTAAAAAAATAAATAAACAGCCGTGACACAATGTATATATATTGAACGCAAACACGAGGGACAAATTGAAACAAAACTCTATAAAAAAAAAAAACAAGGTATTTTTTTATTTAAATTGATCGCATGCAAATGTTCTGAAAATGTCCATACAGTAGCGGACGAACGAGTTTTCTGACGTTTATCTCGAGGTCTGATTTCCGAAATTCAACCAATAAAATATGGTGGTTGATACTAACACAGTTTTGGAACGAAAATCGTATTTTTTTTTTTTTTTTTGTTATTGGTTTAGTTGTTGACGTGGATGCAATTTGAAAAAAAAACCAGTTATATAGATATAAATAAAGTAAAAAAAAAATGTATAAACATACGGAAAAAAACAAAATAAAGCCTGGCGTAATATAAAGGTTATAATACGCGACTGAATATAATATGTAAAATAATAGAAAAAATTAATATTTTTTACACAGAAAGCAAAGAAATTTTGTTTAAAGAGATCGTAAACAACGACGGAAACATAGATTTAAGAATTTGTATTTACTAACCAAACAATTTCGAAAAGAATACTATTTTTTTAATTTAGTCAATACAGAAAACGTTTTTAAATTTATTTCCCTAACCTTTATTATAAGCTTATGCAATTCTTCTTCTTATACAGAATAATACTCCAGGCTTTGATGTGTTTGTTATTTGTTGTTCATACATACTATTTTTTTTTACTTTTGATATTTTATAGAGTTTTAATCTGATACCACAGTTTTCTTTTTTTACGTTATTATTAGGTAATTTCGTTTCAAAGGGCGAGGAAGTGCAGTGCAACGGTTAACCATGTATGATAATGGAAACGTAGACGCACGTTATTGAATTTTTTTTATTATTATTTATTTCTGTTTTCGGAAGAATTTTTTAAAAAATAATTTTTTAATGATCAAAAAAAGGTGAGGAATTGACAAAGACGAAGCCATGTGCAGAACGGCTAGTTGATAATATTATAATTTAATAAATCCAAATACTTTCCAACGGGTATGATAATATTTTCATTAATAAAAGGATCTCTGCAGATTCCCTGCTTGTCCCCCATATATAATATTTAATACTTTTCAATATCGATCAACTTCCATTCTGACAACTGACAAGCCCCCCTCTATTTTCTAAAAAATAATCTATCGATATAATATTATTGGGTATAACAGCGTGTATACTATGTATAAAAATGTCCCATGTATAGTTTCATAAGGGCTTATGTTCGAAAACGGATATAGAAACATTATGGCCATAGAAAATAAAATTTCACTTTAAAAGTACTATTTTTAAAAAAAATTAAAATAATAATTAATGAATAACCAAAACATAATTTGATTCCTTGCAATGAATGAACGCATAGTGCCATAGTACACACATCTGTGGCATCTTATAAAAAACACGCTCGCCGTTCCCCAACTGCCCAAAACATACTGACCGTGCCCAGTTACCGTCCAAAACATAGTAACCTTTGGCAGCCCCTCACCTGGGGAACGTTAGTGACCCTATGGATGAACCGCTATTGTGAATAGATTCGAGCATGTAATAGTTTTTTTTTTTTCTAAACCAGCGGTTCTTACTACAATATAATTTTGGAAAGGACCGAATAAACGTTTTAAAAATTAACAATTTATACGTATTATATATCAATAAATGTGTTAGTACAGTAATTGAAAAATTATTTATTGTATAATATTATATTTATTTATTAAATTTCGATATCGATTATTTGATTTGTTTTCATATTAACGTTGACGGGCGCCTCTTTGTTTCTTTTACAATCTCGTTTACGTCTATATTAATGTTGACAACCGCAATAAATTGTCCGAATACAGACAAATAACATTAAAATGGGACAAATAAAAGTTATTGCATTTTATAAAACTTCAAAATAAATATTTTATAATGTTTATTCGTTAGAATTTTCGATTTTGGAGCGTACAACAATTCTAGTCTTAGTCTTGGCCACGCAAAATGTGGTAATGGACCGCGTACCACTGATCTATCGGTATTCGTAATTTTTTATCATTATTATTATTTTTTGTTTAGTAGTTATGAAAATCCTCCCAAAAAAAATATTTATTACTTGAATACCTATAGTATGGCAATAATATATTATAACAATACTCGTTTTATATTATTTTTAATACCTATTCGCTGTTTGTTTTGCGGGTGTTTTATTTTTTTTTTTTGTGAAAATACATATCCTCCTGTTTAAACGCATTCCCGACAATTCCCAAAAGTACGTTACCGGGGGACGTTCCTATTATTGTATTTTATCATCGGAAAAATCCGCGATTGTTGTAAACTTGTAACTCAAAAACGGCAACTGTACTAAAGAAGCCGAAATCGTTTTCGTCACAAAAGTCCCAACTCCAAAATGACAATATTTTACATCCGATGGAGATAAACATTTTTCTTAAACTCGACCATTTCATTCATTTTTTTATCATATTCTATTTATAGATATTTTCATGGTTTTTCAGTGATTTAGAGAATTTGAATTTTTACAGATTAGTATGACGACATATGAAATCCTATAAGTAGAAGGAATTTATGCGTATTGCATGTAGACGTTCCATGATAATATTGATAATATTTGAAACTACTATATTATACCTATACTAATATAATTATTTAACACGGAATTTCGGTAAAAATGTCGAATATTGTTATAACGAATAAAATGTTATTTTTACAAATAGTGTTTTTTTTTAAAAAATTTGTGACGACGAAAACAGAATATAGTATTATATTTATATAGGTATCATAATATGCGTGCGCACGGGGTATGCAGATCATGCGGGATGTGCCGCTGCAGCATAGTATGCAGTTCCAGATAGTAGCCCAAAATTGTTCAACATACATAATTAAATTTAGATATTTTTGCTAGTAATTCAATTCGAACTGCAGTTAAAACATTCTCATCTATCGTGGTTAAACGTAATGTGATTTTTTTAATTGTATTTTCGGCAACCAATTATATTCGACTATATTCTGGGGCCATATTTTTTTCTGAATTTATAACCCGCTGACGAAGCCTGCACAATGTGCACGCCTAACGATATATGACGTGTACGTCGTTGTCCGAAATTTGTTCACAAATAATATCAATTTAGTTCCACGACAATGAAATCCCGCTGCAAGGTACTATACATAGTCGTATACCCGCCGAATACTGTAATAATTATATCACGTGAACGTATTTTTATTATTAAAATTTATATTTTAGCATTTTCGCGTTAAACCGGTAATATTTCAAGGTTACCAATTTGAGTATTTATACACTGTATTATACATAGTATACACCATTCAAATTTATTTCCCAAAGTGCAAACAGCTCGAGTATTATAATATATATAGGTACTATCCAAGGAACCATTTAAAATAATATAATCAACGTTATAATTTCAGGGCGGTTATTTTAGCGCAAACCGAGTTAAGTATACTCTTAATAGTATTTCAGAGTTATATACGTACGGAATTTAACGAGTTTTACATTCAATCTATAAAATTATCAAGTAATTCAATTATTTTAATAACTTAATTTAAATTAATTAAAACGACTATATACTTATTTACATAATATACATTATGAAAATACTCTTAAAAAAATAAAAACTAGTACTAATATTAATGTAAAATATACAATTATTTTGTTACTTTTTTTATGCAGTCAATTTTTCATTAAATAATATAAAATAAATGTTTATATTTGTTGGTATATTGTAATACAGAATGTACAAATACACTTTCCAGTGCCAACAATATTAGAAACAGATAGCCAAAATAGCTGTACCTAAAAACCCAAGACGGTCTTAGTAAGACCTATAAACCAAAGTATCTTTTTCTATATATAACAATGGTGTTACTTTGTTTTTAAACTTCCCACATCTCCCACTGTTAATGGGTATTGGGTATATAGATAATGTAATGTATAATGTTGTAGGTAAGCTATCTATTTCTAACAAAGTTGTTTTTTTTTTGTTTTTTTTAAGAGGATGTCGGCGCTCTATTTGATTTCTCTCTTTGGCTCGCGCGCAACATAATACATTTGCAGAACCCAACTTGTATTGTTAACTTAACTCTTAAGTATTAGAGTGAATAGACCTATATTATCTGCAGACTTACAGTTAAAAACATATAATCCGTGTTTTTACAGCGGTTTTTTTTTTTTTACGATATTTCGATTTTGAAACGAGATATTATCGTAATATTTTATATACTTACATAACTTGCATACAAATTGAAATATCGTTAAACAAAAAAAAAACCCTTCGTATAAACACGATCATACAGATAATACGTTCTCAACTTTTCGATAATAGGTCAATTCACTCCATTATACTCAAGTTAACAACACAAGTTTGATCAGCGCTGTGCAAGTTACTCGACTTTAGTAACCGAGTAAGTTAGTAATTACCCTTAATTGAGTAACTTAGTTAAGTTAAAAGTTCCTAAATAAAAAAAATAACTCGTTAAGTTACTATTTACTCATCAAAAATGTACAATTTAATTTTTTAATTTTTTTTAATCGGTTTTCTTTATAATTAATTGTTTAATAGATATAATAACTTTCATGAATTTATGCTAGAAACAAATTTTCCATATTAATAGAACGTTATCAAAATGTATATATTTTTTCGTCCACCACGATAAATACATGTCGGTAACTTCAGGAAAAAAAAATTCCGAGTTACAAGATATCGGTGACGAAATGATGAAAACTAACTTGTAACGCGTTAAATTACTTTCGTACACTCTTTGAATTTGGTTCTGCTGAACGCGAAAATTCGCCGTGTTGCGAGTCGGGGAAAATATAAAATAAATAGTGCGCCGATACCGTCTTAATTCGGGTCTACGATTCAAACAGATTTCAATACGTTTTACTACACGTATACTAAAATAATATTATATTATATTATATAAAAAAAAAAAAAAAAGAAAAAAAAAAAAAAAAAAAAAAATGGCCAACCCGTAAAATACTCGCGTGCGATGTACGATAAAGTTATAAATCGAATCGCACACGTGTATTTTAGTAAAAAACTATATGTGTATTTTTTTTTAATTGGTTTTAGAACGCCCACCGGTAATAAAATATATACATTATTATACATATACGAACATTGTGCGATAATATTGTAGACAAAATATTATGACGCGGTCTTGGCTGTTACATACGCGGGTGTAGATTGTAATTTTTACAGCGCATACCGCGCCGTGGACCTTTTTTATGTAAACGCCGCCGCCGCCATTTAAGTACAAACAATAACGCCACTGAAGTATACGTAATAACGGCGTGTATTTATCGAAATACGTATTGTACCCTAGCATTCATCGCACGGACGAATAAATGCGATAATTTTCGTTTACGACCGTGTGCGCTCGCGAATTACCGGGCCGTCCACATCGAATTTTTATTGCAACCAAAAACAAACAATAACCGGGTCGTAGTTAAAAAAAAAAAACATTGTAATTAATTAGGTACATATTATATACACTCACTCCATGCCAAATGCACCTTAGCCGTTACAGTCTGCATGTCGACAACGCTGAAATTATCATCATTATTATTATACAGGGTGTAACAGGACTGTTTGACATTTTCACAAGTAACTATACAATGTAAAAATGTCAAATAGTCCTGTTATACCCTTCATAGTTTTTATTTTTTTACACGGTAACAATATTACGTCGGATATTATACGGATATTACATGTGTGTTTAATAACATATCGTCTGCGGTAGGTAATAAATGTAATATTGTATAATAATATAACCGCGCCTTTCCGTCCAATCGCATTGCGCAACAGAAATATTATGAAAACGAAAATTTATGACTTTTCGGTTCTTCACAGATAACGCACAAAAAACAAAAAAAAACAAAAAAAACAGAAAAGTCGTCAAACCGTTAGGCGAAGAGGATATATTTTATCGAACGTGATATACGCGCTGGAATCACGCGATAATGCGATTGCGTGATGTTTTTCGGTTTAAGTAATTAAAAACAAAGTTGGGAAAAACTTAAAACTTCAGACCACTATTATATACGGCTATATAGGTACCTACGGTTAGGTTAGGAAATATACTCGCTGAAACCACTCGAAATGCGCGCGCGGCATGCCTCAACTCGGTTTTATGTAGGTATACCTAAAACAACTATAATATATAGCCACGATGTCGATACAACAAACAAATTTAACACTATAAAATACAAATATAATATTATACAGGGTGCACCTGCAAGATTTGACAATTTCCTGTACGATATAATTGCATTTATTATAGGAAAACAAACAGTACAACGATGGAAGAGATACCTATAAAAAGACGGTTAAACGCATAATTTTCTAACCAAAAATAGCTCCTTTTTTTTTTAAAAAAAAAAAAGGTACATAATTCACCTTGAAGAATATTGAAAATGATACGTTCGGAACATATATATTGCTACATGAAATTTAAACCTGCAGGACGATTATTAGCAGCAGAAGAGCCAAAAAGAGATTAGAAGTGTTCGAGACGTTAAAGATAAGCTGGACTGAGAGAATAACGAATGAAAAGTACTAAACAAAACATGGACGAGAAGAACACTATTGTATTAAGCTTGACGAAAAGACGAAATGGGTAAATGTGAATGGTACATGTCCTGTATTGCATATAAAACACGATTAAAGTCGATATAAATAATAATATGACATTTTGTAAATATAAATATTACCTATTGTGGTTATTACATTACAATATTTTATCAGTTATTAGTCAGGATAAATGACAAGGATTTTCTTTTCCATGGGTTAATATCATGCAATAATATATTATCATATTTTAGGCAATGGGTATTGGAAAAGTAAATTAACAATGGTCAATGGTGATAAACAATATTGTTATGATTGAAAAGAAAATTATTCAAATTTTCAAAAAATCATAGAAAATAAAAGACTGTAGCGCAGAGGCATACTAATTATTTAAAAAAATATACATATATATATCAAAAATATTAAATAGAACAAAAGTTATTTCAAGTAGCAGATCATCGCGGGACGATATACGAAACAACTAATATTACCGAAGGAACGAGTTCTCACTAATACAATTTCGATACGTATTATTTTCGATCGAATATTTAAAAAAAAAAAAAAGACAAACACTAAACTTATAACGTCGATAGACCAGATCAGCGTCGACACGCTCGTTTTATGATATTATACACAGGAAGTTTGTCGCGCGCGGAAAAACAAAACGAAAATGCGAAAAATGAATTATAATACGACGGACTTCGCGGCTCGGAAATGCACAATATAATAATCATAATGAAACTTGTCGAAGTCCGCTACGGCGTACGATAACTGTGCGATATAAACGGGTAAAATGTTTATCGATTTCGAGTATATTAATTAATTCTAGTATATATTTTCTATATTATGCATTGCAATTATTATTTCCTTCGAACGTAATTAAAACCGATAATTAGGTGAGTGGGCCGCGATGTCAATTATGCCATAAAAATTAATCGACTCTAATGAATTAATGAATTCTAATATATATAATTGTCTTCGTTTATGACCCGGACAAATTATAATTGACTTTATAACCGTTTACGTATTAGGTATGTATTTCAAAAATAACTTTTTAAATTTAATTTATTGTTCCCGTTTACGTTTAGACGCAAATCATAATATATAAAACAGTAATTTTCGGAAAAAAAATAACAGTAAATTATAATTTTACAACAGTTAAAAGTGCATTATATTATAATACATTGTGTTAGGTGCACTTTCACGCCATTGCATTATACGAGTTCGGCACGTACATATTTTGTTTGGCCGGAGAAAATAGAAATACAATTATAAACCGTTTAATATAAATTAATGTACGTTTAAAAATTTAATTTAGTACGTATACTCAGAAGAAAAACCGAATGTAAAACAATTTTTTTTTTTTTTTTTTTATCAAGAATTTCCTAATATAATACGCGCGGGAGGGGAGGTTTGTTAATAGACCGAGTAGATTTCGACGTAAATTTATTATGCGAGTACCTTAACAATTGCAATTCATAATTCACAACGATAATACTATACAGGGCGAGCGAAATACTAGCAAAATCGTGTTATGATAATATAATTATAATATATCGTATAAACAATATCACAGAAAGCGTTTTCAACGTTCAATACCATATAAAACCAGAATTATACCTACACTACGCGATAATTGTTATTTAACGAAAACTCGTATACGGTTACAATAGCCGAAAGCGCAAATCATTTGAATTATTAAACGATAATAATAACGGTATTGTTACAACATTTGTTTAAATCGTCCGAAACTGCTAAAGCTAGTGAAAAAAAAAAAAAAAAAGGAAAAAGAAATGATTATAAAATTAATCGTACTACAGTCATCTGTATTATATTATATTATAGGTGTTAGTCGCTGTTTGGTTTTTTTTTCCGAAATGTATTTTCACTCAGACAGAGATGTACAATATATTTTTGGTGCCGGGGAAGTACACGGCTGGGACGAATCAACGCGAGCGGATGGAATTTTGTAACGTAATATCGTTAAACGGCTAAACAATTTTCAATGAAGTCCTCCGAGTCGAGTCATTTATACGCCAAACGACAAAAAGTACACCATATAGTAACGGCTCGCGATACTTTCGTTTGCAGTAAAAGACGCGTGCACTCGTGACGTTTGCGCCGGACGAGGGGGGGGAGGAATGCACAAGACCACCAAATTATATATAAAAAAAAAAAAAAAATGCCAAAAATCGACTTGAACAAAAAGACTTCTTCTCCGGGTCCGAAGTGTTACGTTATAATAACATTGTGTTTTGCCAATAGCGAACATCGTATTTTCGTTTCTCGAAAATGTTATCACAATGTTGTCGTAACGCGTTTTCAGACCGAATACGAGACGTGAACCTAACACCCCGAACTAAATTCAACGCTAAATCGAAAAACACAGGACGGTGTAATCTCGCGAACAAACGAAATTACGGGGCAGTATGACGGTAACATACTCGTGTCGGGGATAATCAAATGGCCCGCGCGCATTAATTTTACGCGAAATTTACATGAAAAATTTACTTGCACACGCCCCGGGGCCCTTGTGAGGCGTAACGTTTATTAATCGTGTATACGTTCGTATTTTATTGTTATCGCGAAAGAGCCGATCGCAATATCATCGTTATCAATTATCGCCGTCGTGTCTCCGAAGGATAAACGCGCAATAACAACAATACTGATATTACCGCGACTAGAACCGTCGTATTATTGTATTATGGCCCGAGTGTAATAATAATAGTATAGGTATACCCGTTGTGTACAACACAGACTGTATTATTATCATAACATAATGTGCGCATAGCACGCGGCTAATGCTAAATTTGGAAATCACGTCGTCCACCACGCCGGATGGAGGTTGACGACCGAAGAGGTATAAGTACATAAAAATAGGATCTCCAGATTCCTGTCGTCTGGAAGCCGGACGTCGCAGCGGTCGTGCGGTACGTACCGCGTATACCTACGCGAAAAAACTGAACGCCGACGACGATTCTCGTGTCGCGTAAAATCGTATACACGAATATAATTCTGCGCGGATATTATGGACAGAAAAAAAATAAAAAGCTACGAGCTGGCTCGACAATAACAATGATAATAATATTATATTCTACCTACGGAAATACACAAAGTACTTACGCTAAAAAAAAGTATTTAACGAACTACGGAAAAAAAAAAAATAATAAATAAAAAACACCGCCAAAGAACGGACTTACTAAATATCGCACGCGTGTGTTATATTATTATCTTACGACGAAGACGAAAACGACACGACACGAATTTTGACGCACGGGGGGGGGAAGGGGGAACAAACCAAAATTACACATCGAAAACGAGATTTACAATATTACGCAGCTCGTCGTCATTACGTTATATCGTTGTCGTTCTCGATTTATAATAATACCTATACCGGCGGTGGCCGGTCTGCAGACTGAATATCCGAATAAAAGTTCGTACGACCAGAGTCGATAATTATTATTGCGGCTATTTAATTATGTGTAACGACCGTATTGGTATACGGAAATCGGACGAATCCATTTCGGGCGGACAAAAAACGAAAACTGCGCATTCACGGGAAGGCGGTAAAAAACGACAGTAGAAATTAAATAATTAATTATAAAAAAATATTATGTGAAAAAAAAAACACGCGAACACACGACACACTCGGCCGACGTTTGATTTCAAACACAACGGCCGCGTCGTTGCAGTGGCGCGGTTGCAGCTGTGCTGCGTACGCACGCCGAACGCGCTTCTCTCGGGAACGCGCGTCCCTCGCGAGGGGTGACCACGAGGGTCAATCGATATATGCGACGCGGGGCAGTGTTGCCACTTAACGGGGGTCCCTCGGCGCGTACGCGAAAAACGGATACGCACAAGTCTGAACAGCCGCGGTCCGTTGTACGTTTACGATAAGCAACGATAAGATCCGGATGAAAACGGAAACGTCGCGATTCCCGGTTCGGCGGCGTTATCCCGGGGGAGTGCACACGACTGTGTAATTGCGTAATACACGCCCGAATTCCCGTGTACGCCGGCTAGACCAGAAGCTCTCAGACTTTTTTGTTCGCGTGCCACTTATATTATATTTGTGGCGCTCGGTGCGAGAGGAGACGATGTCACATTTTGTTGGGAAATGGGCTTTGACATTTGAAATTCCCCATAGGGCTCTGTGTATTTTATTAAATATAAATGTTTGTGTAATTTTCAATTTTTCACAAAAACTTACAACAATTTTTATTTAGAAAATAGAAATATTATAAACATTTTTTCCCGACAGATTTTTTCGAAAAAATGACATTGGCTCTTCCTGCGCCACACATAATAAAATATACTTTATGATACTTTACGTTATAGTATGAGTACTCTAGAAAAAATTTCCCGGAACACCATCACTGATAATATTATATTCCGAACGTTTTGTCAACCGTTAGGTATGTTCTTAACGTAAGCAATGATAAACCATTGCCAACAAAGAAACGATTCTGAGCGGAGTTCAGTTAATGGTGATGCTTTGTCAACAAAACAAATTTTATAATATGGTAAATAATTAAATAGGCATTATATATTTTTTTTAATAATGTTTGCTTAATATTGTATTGATTTTCCCGGTTTTTTCGTTTGTTGGGAAAACTCTTAAGAAAATCGAAATTTGACCTCACCAACAAAATTTCCTTTCAGAAAAATGTCTACATCATATATATCGGAACCAGATCTCTAGTAGAAAAGTTGTCCATAGATAAAACAATTGTAGAAACCACTCAGAATCTAAAATGAAAGTTATGTATAATTTATGATTATACCATAAACAATCTTCATCCTTTTTTTGATATATGTCATTATGATATGGGGCCCGACAATTTAAAATTATCCCCTCCCTTAATGTTTTTTAAAACCGTAACTGGCTTGATTTTCGTTATGATTTATCGTTGCGCACATTTATAAATTAAACAACTGTATATCCTATCTTCCCAGTTTCTCACCTACAACAGTGGCACACTCATCAGCAGTACCGGCTCTTTTTTTTTCTATCTGCTAAGAACTTTTCTACCGGATAATATTGCACCAGTTTTCAAGTGTATAAAATTTTCTGCAGAAAGCAAATTATCGTATCTATTGATGTATCGAAGACGATTCGAAAAAATTGAGAAACATGTAGACAACTGTAAAAGAAAGTAAACGGCAATAAAAAATTCATTATTTTCGATTTTGGCTTTTTTTTTTTTGTTATTCAGTTAAAAATGAACGTAGAAACTGAAATGTTCACACAAAATCACTAATACTAATACTAATTAATATTAACGAGACGTGATCAAATTTTCGAAACATTCTAGCGATTTTTGAACTATTTTTATACAATTACGCAATTAAAATAAAATCTATGATGCAAAACATTTTTATTGGGTTTTTTTTTTTTTGTAAATGCATAATATTGAGTACATACTTAAAAAGTGCAATCATTATTTCTGATTATATAGTTGAGTTGATGCGAATAGGCTGCAATAGGCAAAATAAAACTATAGAAAAAGCTATTTTTTTTTTTTTAACCTAACGAAATATGTGAAACAAAAAAACATTTTAAGCATTTTTAATTTTCATAGTTGAACTCGTTGTAACGTGACATACATGTTCATAACAGATTTCAATGACATACCAAACAAATAAACAAAAAATTACTGTATATAAGTTCCGAACCCTGGCCGTAAGTTTTCAATGCTAAATAGATTAAATATTTAATTTTAACGCGATCGGCAGGGAAGAGGTGTAGATTGAGGTGAGGTAAAGCATTTTTCCCCTACTCCACGCGAATACGCCATTAGCGATTACGTATTATATGCAACGATAATCAAATTTAAAAATAATCGATATCATAATCATTCCAACAGTCGATGTTTCAACGCCTTAGGACGTAAATGTCAGTGATTAAAAATGTTAGGGGAGGCAATAACGCGATTATTTGTTCATCTGAACAATATATTATATATTATGAAAATCGACGATTAGGCCCTTTTGTTATCCATAAAGATGTAACACATAGTGCAGGTCCGAAATCGTACATTAAAATTTTGAAACTTATATGTAAATTAATTTGTTTTTTTTATTTAAATTGTTATTCGTATACGTATAGTATTTATAATAACGACAAGTGTACTGCGTAAAAAAAAATCAATGTAATACGTTTAAAAGTAAATGATTCGAGTGTTGAAGATGAAATGATTTTGCTATAGAGTTGGAACGCCGCATATCAAAAAAATATACGAGTATCAATATTATTGAAGGACTGCATAATATATATTGCAGTTATAAGATCGATATTGTCGAGAGTTCTTGTAAATCTTGTAACTATATTACGACCTTGGAAAAGTATGTTTTTTTTTTTTTAATTTGTTTATTTAAAACGAAAAAAACCTGCATTAAAACATAATTTTATGTCGTAAATACAGATGACCGAAAATTGTTATTTTATACTTTTGTATGTTCGATAAAAAAAAATGTGTACATTGTACTTCCTATGGTGAGTGTACTTGTATCCATAATGATTTAATTAAAAAAAAAAAAAAACACTACATATCCGATTCCCCTCCGTCCGTCCGTTTACATCTCGCGAGAAAAACTTATTATGAATTCAAATCGGGTTTTAAAATTATTACAATCGCGGACCTCCGGAAGTTTATTTTTTCGTCCTCCGGTTTATTATAATTTTACCGAATTGAATTCGCGAAAAAACAATTGCAGTTTACGTCAACCGTCACATAATTTTCAAACAATAATTTTAGTTTCGTGCAATAGCAGCGTATTGCGAAACTTTTTTGAAAATAAATTCGACCATTCCACTCTAAACTTTATAACGACATTGGTTCAAACACTTATACACATAATACAATATATAGGTATATAGTTTCAATTGTCAAGGATTAATCTTATTTATTTTTCGCACGAAATTCATAAAACCGAAACGACAATAAGTTTTACGCGCGTTATATTATTTATACACACTCGCTACGGGAAAACTATTGTTAAAAAACGAAATTTAAAAACGTAAAAAATATCATAATTCATAACACAATGTTATTTCGTTACTAAAGTTTACGCAGGTTCTCTGGACACAGGAGCCGATGATCTTTTAAATCAAACATCACACGCAAAAATCGTGGGTTCAATTAATTGAAATATTTCTTTTTATAGAGAGAGAGGCTCAATCCCCCATAGCCCACTCTCTTATTTGCACCAATTCACTAAATGTAAGGGACGTCAGGTTTCATATTTAAAACAAATTCATATAATATCTAATATATTATTTTTTATTCAAAATACTGGCAAAGAAGTCTCGTACGGAATGCAGCTGCCAGCTCCCCTTGCGCACGGCACTGATAGTACGGCGTTACTTGTGTGTTCGCTTGTTATCAAATCAAATAATATATCCGAATAATTTTATTGTAATGATCGTTAATTTGGGAATCGCATTCTACAGCAGGTCTATGAAATAAACCCGAGATATAAATTTCTTAAGTTAAATTTTAATTTTAAATTTATTTATTGTTCGGATAAAATACACTTTTGTTTTTCAGCGAATATTTATACGTGTATAATAACAAAGTTATACTCGTATTGTTGAAAAATTCTCAGTCATAAATAGTCGGTAAAACATAATTAGACAATGTGTATGCTGCACTTGACGTGCACACTGCACCGAAATACAAATATATAATAAAACTATAAATTTATTTATTTTGTCATTTTTAATTAAATTTAAAAAAATTGTGTATTTCATACACATGCAAGGTCGTAGCGATTGCACGCGACTGCCCGTATATCTGTATATAGAAATATTAAAATTTGAGTTCTAAATTTTCACGAAATATTTAATTTTCGTGAAAAAAATGCACAGGGTGATTCTTTTATTCAAAAAATAAAAATGTTTTGATAATTTATGAAACAAGCAGATCTAAAATGATGTTATATCGCCAATTATATTTTATCGCCCTTACTGAAACAAATATTGACTTTTGATTTTCAAATGGTAACCTATATATTAAAAGTTTCATATTATATAAATAGTGTTAGTTAAAAGAAATTTTGTTGTTAACATTTTTGATTTTCGTTGACGAGATACTCCACTTTAAGGTTTGGGTAGAGGGAGAGTAGTGGTGTACAAACGACGTGCCGCCGCACAAATGATACAATGAAGAAAGAGGGGGATTGAGGGAGACCAAAATAGAAGTGGTGAGATACGATCGAGAATGGTATGAGGACGGCGGGTGTATGCAAGGACCTGCATGTAGGATATCGGGTCAAGTGAAAGTTTAAGACGAGGGCGGTCGACCCTAAATTGTTGGGGCGAAGGCGAAGGAGAAGAATAAGAGTAGTCATCGATACTTCGAGTTGTTCAAGTGAAATATTTTGTATACTCATATAACTCTGATGAATATTATAATCGTAATTAAAATTTCCAAAGCTATATCGAAAACACAATATTATAATGGATACCCGTGTGTAAATATCGCCAGTCGAGAGAGAAAGTATAAAATAGAGAAACAGAACTATGACGTGTACAGGCCAGTTGTAAATATTAGAAAATATTATCAGTGCATTAAGTATACAATATTATTTGATACATTATTAATATGTCATTTAATCAGTCATCGCTACAGCAGCAACAGCAGCAGCGTCAGTGTCTATACGTTGCCCGGGAATAATGTTGATAATGACAATTTATTTATTAGGTATTATTGTTAGAGTACGCGATAATAATAGCTATAGCGGTGTAAGCAATAACCGTGGTATACCAATGCTGTATAATAGTGTATATATAGTTGTTTATTAGCGATTAATTGGCTCAATTAAAATGTAAAAAAAAAAAAAAAAAAAAAAACGGGTGAGCGCGATGACACGGCACATATATGTATCGATAAAAAAAAAAACTTGAAAAAGAAAAAAAAAAACGTCCGTATTCGAACGTAAATAACATCATCATCGTCGTCGTCATCGTTGCTATAGAGAGCGTACGCGAAATTCAACCCCGCGCGAGTGTATCTCGTTTCAAAGTCAACAACAACAACAATAATAATAATACAATAATATGATACTGCAGCTATATTATAGCGGGACGAGGGAGTTTCACAATAATTTGTTTGTCACGGACGGCAAAAACAATACTATATAATATACAAGATACCTATTACTGTTTTGATGGGAGAGGGGAGGGGGTGTGTGGAGGAAATAATAACTATTGTGATATGTATACATGGGTATAGAAATAACTGCGTACACGGAGTCGAAATAATGTACACTAAAACGGGATTTGTGTTCTACGTGCAATAAAACTATTTTCCCAATACATATAATAATGCATACTGTGTGTATAATATGGAAATTACCGTTTTCAGATGCTAAGCGAAGCTAGTTTTACAATTGGTCTTACAATGATGTTTAATTTTTTTTTTTTTAAACCGCGTACCTACAAAAATCTTACCAACCAGAAATCTAGCTCCGATGAATCAAGTGTAGCACTTTTTCTAAGCGAAAATTTTATCTATTGGGTAAACTTTCGGGAGGTTGATTCTCCAAGTAATTTTCAAAATATATGGAAAAAACGTAGGAAAAACGAAAAAATTTACGAAAATAATGCTTTTATTATGATCAATTTTAATTTTTTGTTGCAATTCAATTAAACATATTCGTATAGGCTAGACATTTGGACAGAAAACTTATATTTGCCTTTTCTAGACGTGGTAACATTTTCAAAACATTTGAGCCGTAGTTAAACTACATAAAGACATTTTAATTTTGAGAATTTGTTACGTAATTTGTACTCGGTATAAGGTACTCAGTGGATAAAATTGTTAGACCAAACAGAAATTCTTGAAAATTTAACGAGATGTTCATTATAAATTCTGTTAAGTATTCAACGAGAAAAAATTGAGTTTAATGTAGTACTTTTGTTTTTTTATAAGAATTTTAATTTAAAATGTTGACGAAAATAGTAAATATAATAGCCTTTTAAAACACGTATAACGAACTCTCCGCTCAGAATCGCATTTCATTAGTAATGATTATTCGTTTGCATACGAAAATACATTGAATTCCTCTCTGTATCCTACCTTTCCAAATTTTCGTTTACAACAGTGGCCCATCTATCGTGCGAAGTATGTCGGTCTTTTTTTTATAATAGTAGTCCAACACGCGTATACAAACAAGACTCCTTAGACTTACTTATTTTTCTCGTGAAAAAAAACCAATAATGAGACTGTACATCACAATATTAATCGCGAAAAAAAGACGAAAATCGTATAGGCGTACTTTGATAGCGTTATGTTTTTAAAACATTTCGATCCGAATAACTGTCAACAGAAGATTCGATTTTCAACATTCAAAACGACATGATATACATTACAAGAGACGTTTCGAGAATAAAACGTTTCGGTTAATTCATAACGAGATGTTTACATTAACATTAACATTAACATGACGGATATTTACTGATAACCGCAAAGTCGGTTCGGGTAAGTTAGGCCCATCGACGAAAACTCGGTGGACTGATCCGCGTATGTGTGTGAACCAACGAAATTTCAATTTATTTCTTAATAATAAAAAATAATAATATTCCGAACGTTCAAAATTAACGTACGATTTTTTGGGACCGTGAGAGTACTCATGGGCCGTTTTCAATATTAACGAAAAATCTCAGTGTCGGGCATCCTATAATCCCGATCCGGCACTGCTGACAATAGTGCAGTAGTGATAACCGCAGATTGCAGATATAACCGATCGATTTGGACTCGAGGAAAATAACTTGAAATTCTGACTCTATATATATATCCCGACGATCCTTCAGATTTTCATCCTAAATATTAAATAATATTGTTTTATTATTATTGGTCAAAACGTGCGTTGTTTCCTTATACGAGTTCGTAAATAAAACCGGAAGACGGAGTTTGAAAACATAAATTGGCGGCCGATGAAATATACGATAGGTACGCGGCGAAAACGAAACAATTATATTACCATTTAAATGCGTTCGGGTAGTAAAAAAAAAAAAAAAACACTTGACAAACCCGCCGCGACGTACTGCGAGTAAAAGCGAACCGGTCAAACTGCACAAACTGCATGATGATGTTTACCGTGCTGCTGCTGTTGCAAACACAGAAACGAAAACACAATAATAATATATTCACCGGTTGACGAGAAAAAAAAAAAAGTACGGTTTTCGCCGACTGTGTGAAATATTACATCGACAGGTACAATATGTGATACGAAATTACGAAATACGCGCATATTATTATAACGGCGCACGTCGTCCGGAACTCTGCAGCTACCGCGGCGGCAGGAGTGTCAAGGTCGGCGAACATCCTGTACGCATTGTTATCCTCTACCGGATGTACAAAGGTCAGGTTGTCAGGTGGCGCCCAAAGGTTTTTCCAAAAAGCCAGTGCAGACGTCATATTTGTTTACACCAGCCCGCCCATCTCGTTCCACTGCCAGTGGTGTATTTTCGCATGAAATCCAAAATACGTACAAATATAATGCGATTATTCGACTTCCTATAAATAATCTAGACGATTTGTCAGCGGATTTGCAGACGAACCGTTCGCACATACTAATTGAAAACAATGAATGTATTTTAAAATGTTGTCATAGTCTAATAAAAAAAAAAAGAAAAAGACCTAAAAATATATTCCGACGTATTGTATATTGAAGTAAACGCATAGATACATACGGAAAAATACCAAAATCATCAACTAAACCATTAACATAAAAATAATTATCTATTCTTCGTACTATTCAGAATACGGCTCTATCATCTGAGATCCTCATACAGCTTGTAATTCGATCATGCTTGAAAGGTTCCAGCGTACATTTTTGAACTATGTTAGCTCCGCATAAAAAATTTAGTGTCTCAATCATATGATTACACACCTGTTCTGCAGTTACTTAACTTGACACGCTAGCTAATCGTAGGCAAACTGCTAACCTTACTTTCTTGGCTTGATCACCGCAAGGGAAAATTGATTCGACTTATTTATTATCCCATATTATCCCACATTATCTCTTTCAGTGCGGCACTCACGTCACCCTATTCTTTTTTCACTTCCTACTTCCTCAACTAATTATGGTCATAATGAACCTCTACGCAGGTGCATGTATTTAGCAAATCAAGATCCTTCTTTCCTGCTTTAATAATACTTAGAATAATTAATAATGTATTGTTTTAAATGTAAACATTGTAAAGCCCGTGTTGTATTATTACAACTATACGTACAGAGTTTATCAGTTACTAAATTATTGGTTTTATTTATTTTGAGTGTTAAATTTGAATACACAAAATATCCAAAATATCCTATTAGGTTACCAGTGCAGTAGTTCACTACTCAGTAAGGTATGTGTGGCGCCACTGCGCCGGTCGTCGTACATAATATTTGTGACGTTTACGTGGTGAAAACGATAGTTTTTTTGTTTAGTTTTGGATATTTTTTTCCCCCTTGCAGCGATCGAATCGCGACGATGGTCATCCTCGTTTACACACACACATATACAGCAAAAACGAACTCCCGTCACGTACAATAATAATAATGTGTATACAGAGTGACTGTTTTATCGCGCGTTACCACAACGGCGTGTTTATTTATTTAGACGTTATCCGTATTCCGAGCCGTGAGGTAACAAAATCACGGTTTATGGAGTTTTAGAAGGTTTATTAAAAAAACATAACATACTCGTTGGTCTAAAAAAACTCAAAGTTAATTTGACTTCGATCTCGTTCACAGCAATAATATTATTACAAAATGTTACCCTTAAAATCGAAAAATTACAAATAACAATCGAATGGCGATATATAGGAATATACGATGCGTTTAAGAGTAAAAGTTTGAAAATATTGTAACGAAGATTATAATAAAGCGTCGAAAAAAAAAAAAAAAAAATTGTTAGAACAAATGTTGGTGCAGGTTTTGAGTCGATAGGTGTATTGTACAAAAAGTGGAGTGTTGGTGCAACGTTACATTAGAACCACCGCAGAAAATATCGATTTTCACAGGTTCTAAGTGGTGTACAAATTTGGAATTTGCGATTACAAATGTGTAAAATTAGAAAAACAATTTTTGATGCACATTTTTTAATGAAATTCCAAGTTGGGGGTGCTAATGTAACGGACCTCGCGCTCGAGATGTCCGTGTAGACTGATCACTGCATGCAGCCTTATAGGTATCACAATAAGAGAGTTGTTCGTTGATGTTATGTTCGTTGGTTTTACTATTTTTAAAAGAGTTTTTTTAAATTTAAACTTTAATTATTTTTTGTTTTAAATTATAAACAATTAAATACGAATTGATTATTATTTATAGATTTCAGTAATGGTTCGTCGCGGCAGTTGAACGTTTCGAATAGATAAAATACAAGCGGTATACACATATACAACATAACTATATAAAAACAAATTTCAGAGTCGGCTACGTATTAAAAAAAATGCTCACCCCTTGGTAACGTTTCTAATGATTCGATAAGAGTAGGAGAAGTCATCGAAGTCGTTACTTCGGCGCACGAAGTAGGAATCGGTTGTGCTAATTTTTTACGTGCGTTATACAAGTTCCGTCTAACTAACGCCATATCGGCTGACGTTATATTCGTACTTTTTTTCAGTTTGATACAACTTTCCAATCCCATACTCAATATTTTGGCTAAACAAACAAAAAAAAAAGTTAAAACTTTAATATTTTATTTTCGTTTCAAAAATCTAACTAATAGTCGTCTATAGAAAAACAAAAACAACAATCGTGTATACAATATTTATTGCGGACTTACCGGGTTTATCGTCAATATTTTCGACGGCTTTCCGTTTGACGAACCAATTTAATTCTTGTCTTTCTAAAATCCGGTCGGAAATCGGAAGACACCTCTGTTCGTGAACGTTCGCCGACACGTCGGTAACGCAAATGTTTTGGTCGGAACCAACGATTTTAATAAACGCGTTGCAAGATTTTTTCGTACACCTCCATTTCGTTTCGCCGGAAGCGTTCGTATAATTTTTAGAGTATTTGTAATTTTGAAATCGAATTTGTACGTTTCCGCGTTGCCCAGTTAAAATGTATACATCATCCGACGTTTCAGACATAATATTTTTTGCGTTTAAGACTTTCAGAACATTTTGAAGAACAAGCTGCAGGTATCTGGTATACAGATTAGTAACTTTTAACTTACGGTGATGTCATTTTCGAAATTATTTCTCTATAGCCGATACATATTATAGCTCCGACGACGGAGATTTTTCTGATCCAAATCTATGAACAAGTGAAACGATAACACAAAATAATGAATTATATACTCAATGTTTACCGGTTCAGTTATATTTTTCGAATTTAATGCCTATATACTTGCGAAGTCAACATAATAAAACGTGACCCACGATACAAGAATCGCCTTATTCTATGTTCCGGGTCACAATAAAGGGAATAACTTTAAACGTCAAAAAATAAATAAATAAATAACGTTTGATACAAATAATGTGTTCATAATTTAATACGTCTCAGCGATGTGTAAAAAATGTCCGAGTACTTAAAATGACGTTCATGAACATGAAATGTCCACAAAATTAAAAAAAATATTCAGTATTTATATGAAGGGCACAGAAAAAGTACAGATTACTTAAACTGTTTGAATTGTTCAGCAGAGCAAAACTTCTCTAAATCTAGAAGACTAAATATTATTTTTTAACTGGTGCATTCAACATTTTACATTCGATATCCAACTGAAACCGCCAAATCTCCGAATGTAATTCAACATTTGGTAAGACTCAAAAGCGCCGTCAAATGATATATACCATATTACCATTATCTCAACATTTAAAAAACTAGACTACTATACCGTTCTTCGCCTTCTTCTGCTCTTCATGAATACCAATTATAGCATTCGTTTTATAATCCAAAACTCAAAAACTCTACGTAAAGAAATCGAAATTGCCGATTCTAGATCTAATTTGATCAATGTTCGGAAACTGCGAAGGTTTAGGCACGTGCAATGCGCGGCGAAAAGAACGACTGAATAACAGCGGCTGTGGCACGGACACCGACCAGTAAAAGGCTGAACGTCGGTTGGACGGAGTTGAAGAAAACCCGGAGCAAAAAATGGGAAATATCAATTGTAAAGAGTGTATTTAGCGATGCTGCGGGCTCTCGAAGAACTACAGTTAACATGCAGAAAATACTAGAAACGTATATCATTATCATTAGACGATATTTTCCGGACGTATCAACAACTTATGCTGCACCCAATATACCGGCCGTCGTATTTGATACGGGACATTATAACCGAGCATCACCCTGTACATAGTAATGATGTATACGCATACCATAGTGCAGGTAGGTTTATATTATTACGTTAGTATTATCATTATTATTATTGCTGTAGTAACCGGTACGGACGACTATGGCGGCGCGCAGAATCTTCAGATTTCCCACGGCCTTCGGAGAGACTATCGACGGCAGTGGCAGTGGCGGCGGCGGCGGCGGCACACTGCACCGTAATAATAATATTGTAAATCATATTAAACCGTCTCGGCCGTTGAATAATGAAACGTTCTCGAGGTGTCGTTAACACTTTGGTGGGTATTTTGTTGTTATTGTTATTATTTATACAAACGCGCGCAGGCGCACAAGTGTCACGTATACCTATAATATACGAGCATAATATTGTGAGTATATTATAATAATATATAATACGTCTTTAATAATGATGACGATAATATATTATGTATTATTATATTAAGCGTGTTTGATGACGACGACGACATCATAATACAAAAAAAATTTAAATTTAAATTTAAAAAAAAAAAAATACTTCGCGCCTCCGCCGCCGAAATAGATACTGCAACAATGACCGCACGACGACTATTATACGAATTCGCTACTATTATTGTTATTGTTGTTATTATTGTCGTTTCTGCTGGGTGTTTTCGTTGATTTTTTTCTTGTAATTTATAGTACCGGATTTTTATTAAGACGACGAGAAGAGACGATCACAATTATTCCTATGCGTACATAGGGGACGTAGACATGCATTTTTCGTATTAAGTTAATTAGCGAACGACTTTCACGTCGGAAAAATCGTGACCGACTACACCACACTGTACACTGTCCACTGCAGATATATAGTGTTTCGACGAGACGAACTGGCAGCAGCATTCCAATTAAAAAGGCACACGACGCGAATAAATCGTATACACACACAATTGTATCCTGTTACTTCGACGACACACTCATTAGACGAACTTAATAGACTGCGTAGCTAACTGAAGCATTGGTACCTAAACGCGAAAGGGCGCGGACGATTTTCGAAAATAATGAATTAATCGTGTTTTTATTGCGTTACAAACTTTTCACTTCAAATAATAGATGCATCACAGTATTACACGAGAGAAATCCGAAACTTATAAAAACTTACATAATGTATGAATCATAAATGATACCAAAAAGAAAAACTATTAGGTTTTGAGATGTGGTGTTGGAAAAGGCGTATGTAAAAGATCCATTGGGATGAATAGGAAACACACAAAAATTGGTACTATAGTAATAATCATTTAACAATTACGTATATTCGTCGTACATGTTATTTGAGCAAGACATATGGATAACGGTTGACCATGCTCTGGATAGTAGGACATTACAGACGAGACGAGTGACGTATTTAGAATTTTGCTGAGAAGGGAAAAATCGCATTTTTAAATTGTGTCATATTGTTTAACTCGTACTCAGGTTAAAAATCAAGGTCCAATTTAAATTTAAATATTTTTGTGAGTAATTCATATAATTCAATCTGCTCCGAAATTATCATTGAAATCGGATAACTAGGTATAGTTAAGTCAATAGTTATAATTAATTAATTTACTATTTAGGTGCTCCTTCATGTTATAAATCGGTTCAGATATAGATTTCATTTTAACGATTAATTGTGAAGGTTTAGGTTTTTTTTGTTATGTTAACAACTATAGCTGGTATCAACATATTGATTATTCTGATTAAAAAAAAAAAAGTAAAGAAATTTGAATTTAAAAATAATTAGTCGTGCAAATAATAAATACTATATAAAAGGGGAAATCCCCCCCCGCCGGTAATGTGCCACTGAAAAATGTGCATAATGCAATTATAGATCACGTGTGATCGAAGTGAAGAGAACTATAGAGCGACCTTGTACCGATTATGGTAGGAAAAATGATGCTGCTAGAGTCAAAAATGTTAAAAAACTAAAATAGAAACGGCGAGCAATCGGTCAAAATTGAGAAGAATTAGAGTTATCGACCGGCCTATGGGTTGAAAAAAATATCGCATTGGCTCAATAGGCATATTTACCATTCGTAATGGTTATGGATACATTATAATTTATATTGCAGTTTTGACAATTGCAGTATACAGGTAGGTACACATTTTTGTCCATATACGTATATGTACACGATTATTCCGAACCTTGGCATATTATCTGTATAGTATATAAGTATCGAAGATAGGTTCAATCTGTGAAATTCGATTAAACGTCATTTCGTTATACGCGCATATATTACCATATATTACATTTAAATAGTTATATATTTAAAAAAATCTATGTTAAAAATCTAAACTGTTGTTTCATTTATTGTTGTCGGGCTATATTTCATAAAATAGAAAAAAAACTATAATAGACGACGATCTCGAATACAACAATATTATTTCTTATCTTTAAATATTTTAAGTAACGAAATTTATTTTGCTTTGTCGCCCGTTAGCCTGAGACTGCTGCAGCAATAAAATGCGGGCGTGGGCGTCTTCTTAATATCGATTAAGTAATAAAACATATTCATTTTCGAATAAATTAATAGCGGCATTTTTTTGTTTTGCCTTTACGCTACAGCGAGAAATTAATGGTATATAACCGGCCATCGGCACGATTCATTACTTATAAAATACACTCATTTGTAATTTAATTATACACTCTACGTCCCTACATAATATTATAAACGTTGCACTTCTGATGGGTGACCACCGAAAATTTACTAATTGCAATAACTTCCCGAATTCAATTAAGATAATTTGATGCTTTCCACAATGTTTTCTATCAGCAATACTGCTCGAATAGAAAAACGACAAGAAATCTTTTTTTTTGTTGAAGTTTTTAATCTAATTGGTGAGTAAGAAAATCGGTTTTTGATTATTCACTTAATTTTTTTAATAATTGAGCAAAACCGAAAAAAAACGTTGAACGAACAGAAAATTCATATACAAAAATTATACTTTTATTATTTTTTATTTTATTTTTTTGTTATAATTCAGTTAAAATTTTGACATTTTGACAGAAAACTTATATTTGCCTTTTCGATACTCGATAACATTTTAGCCATTTTTTTAAACTATTCATAGGAATTTTAATTTTGCGAGTTTTTTCGAGATATGTATTCGATAGGTACTTTGTAGGTAAAATTGTTAGACTATACAGAAATAATTGAAAATTTAACAGGAAGTTCATTATAAATTGTACTTAGGAGTTGAAAAAAAAAATTGAGTGCAATGCAGTACCTACTTTTAAAGTTTTAATTTAAAATTTGTAAAACCGAACTTCACTCCAAATCGTTTTTCGTTAACAATGGTTTATCGTTGCTTACAGATATAAATTAAATAACTACTTTATGTATCCTACCTTCCCAAATTCCCTCTTAAAACAGTGGCATACCCATCACAGCAGTTTCAGCTTTTTTAATTATTATTAGTTTTTTTTTAATTTTCCAGGTTTTCTGATTTAATACGTATTGGCCATTAGTTAATACAAAAGTTAGTTTATGTATACTTAAAAAATGTGACCACAACCCCCCAAATAATATGTTTAAAAAAAAATGCAAACAGTTGAAAATCATATTACACAAGCGTTTAATGATCTAACGACGATTAATTTCAGCGAAACTTTTTCATATTTATAATGGATTTTTTTTATTTTTGTTTTCATATAGTTTTTTGACAATGTAGTTTTAATTGTATTACGCAATCGTTACACAATTTTTCGGTTTATAGAGTTTATCTTATACATTGGACTTAATCTAATGTCACAGAATTTATTAGAGTAATAATCTACCCAAAACTTTTTGCCCATAGCATTTTTCATTTTAAATAAACACCAAAATTGATTGGAAATTTAATATTAAAAACGAGAAATACGAATTTCTATTTTATAATTCTATTTAAATGCGGCAATGCAGATTTGTGGTTCAATCGTAAAACGGTAAAAATAAAAAAATCGCTTCCGTTGCCCACCACCGAAAATAGCGCCAAATTTAATTTAACGATTACGTCCGGTGTATCAAACATGTTTAGATTTCTTTCTTTTTTTTTTACTATTTTACTGCGATTTTCGAGGAACCAAATTGTTTTCAGGAGTTAGTAATAATATTATCGTTTCAGGGAAAATTATGTAATTCATAATATTAATATATTATTATATTATTGTTATCTTTGAAAAAAAAACATTTATTGTTTACATCTAGACGTTTAGAAATGTTAACTTGTCGTTCGACCCTCTGTACAAACTCTAATAATAAAACAAAAAATTTGTAAAATAATTCGAATACTGATTCACTTACCGGCTTCAGATTTTGAAGACGATGACAGTGATTCGGCGCCATTGATCCGCATAATGATTCGGCCGACGGAATAAATACAAATTTCGCGATTATTTATATAATCGAGTGCTTATTCATTTCGATGAATCTGAAAACATAATTTTGAAAAAATACAAAAATTAAAATCGCAGTTGATATTATGTAGGCATATTTAAATTATATACATACATTTAACACAACTATTATTAAATTCGAAGCAAAGTTATATTTTTAGATTCTGAGCAAGAGAGGAATTTACCAATTAGTTTTACTATAGTGGGTTTTTTTTTGTGTCTGTTAACAACTTTTCTACTAGAAATCTTACTTCTTCAGTCAACCTTAAGGTTGGCATCAGGTAGAAAATTTTGTCTATTCGGTACATTAGAGAGGTCATATTTGTAATTTTCCTAGTGGTTCTCTAAATATAATTGAGGGAAAAGCGTCGGAAAAACGGGAAAAACTACGCGAAAACGGTTTTTTTATTTTCCATTTGGTTTTTTTTTAAATTTGTTTTGTGTCGTTCAGTTAAAAATAACTTTAAAGACCGAAATTTCTCACCGAATACTTATATACATTAGCCTTGTCTAGACATAATGAAATTCTCAAAACATTCTGGCGATTTTCGAACCATTTATAACTGTAATTTAGTAGACTTATTTTTAAAAGGTCAAATCTTAATTAATCGAAGTTCGCTCAGAATCGTTATTAGCGACGATTATACATTACGTACAATTTATAAACATACAGCAAATAACTTCATTTTACATCCTATTTTTTTTTTCAGATCACACCGTAATTAGTTCTTATAAATAATATACCTGCGGTAGCTTGGAATCACTTCAAATTTCTATTTCTCCATTTACATACAATTATTATTACGAAGGTATACGAATACTAAATAATACTATTGTATTGTCGTATACAACCTATAGAAGCTGCCCCGTTGAGGGCTCGTATACTTTTCTTAAATCTCGGTATACCTATAAAGTATACCTATTTTACACGCTGATTTGCATAAAATACCTATACGAATAAATAGTATCGTGTATAATTTATTACACGGTTGAAATTTACGCACCCGGAAATAAATTTAAATCCCAGCTACACGCGGTAATAGACCAGCCAACAGGCGAACAGCAAAAACGACGCGTTGAAATATTAAAAAATAATTATACCTATTTAAAAACAAAGAGGTTTTTATAAACCTCTCCTCCCACCGAAACACTGGCATTTGTATGTAAGAAACGCATTTTTATACGATTCAATTATAGAAGACTAAAAATCGTACGTTTACCGCGGATTTCCTTTTGGTTTTTCTGTTTCGTATACGTCACGACCTCGTTCGGGTTCAATCCTTGTAAAAAATTCACAACACACTCGTTTTTATAATATGTAATATTATATAAGTACCTACGACTCGGCATCAAAAAATAATATAATAATAACAGGCCGATTAATAATCATGAGTATTAATAGTATGTCGACCGAAAAATAACGCGAGGACAGGGTTCTTTTTCGACATGGTAATCTTACTGCAGATAACAGCCATCATTACATACAAAGTCTCATCGGTTTTGACCGTGGAATATGGCTTTGACATAATAACATAATAAATATACCTAGATATCTATATAAAATATTGAAAATCCGATAAAAACGATTATATTTTAAAAAAACGAAATATAGAATAAAAATATAAACCATAATAGCTGTCGTTTATACGCCGGGAAATATAAAAACCAATATCGACAACGCTGCTGTAGTCAGAAATATGTTTACGAACCAAAAAAAAAAATAATAATAATAAAAAATCGGAAAAGTATGATATATAAAGTGATTTATAGTTTATACCTATAACGTGCCCAACGATAAATCATTGGAAACGAAAAACGATTTCGAACAGAGTTTGGTTAAAACATTTTTTAATAAATTTAAATTGAACATTGAATATCAAATGTGGCTGCGAAATAAATTTCAATTTTTCGTGGTTTGAGCGAATATTTTAAAATGAATTTGAACACGCTGATAAAAATGAATTTAAAAAATCGTGTTATAAAACCTCAAAAAATTCAAATAACTAAAAAACCGCCAAAATATTTTTAAATAATCAGACCACGTCTATTAAGAGTTAATAAAAGTATGCGAAAAAAATCGGTATCTTCGATTATTTTTCACTGAATCGCAAAAAAAAAAAAAAATAAAAAAAATAATAATAATAATAAAACCTCTGTAATACACTAAACTTAATCCAAAATGCAACAAAAAAGATCTCTTTGTCGTTTTTCGATACGGAACAAGTTTTCTGGTAGAAAATTTGTTAACACAATAACAAAACAACCACCTCTTTAGCATTAAACCATTAGACCATTAATATAAGGGACGAATTGTTAGTAATTTCGATATTATATGTGTCAAATAAAACACTACCCGACGTAAACTCCGCAACTGTTAGGTTACTGCATGAAAATTAGAACAAAAAAAAATTAATACAAATATCTACATAAAAAACGATTTTTCGGAAAGAAATTGATAATTTCGAAAAACTATTCAAATAAAAGTACCGAGGTGCGAAAAACGCGCATCTATTGCAATGCGCGACACGAAAATCAGAGCCGTTTAACTCAACGTAAAAGTGATTTCCGGGGAGAAAAAAAAGCGTATCTTTCGTTTCGCTCGTGAACTACAAAATATCGTGCGATCGTCGCGATGATGGCATTTCCGCGCACCCGGAAGTGCGAGTACATTATACCTATATACATACTTAAATTATAAGTAAATAGAGAAATTTTCGTATCTTATATTATGCCCGATCGATATTCCTATGGGCTCGATATTATATTCAGAACGCCGCCGCGAGAAGCGACCCACATAACATTATCGGAAAAAAAAAGTTACGCGCACGGGTAACATGTAAAAAAAAAAAGGCGTGCGTATAATACATATACAATAATATTTACATTGAACACAACATTCTCCGTGTAAACATACGCGTGACTATTATTATATAGATTTTTTTTTTTTTGTTTTTTTTTTTTTTTACTTCAATAATTACTGATGAATATTATTATGGAAAAAATAATAATAACCGTCTTGAAAATTCGTCGGCATACCCGCACATTTACCGGTTCGGTCGAACAATCGGGCAACATGGCGAAATTACGTAACTTGAAATTAAAATATACTGTGGCGTTCAGGTGTTGAAATTAGAGTTTACACATCACGGGCCATTACATTCGTATATACTACATTTAAAGAAAAAAATATAATTTTGTTTCGTGAGTTTCCCCCCCCCCCCCCCCGAAAATATCGTATGTTAGTTTTGTAGAAACTATCAGTATAGGTTCTCGGGACAAAAAAAAACGCACGGATTTGCATACAGCACCATCAAACAATATTCTAAGTGGATCATAAAATAGTATATTTGACCGCATTATATTTATTTATAATTTATTTAAAATTCATCCCCGGAAAATTTAGATCGTTCCTTTCAAATCCGTCAAATCCGATTCCTACGTAGTTTTGTCGTCTATCTTTCCATTTTAAATATACCACGGTATAACGTAACATGCACGTTTGCACCATGATAACGTGCTACCATGCAGGTTTTTACAACGGTTTCAAAACCGCCTTATTTACAGATATACTAGACCGTCCCAACTTTGTGGAAAACGGGAAGGGAATTGTTGATTGTAATTCTGTGTTATTATTGATGAAATGACAGTTCGTAGGTACCAATTCAATCATTGTATAGTACCTGTAGACTATCCGGGAACCGATAACCCGTATAGGTATATACCTATAGACCTATATGGCCTATTACGGTATCCTTTTTTTTTTACCCCGCCCCCCTAAAATCAGTTAGTAAATAAAATATTTAAATTGTTGACTTACATCGCAAGTACCTACAAATTGTTAGTACAGTACAATCGGCCAAAATTATCGCGCGCCAAAATGGACCTATACAAATTGATTATACTATTTCGACACCTAAATTTGTACATAATATCAACATTATTTTGTACATTAACCGCTATTGAAGGTGCGAGACAGAAAAATACGAAATTGTATTTTTACCAACAAAACTGAGGAGCCCTCTAATACTTATGGACTACCCGGGAACCAATTCGGTAATTGGGAATAAATTCGTAGGTGTCCGCCGATTGTTTCAATAATCTAGACAAAATTGCGCCTTCGAAAATATTCGCCCTTCTTTAAACGTTTGTCACTTGTGGTCATAGGCGTCCAATTATTTGTCTGCATGCGTCCGTGTTTTTCTATTGATTCCAAGCGTCGTTCTTTTATACATATAATATCTGCATGTTATTTTATTCGTTATATAGTTGAACCGTACCTACAATAATACGCAGTGTGCCGTAGTTTTTGTTTTGTTTTCTAGTATTCGAAAGTCACGGAAAAGGATAGCATACGAGAGTACTGTTGAGTTACGTTGAACTTGTCGATATATAATATCATAATAATAATACCTAATAGAATACATCGCGCAGCATTATCGGCGAGAGGCGATTGAAAGAAAAGAAGAAAAAACAAAAGCTAAATAAACACGAACCGGTGCGGTTTTGCGCGAACAAATAATAATAAAAATGAATAACACTGTGTATATAAATGCACATTTTTGTACTTTCACTATACGCGCACGCACAAATCCGGTGTCATTTTAGGTACAGGTACCTACTATAATACTATACAATACCTACCTATGTTATATTATTATATTCATGCGTCTTCGAATGTACCTGCATAGGTAAATATTATTATATAGAGAGATAATCGTCATATTATATTATTATTACAATATATTCGGTTATGTTATGTAAAGATACCTATAACTATAGATATATATAAAAAAAAAAAAAAAATAGTTAGGTTATTGATGCGATGAAATGGAAAAATGAATAAAAAAACAAAACCAACGCGCACGGGTTGTAAAATACGGTTTTCATTGAAAATCTCGAGACTAACGTAATTGATATAGATAAACCAACTGATTGTACATTGTACGCGTGATAGGTACTATATCGAGAGATTATTAATTATAAATACGGCGACTTATTACATCGGCAAAAAACACGGATAATATTTCAATAATAATAATAATTATAAACACCGCGGCATTGTGTTGGTTTTTTTTTTTTTTTAATATCAATAAAATAATGATTTACGCAACGTATTCGCCGTATAGAAAATGTATGTCGAAAATAACGAAAGGCGATTTCATGCCTGGTGAAGCTTGGCAAGAAAAAAAAACATAAAAAAAAATTATAAAAAACGAAATGCAAAAAATAAAAAAATACGAAATTCTTTACGATAATAATAATATTATGCGTAAGAATATATTATTATAACGATAATATTAAAAATTCTGAAGTAATAAAACAAATTGCAAATGAGACGGTGTTATATTGCCCTGCGTCTTATGCAAAAAAAATGCATTGAATTATTCATAGGGTATAATAAAATACATAAAAAAAAAAAAAACAATACGATGATAGATTACTGTCTATACAGATTATAGTATGTATTTATGTCGATTACTGAAACCGATATATAAAAATAGTATTCCATACCGTACAAGTGCATAATATTGCACATACACGAACGCGTCATTACTCATAATGGTAACATATTATCTTAATACATATCTAATACTATACTCTACAAATAAAAAAAAATTATAAATACAACACGTGTAAACATTTGAATAATACTAAAATACTTCACTTTCGATTTTTTATTATTTCTTATAAACGTATTAAAATATGTAATAAAACATTGATACCAAAAAAAATTGCTGTCCACTGCTGTAGGCGGGCTATAAAAAGGGTAGGAGAATATATAGGCTATTATATTATATTGTTACTCTACGAAAAAACGAAGTTGAGTATTCTGTTGTTGCCAAGGTGACCCAAAAATCAACAACAATTTCCCCACTTCTCACAATTAGTAAAAAAACTTCAAGGAAAATCAAACTAACCTCTTCAGTACATTTAAGACGAAATTCGCTTTTTAAAAAAAGACTCTATACATTTGATGACCGGAGCAAGATTTCAGTCAGAAAAGTAAATCGTTTATAAAAGAAAAACCACTCAGAATCTTAAATTAAAAAATACTTAATGATACGAATGTGCTGTAGTTTTTAAACGCAAATTTATTGAAACATTTTAACATTGTCTAAAGATGTTTAATTATGTATGTGGTGTATGATGAACGATAGGTCTTTATAGATATATTATAAATTGTCAAAAATTCTTCGAGCCACAAAAGCGGCCGTCTTAATAAACTTCGGGAACGCGCCATCTGAACAAATTATTACCTATAATAATTTTTTGACGCAACTTAACCTTTTGTTTTTATGTTATTTAAAACGAGATAGGAAAACCACTGTACTGAAAGAGACGATAATAATGTTATACTAGAATGCGTGCGATTCACAGCAGAAACTCCGTAACCGTGTGGATTTCAATGTCGTTAGAAAGAAAGACACGGTGACGACGTGACACGTGACATCTAAATTACATAAAGATCCATTAGATACTATAATTTTGTACAAGTATAAAATTCTATTCAATTACAAAATAATAACTCGTGAAAACATTTTTTGAAAAATGTGAAGTATATAATAAGATAACCTATTTTTTTATAGCTGTTCGATGTCAAACTGCTTTTTATTCAAACGAAATGTTTTACTATTAAGAGTAATAGATTTAAGCGATAAAAATTGTCTATAAACCCACACGATATTACTTTGTAGTACAGATAAAATAATTTGTGAATAACAAATACATCGACAGTAACCAAATAAAACGATAGCTGTAAACACAATATCCAGAAGATTACGTTACGTATCGTTACAGAAATATTAGTTAGACTACATTGTATGCATATATTATAATTATAATATCTATAATACAAAAGCATCGCTCATCAATAAACATGAATATGGTGATCAAACACGAAAATATAGGTGTGTGCTTGTCTCTCAGTTTAACATGAAAATACTCCTTAATTGCATCGTGGACGAATACCTGAATAGACTACAACCGGAAAAAACTAAAAAATCACTAAAGTTACAAATACGTTTTAGTCGTTTTATACACTGACTGTATATACGGATTTGTTGGTTTCCTTGTTGAATATAAAATATATAAGCACACCGCGTTTGCGGTCTTGCAGCAGCACCAGCAGCAGTCAACTCCGACGACAAAACACACCAACATCACTATCGCTAGACAGATGCGGATACGCGCGTTTGCGCATGACTTAATCTTCAAAAGTTATACATAACACATACGGTGAACGTACGGAATTTTTTTTTGTATTTGAGGTCGGGTTACGTATTGTATTATTACCTACCAACACCGCGGTGGATCATACGGCAGACGGACCAGCCAGAGTAAAACGATCCGGCGATTACCATCAGCATGTCTTTTGTGCGAATATTTGAGTGTATAGAGTAGGTATATGATGTTATAATGAACGGATATCCGTCGTTTGGAAAGTGGGCCGAGAGATGGTTTTCATACCGGTTCGCAGAAGGCGTCATTATTATAATACACACCAGCAAGATATATGGTTGCATTTTTAACCAAAACGGATTTCACGGTCAAATGGGTACCAACCTGTGACCCCAACAACAATATATACACAGCAATACAACTCATATTTAAAAAAAATAATAAAAAATTATACGATTTGCATAACCATATACCTAGTATAAACATTCAACTAAATGCAAGAACAGAAGTTCTAGAAGGTTGCAGAATATTCGAATCACGTTAGATAATGGACCTGATCTGCAGGTCACAACGACATTTTTGTCCTATGTTATCAAAATATATGATATGAGTAATTCAATCAAGGCGAATAAAAACAACACAGAAGAACTGTTGACAAATATCTATCGCGATAGAATCGGTCGAAATTAACGTTGAACGATAGGAAATTTAGTCGATGACGCCGAAGGTTTTCAAAATGATTGAAAAAAAAAAAACCTATCAAACTCAAAACTTCGAAATTCGACTAGAACCTAAGCCGTTCGCGGGTTTAAACAAAATGTCACGGCCCGCGTATAAAACAATATAAAGCCGTATTGCCTATATGTGCACAATGCACTTTAATAAGTTGAACTCGCGGTATAATATATGTGACCTAGATCGTATACCGGCATTAAAAACACTCCGCGCGCGAGATCCATATCAAATATATAAACATTACAATAGGTACCCGTGTCGCCGAACGCACACGTACGTGCGCATAATTCTGCGCTATAACCGCTAGTTCTCGATTCTGTCGTATAATTTTTATAAAAAAAAAAAAAAAAAAACTAAACAAAACAAAACGAAATATAGATACGTATCTGTACAAATATAAGAATATCAGAAATATTCGCGACAAACAATCGTTTTTTTTTTTTTTGTTTTTTAAAGAGATTGCGCAGTTAACGTGCACTGATTTGTTTTCCGTCGAGTGTGCTCGAAAGACGCGTAATTAGGTAGGTGTACAAGTGCCGGTGTGTTATACTGTGAGAACCGCAATAATTCTATAATGGATAGGTAGCACCTCGACCGTCGCATCTTTATTCACACGGCTATAATAAATTCAAAAAGTTTACATCCCGCTTGCTGCAGTTAGTTGCGAGTTATATTATCATATATATATATATATATATATATATTATGCAATATTCACTTTTTTACTACTGTTTTTTACCCCACTGTTCTAGTTAAAATACGTATAAAAAATGTGTTTCGAGAAATCAATCAAATCGAATTGCGCAGGGGAATTCCTCGCTCGCTTAAAACACGTCATCAATCGATCATAATAATACGATACTCGTACATTCGACCGATAACACATTTCCATTAATAAACTTCCGCAATCCCTATACAACCAGAGATAAAAAATTATCAAAACAAAAATAATATGACGATCAAAACATTAGTATAATTAATAACGGCAGTATTAACGAAACGGTCGAAAACTCTCGTAGCCCGTTTTGACGACAGTTATTACAAACAAAATGTACTACCAAAACACATTTCCGACATGTACGTATAGTAATAATGTAAAATATATCTATATCGTTAACTCAATATCATATAAATTACACACACAGATAACGCGAGATTATAAATTTGTTTCAGACAATACGTTCGATTATATCCGGCGTATTATATTTATTTTTCAATAAAAAAAAAAAATAATAATAATAGTAATATATTACAGAAACCGTGTATTAACAAAAACAAGTGTTTCGCGCGGGCGGAGTATTCAGAGAGGCACGTAGAAACAGTGAATTCGGTTCCTCTCAAGTACGTAATAAAATTATTATTATTATTTCGATCGTATAAACGATTTACAGTATAATAAACGCAAATATTACCGACGCTATGCAGCAGGATTAATTTCACCATTATTACGCATATTTACAATTCATAACGCACGCTATTATTACTATATCGAACTATATTTCTTCGTTATGTAACACCGAGATTAGAATACTTGTTCTATATGAAAACACCGGGCTCGCGAAATCTATACAAATATTACGAGGTAACGCGTATATAGGTAGTGTTTTGTTTTTTTTTTTTTTTAATTTTAAAATCTTGGCGTATTCTTACGCCAATAATCTAAAAAAAAAAAACAATCAAACCGGACTACGATGTGTTTATTTATTTGTTGTGCCTGTAAACAACTCTTTACCAGAAATCTTGTTCCAATCAAAAACTTTACAGCCATTTTTTGGCGAAGTTATTTAGTGATTTCCCGACTTGACAGTACGAAAGATAATAATAGGTACTCTGCTCAGAATCGCTTTTCGTTAGCAATAATTTATTGATTGTGTACAGATATACATTAAATTACACTCCATATATCATATCTTTCGATTTCCTTCCTAAACCAGTGTCACAACCATCAATAGTATCACCTTTTTTTGCGTATAAAATAAAGTCATAATTTTTAGTATAAATAAAAATACAAACAAATCACAAAATTCATTCTTCGTGTAAAACATCTTTCTTCAACTTTCAACAACAGCTACAGTGTCCTACTATAATGTTGAAAAGTTTTTACACAGAATTATTTGAACCATAGACAATTTTATTGTAACGTGAAAAACGTGATCAACGAGGCTGTACATTTTATTATATTTAAAAAATGAGCATCATTTTATAATGTGTACTTAAAAGTGTTTCGAGCACGTGTACCGAACGCAATCTCGTGTAGTACATAAAATCCCATAAATAATATCAATGTTTAAAGCCAGTGTCACACAATAATAATAGTTAAACGTAATAGTTGTGTTATACTGTCACCGTGTAAACAATAGTTAGTTACTATCACACTAGAACACTACTGCGATAGTTACTATCACATTCTACCGTAATTGTATAATAATTTTAGTTGACGAGTATTATTTTGTATTTACTTCATTGAACTCACGTATACAGGACGTTTATTATCAATGAAATAAAATAAAAATCAACTATCACTACAATAAATTACGATCATGGGGAGGACAACATCGTTCATATTTTTCACTATCACGATAACGGAAATTAAGTGCCAAATCGTTTTATTATTAAACCTTTGTTGTCGAATAATGGCTAACGTAAATTAATGCGATATTACTCTCGCGACAGCTACAGTTATGTTTCGCTATTATCGTGCGACTACGGCTTAAGTAACGTCACGTGACCGTCACACGTTTTATATTCAATAATGTTTTCCTATATACCTATAGCGACCTAATATCCCATGCTATTTATCTACTGCATTGGCGAACCATAAAAGTTAAAGTAGTCCCCGGGAGACACTTTTAAGACCTTATTTAAGCTGAAAACATTCAAGGTGAAAAAAGCATTCTAATTTCCATGTAAGTCGCAGTAAACGGACGTGTAATAATAAAATATATATAGTACGCTCGGGTAATATTGTTACCGTATTTTAGGCCTTGTGACAAAAACGAAAAAATAAATAAATAAACGTTTCAATTCCACTAAATATTATTAATGTTTGACATTTATATTAAGTTCAAGGATAAGTATGCATATATTCTCCATGACACAATATATTTTTACGTTTCTATATTTGGAGTAATTTCGTACCTCTATATACGAGTATAATATAAGTAAATAGCAGATTTTCCGACCTTTTTATACTACTACTGCTATTATACTGACCACCCATAAATTTTCCGATGACCTTTATTAAACCGCACTACTGTCAACTATAAAAACCTTGTATAACAGAAAAGTATTACATAAAGTCGACACGGGCCCATTTATAATCTGAGCGAAACACGATATTGGTTTTACTATGATGTCTTTTTCTCAGAAATCTAGTTCCAATCAAAAACCATATTGTCACTTTCTTGCAGCATATTTGATCAAATTGGTGCATTGCGGAAACATAATTTCTTGATTATTCCTAATAAAGGGGAAAATCTGGCAATATGTTGTAGAATTTTTCTTGATTTACGGGTTACCTTGGTCACAGGGAACAAACCACGTCTAACAATACTCTGCTCAGAATCGTTTTTCGCTAGAAATAGTCGAGCAGAGATATAAATTAAATCACTCTATATAACATATGATCCCTTCCAACTGCCTCCTAAAACAGTGGCACACTCGTCGGCAGTTACATAATTAAAAAGAAACTTTGTTGTCGCCCGGTTGAGAACCGCTGTAAATCTATGGCGGGTACCTGCATTAAAATAAGACAATGTTTTTTTTTGTTTAAGAAAAAAAATAAAACAAAAATATATCGTACAAATCGATTATCGTTACAATAATAACACAGTCTGCGTAGTAATGTAGAGGTGGACCGGTACGACGACGACGACGATGACGAAATTCGCTTCGTTCGGAGATTCGTGACCCGTTCCGTTGTGAACGTATATACACGACGCCTCCCGATCTCACGGCGTAAGAAAAAAGAAATAGAAAAGAGATTGTCGGCAGCCGCTATTTCGGTCCGTCGGGTTTCAAAACGGCTGCTCGCGCACGTTAAATCGTTATTATAAACACGCGAGATAATTAAAAATCAAACAAATATTGTGATTACGGACGCACACCCGGCGTGAAAATGATAAAAAATAATAGTAATAATATAATAAAAAAAAAAAAATTGTCGTCACACGCTTTCGCATACACGTGGACGGGGAGGTATTATATCGTTCAGCGGGCAGCCGGCAGCACGTGTTTTTTTTTTTTCTTTCTAAACAGCAAATTGCCAGTTAATCGAAACGCGCGAAAAATATTAACTATAATAACGAACGTTCGGTAATAAAATAATAACATCGCGGACAATGGACCGGTGGCTGCGGATGTCTCGAGCTGCGGTCATGGGCCTCCCGGTTCGACAATAATAATAATAATAATAACAATAAATACGCATAGGACTGCGACCATCATTTTCATTCATTCGCCCGCCGCCGTTGTCGGTCTATTCAATCGCGACAAAAACTACCACCACTACCGCGACGACGGTTACCCGGTGCTTCTGGTTCTCCTCCTGGGGGGAGGGGTGGGTACCGGACGACGACGAACAATGAAACGACGAGCACGTTTTTTTTTTTCGCAATCTTATTAACGCGGTTTTTCTATCGCGTTTTTTTACCCGCGAACAAACAACGACGACACTCGTCGTCATTATCGATTTCCTTGACGATTTCGATACCCGCGCCGTGCATATCACGCCCCGGTATTACCAGTTATGTAAAACAGCGGCCGGCAGGCCCGGGCGAGAAAAGCGAGTAGCACTTTTCTCCGGAAATTAACAAAGTTTTAAAAATCTAACATTTTCATTAATATTCTTTCCCATTCAAACATTTATATTATTATTTCATCTGACCTACCTAGGAAAATATTTCTAGCTACGCCTCTGATGTCAAATATTTTTAATTTTTCATCGTTACTGCGCAGAAACGTATACAAGACAGCACAAGCACACGTGTATACACATAACATGGATAATGAACGAACGGACAGGGCTATACCCATAGATAATAAAGAAATGGATATAAGGCCACTCCTACAACAATAATTGCAACAATAAGGGAGTTACATAATTCAACCCTTATTCAGTTTTCATCTAACTTCGATGTTGATCTCTAAAAACAGTTTTTAAGTTTCCTGAAAATTTTCATTTAATGGAAAAATGACCTATTCATTTACAAGTGAGGCGATGTTCCTGGATGGGCTGAAAACTGAGGCGATTTATCGTTCGCCATCGTATAGATAAAACGCTTCACTTTATGAATCAATCTTGGAATAATTGAAGCCGTTCTTTTTTGGAACACTGATAAGGGATGGATAGCCATAATTATCTATGGCTTTACCTGATCGATAAGTTACAATGACGACGAGTACCGAATTATGCGATTTGATGTTACTGCAATGCTTTTTATCGGGAACACGGAAATCGGAGCTGTTGGTTTTTTAAATATATGACTAATGATAACAAAACGTACATAGCTAATCATTTTTTTCCTGCGACCCTATCCCGGTCTAATACCACTACTATAGCCTATATTATACTATAATATACTTATCAAAGAGAAAAACAAAACATCAAGTGTACAAAAAATACGTTAGACAAAAACTAACAAAATATAACGTTTCTTAGTCCATGATTGTAAAATATAAAATATAAAATCTAATATGAATGAATCATGTGTCTTGTAATAAAACGGTTACACATTCGAACGTAAATAATTGATAGCATAAACAGAGAACAATAAATAAATGATAACAGGATCTCTGAATACTATATAATCTCCATTCGAATCAGCGGATCGTTTTGACCGCAGTCAGAACCAAATCCCAAAACTATCGGGCAGTTTGAGTTTGCGTTTTTGGTGTATTACAACGACAAAACTTTATTGCGCATGCGGCCAGTGGCGGATTTTTCGGGGGGAGTCCAGGGGGTCTGAACCCACCCCAGACACTGATATAATCACAATAAATGTCGTCCAAAAGAGAGCCATCTATTAATAGATAATTTAAATACGTATGATTCTTCAGGACCCCTACCAGAAAAATGTTGAAAATCCACTACTGCGTGCGACCACCAGTTCTGTGATAGTTTGAACGCGCGTCGGAACAAACCTAATAATATCTGTATCCGGGCAGCATTTGATATCTACGACGTTCGCGCGCGTCGTTATTATCCGTAATAGGCGGCGATGAGCACCGGCGCGGCGACGGTGTAATCGTACATAACATAATGCGCGTTTTAATCGTTCGGCGTGCAATTTTTTTTTTTTTTATTAATAAAACGATTTCGCTTTTCATTAAAAGAAAAAAAAACTGTTGTTTTTTTCCCCCTTCTTTTTATTACACGCGCGCGCTCGCGTATCGCCACCTATGTAACACAATACAATACGCGGTGTACGTCCGTCGCAGTGCCGAGGGTATCTCGTGCGCGTATTACCCGTTATCATTATTATTATTATTATTATTGTTATTATATTCTCAGCGGCAGCGCATTATTTTGGTACACGCGGCTGCCGAATGTTTCGCTTTTTCAACCGTTTAATAATACGCGTTAATTGTTTTTTTTTTTTTTTACTCTCTCCGTCGTCAACGCCGCCCCGGACGTCAGCACAGTTCCGTTCTTCCGCGTCCGACCACCGTGGTCGTCGTCGGCACTGTTAAAGTTATAAACGTGCGAAAACGAACAAAAAAAAAAAAGTTTAAAAAAACAATGGCGGTCCGGTATTACTATTGTTTATACACACGTATACAGCGGGTTAGGTTAATGAACACGACCGGCGGCGGTACATTCATTATACGCACGGCGGTATCACATAGGTGTGTCGACGGTGGCGGGCGGCATAAATTCCCGTATTCTCCGGCTATAGCTCACAATAATAATAATAATACTAAATAATAACCTAACAAATATAATGGAAAAAAAAAAAAATTAAAAAATAGTACAGGTATGACCTGTGCCGGCCCGCAGCGGCCGGCCGGCGAGTTCGTCGTCGTCGTCGTAAGTCGTGCTCGTCCGGGAGGGGGAGGGCGAGGGACAACATACACACGCACAAACACACACACACACACACACGGGATTTACAATGGCTTCTATAATACGTATATAGCCGCTGCTTCTAGTCACCGACCGACCGTACCTATAGGTTAGGTACCTTCTGCGTAATATTATAACCTAACCCGGGCACGTGGAAACAGGTTCGCGCGCGCGTGTGTGTGTGTGTGTGTGTATTATAACTCATAAGAAAACTCGACGCCACGACCTCCGTCAAGAGGATCTTGTCGTCAATTCCGGTCGCGTCCACCTCTATAATATACACTTTCGTCCCGACAACGACGACGACGTGACGGTAATATTTTACGATTATAATAATATCATATCGTACACACGTCATATTATACACTCGTAAAACGCATTCAGGCGAACGACGAGTCCGTCTCGGTGCTCGATAAAACAATATTGTCGTCTGCGGTCTGTCTGCAGTGCGACTCTACAATAATGATAATGATTTAGGCAAATCGAAAATAAAAATTGCGACAACAGTGAACATTGAATTCAAATTTGTTCGGAGATCATGCGCTCTGATCCCTTCCCTCGTGATTATGTCACTCATCGCACACCTACCCCCTCTTCTCGGGCCGTGGCTTTTTACAGTTCTACGTTCTACCCAAGCGAAATAAGGGGAAAGTAAACGCGTTGATTGAAACGTGCATATATTTTTGTTTGAGGTTTGTAATGGCACCGACGAACGTACGGACGGCGAGAAACAAATAATGTTTTTAACTTTATTTCGCGGTCGGACGGATTACACCGTCGCAATCGGCATGAACGGTTAGGTAATGAATGCTAGGTACGTTTAACAACATCCCGTCATAACAAACACGAAACAATGTAATCATAATGATAATATATTTTTTTTTTTCTAGTAGGAAGACGAGATAATTAATTAAATTTCACTAATTTCATTCAGCCCTCCCCTTCTACTACACCGTAGATAAATTATAATCGCCACTGTTTTCAACCGCTTTTACGATCGGTTCCGGAATATGTCAAGCCGAAAAGAATCATAAAAAATTAAAATCAAATTGACGCAGACAATACATTACACACCGGTTTTGAACATAACGTAGAAATAATACACACATTTCGAGACACAGAAGGGAAGTCGAATTTTAAAATTAAAATGTCCCTATTATGGAAGGAGAGGGCTCGTACACGAATTTACAGATAATTTTTTCCCAGTTTTCGAGTTGTTATTTCGATCACACAGCCGCAGGAAACGATGGACTTCGGAAAATCGAAAATGCGGAGTTACCGAAGGTAGAGATAGGCATAGGTAATAAAAAAATGGATAGGCCACTCCTATAACAATAATTTTAAGTGAGATGTTCCCGGGGGGGCGGTAAACTGAAGAAATTTACCATTCATCACTATATTACGTATAAATAAAACGCCTCACTTTATGAAACTGCAGTAATATGTAACTGTAACGGTCCCTCTTGAAACACTGATAGGCATGGATAACATATCCATATCTTTATTATCTATGGAGATATGACCCGCATATTCACGGGCTTAATCTCGGGGGGTACAAGGGGTGCACTCGCACCCCTTTGAAGTTGTATGGGGTGCAATATTATCATTTTGTACTACCCATAATCGAAAATAATCCCTGATTTGTTATGCAAAACCTCGACGGGTAGTATTTTATTTCGTGTGCAGTCTGTTAATATTTTCTACTTTAGGGAACTTTTAAACCCATCTATCTGTATTGCTCTTTTAAATATTTTTAAGCGATTCTTTAGGCTTTTTTGACGTTTTTAAACGCTTTTTATGGATTTTAAGTGCAAATGAATCCGTTCCCTAATGATCATATTATATAGTTTTCGTAAGCCGTTTAACTTACTTATATATTAATGTTTATTATTAAATACACTTCTTTTGGATTTTTTTTTTTTTTGATTTTTTAGTTACCTTATTACTTAGGCACGTGAACGTCAGTTTCGCACTCACTGAATTTTAGCGAAATCAAGTCTATGCGGCGTATCTATCGACGGGCGACATTGTTCGAAAATCCGTTTTCGAAATTTACACCGCTTCGCTACACGGACCGCGATCGGTGTATCGGGTCGAATTCCTCAATATGCGTCGCGTCAGACAAAGACGGAGAATCCACGGTCGTTCGGCTCGAAGATTGAAATATCGGTACCATATTTGTAGTAAGTGTACGTACGGAAAAGTAAGTATAATTACGTGAACAACACGGGCATACCCATTTATTACGCGTGTCGTATCGCAAGGAATCCGGCCGGGCCGGGCCCGTTGCCCGCTACCGTGCGCCGACTCTCTCGCCGCGGACTAATTTTTATCCTCGCGCGTTTTATTCAAATGCGCTGCGCGTGTGCGTCTCTCTCTCACTTCTCGGTCCGACAGGGTAAAACGGGTCATGGCTAATGCCGACCCCGGTTTTGATCGTGTAACGTCATCATATTTTGTTGTTTTTTTTCGCTTTCTTTCAAACCGCACCGGTTCGCGATCGTCGCGTGTTCTACACGGATGACATTATCATCTTCGCCCCGTTTTGTAAACAAGGTCAAAATATTTTAAACGGTTCTTAGTGTATAATGTCAATTAAATATCAATGTAGTCACCAAATTAGAATTTACTCGAAATTTCCGTAGACGACAACCGTTGTCGGCTCGCGATAAATTAATTGCCCTGTATACACGCTAAAACCCTACCCTGGTCGTTGTCGATATGTATTCCGGATACCGCCTCCTCGTGATAGACAATGCGATAAATTTGTCGATAGAGAATCACTCGATCGCAAAAAAAAAAATTACTCGTGTATACAGGTAACCGATGAAGGACGGCCCGAATAGTATTTATACGGTTCTTCGGAACAACCAGTAGTCCTCGCGCCTATATATTATTTTGTGGCGTTTTATTATTATATATACCTAGTGGCGCACAACTAAATACTGCAATACAATGCCACAATGACCATGTTGTTGACGAAACTGTAACCGATTTTTATTTTTTTTCTATTTTTTTTTATCACAATATACTCGGTTACCTATATACTATAAACGCATACCCGTCAAGGATGTAACCATTAAATATAAAAAGTCGCCTACAGCGAACAAAACAAAAAATATATAAATAAAGCTATTAAACAAATTATGGTTCTCGTTGAGTTTCCTAACTAGGGAATATGTTGGAAATAGAAATGCAATTATTCTTTTACCGGAAATCATACAAAAATCGATTGTTCTTGAACAATTTTTAAAAATGCACAGTATTTAGCATGAATGATAAACTTATGATCATCACTTATGATGAAGATAACTGAAATTTAGAAAAAATAATTCCAACGTATCCAGGTAAATAATCATGAAATTCGTTTTCAAACTGGAAAACAATTTCCTACAGTTTGACTATTTCGAGGGTTTTTTATGTTTAAAAGATCATATTCGTCCATGAAAAGAGTCGTACACCGTATCCTTTAATAGGTATCAGACAGTAGATTGGTGGAAAAATCTTAACACTAATAATGTAGCCATTAAAATTATATTCAAATTTTTCAAATTTTACAAAAATTGGAAACAATTATCAATCTATAGAGAATAGTGCACACACTATATAGTCAAGGGGTTGCGTTTATATTAGAAAAATGTTAACTGGAGTTTTGAAAAAACGAAAACCTATATTGGTCGCTTATCAAAAGCGGATAACGAGGAGGGGAGTGATTTTGAAAATAACTATAATTACGATGAGCTAAAAGTATATTGGACCATAAACGGGAGGGAGGCGATCGCTCGTTTCATCTCCCCTTGGATTCACGTAAAACGTTGAAAACGTACCTAAGTATTACCAACATAAGGTGATTTTAAGAGTTTTATATAACATTGAAGACAACCGAATTCTCTAGATCCTAATACTAGAGTATGACATCGATTTGTCGATGTTTACTGAAATGTGTCGTAGACTGTACATCCAGACGGTTCGAATCGTTAAAAAACCACTCACACTGAAGATTCTCAAAAAATTCACCGGACGTTTTTAAACATATAGGTTAGGTACAATGGACTAATATATTACCTATACATGTCCTCATTGACGAAATAATAAAAAGAAACTTCGTGCTGAAATATTTTATACAAGGATACGTGGACAGGTATATTAATAATTTAAACGCGATCTTCGACTATCATAGAACAATAATAATATTTAGTATGCGGTCGTTCGATTTCAATCGAACGTGATTAAACCGTTTTACCTGTACCGAAACTAATGGCCGACAAACTCCAACAACAATTCGAATAAATCACCGGACTCGTTAAACACGTTATACAATAGAGCAGTTTCTACAAACAAGGAGCTATATTAACAACCCTACCGTTTATTTATTTATTACATTGATGAATACACGAGACTAAGAAAAAAAATCATACAAATACACCTGCTGCTCGAAATAATAATAACAGGTAATATTATAATAGGTATTACGTACCTACCTATTGAGATATATTTTTTTTTAAAAAAAGGCTAATAACACGTATGAGCGTACCACTGTTATAGGAGGGAAGTTGGAAGGGAGAATATAAGGAATCATTTAAACAGTACGCAAAAATTAACCATTGTTAACGAAAAACGATTCTGAGCAGAGGAATCGCTTGATGTCAAGGAAACCCAGAAATCTGAAAACGTCGACAGTTTACTCCGGTTATTAAGAAAAATCAAGGAATTACCATCACAATGCACCGACTAGATCAACAATGCTACAAGAAAGTTCCAGTGAAGGTTTTGATTGGAGCGAGATTTCTGGCAAAAAAGTTGTTCACAACACAAAAGCAGCTGATACTGGGGACGGGTGCAACCACTGTTGTAGGTGAGAAGTTTGGAAGGTAGGGTACATAAGGTTATTTTATTTAGATCTGTAAGCAACGATAAAACATTTCTGACGAAAAACGATTCGGAAAAAATTTCGGTTACACATGTATTGAATGGCCGTAATTTATTTTGTGATTTTCGTTTAATATTTGATTTCAAAAAGCTTATTAAAAACATGTTTTCTCCATTTTTACAATGGAATTTTTGCATACCGTAAACCACTTTTCTCCTTGATTCTCCTTGCTCAGATTTATTAGAGTAGCACCTTTTCTGAAAGTAAATTTTACATATTTGGTACTGTCAGAGGTAATTATTTGATTTTCAACGCAGTATTCGAAATAAAAACACACATTATCGGGAAAAAAACGTACGATTTTACGATTTCATTATTTTAAATAAACATGGATGAGGTTTTCTACGAAAAATATTACTCTAACAGAAAAATAACGCGAGATCTTTTTTGTTGAATTTTGGATCTAGTTTCTTACGATATCATTTCAAAAACATTTAAGCTATTTTTTAAACTTTTCATAGCCATTTAATTTTTAGGTGTTTTCTTGTTCTAATTCGGTTAAAAATATTCGTAGACTTGAAATTTAGAAATAATACTTATATTGGTTTGTTCTAGACGTGATAAAATTTTCAAAACATTCGAGCTATTTATTTTTCACGATTTTCTTGAGGAGGAATATATAAATGAATTTGTTGGTGGGTACATAATCATATATCATAAAACATGTTCACAGACACGAAAAAATATACATACATCATAGTAAAACCAACACATTCTCCGCTTCGCTCAGAATCTAAAACTAATTTCACACAAATACGTTTCTCGTTACACTCACACTCTACAGCAATATACGGTCGTGATATAATAAATATAATTGCACACCGTGGACGCCATTTAAAATATTTAAACTAGCCTATAACACGGTATTGAATTCCAATACCAACAGGTCGAACACTCGGAACGGCCGAAAGAGGAAAACAAATTATTATTGTAAAAACAAAGAAAAACAACAACCGAAAGCGACCACCGCACGTCTCGACCTACTCGCACACGAAAAAATAATCCTAGACAATGAGACAGTGGGATTATTATACGTAAGCCCGGGAAAAAATGATAACGAATCCGTTGGACGTGCTGCATTTTTTTTTTTTTTTTTTTGGATTCGACAATACTATAGGTTTAATCGGAATACCGATTTCGTTTGTCGAACGTAAACGGTTTAATGAAAACGCGAGAAATACTGTTATGTTCCCAATTAAACGGAATTATTTGCACGGCGCGAGAAAGATTTTAATAGATGCGAATTTCGCGAGGGAAAAGTTAAAAAATTTCTCGTAACAATCTATTTCGGAACCTCTTCCGCTAGACAGGCACACCGTTACGTCACATAATAATACTTGCGCCGATCGCCGCGGTCTCGCGGAAAGAACCGTTCATCGCATGGAGCGTCTCGTACTCGCCGCGGACCGTATTGCAAGCCGGGTTATTCGAACAGCCCTCAGTACCACAGGTGTCAGCCGCCGTCTTATCGCGTGATGATAATAAAACTCGGGCGCTCCGCGTTATTATTACAGGTGCCTACCCCACGACGTTTACCCGCGACGATCCGGCCGCAGACGGGCGTCCGGCACATCCGTATTTATTATTGTTCCAAACGTACCCCGCACGACATCTGCACGCCACGGCGGTTGATCTCGCATTTTTATTACGCGTTTTCGATCTACCGGGTGAACAGGTGTCGCGGGTATTATTATTACGGCGGTCGGTTAGGTTAGGCACAACAACAATAACAATGATGTTACTAATTTTACTGTCTGTCAGTGTCGCTCGGCCCGATACCCGAACCTCGAAACGTGTAACCAGAGGCGTGTGACGAACGATTTATGCCGCGCACCTCTATCCGGGTAGGTATTGCGGGTATACGGCGTGAACTCAACCGACCGAGAGATGCATTACTGTGTACGCGGCGACGGATTCGTCCGGTCGGCCGGTAATCGAACGGAAACCGAAAACGCCGACGAAGTAATGGGCAAAAAAAAAACAAAAAACACAAACTCCCTACGATTACACGGCACCGTGATAATGTCGAACGTACCTGCATTAGATATTATATATTATACAGGCGTCTGAAAACGCTCTTTCGTTTACACCACGTTTAGAGGTTTAACGAAATCGGTACACAATATTATGATTTTTCCAAACAGATTCTACTCACGTTCGTGCCCTATGCGACGTCTATAATAATAGGTGTTGATAATATATAAGGTACATGGACGTTGTTCACATCGTTGGCGGCCGGTATCTTCCAACGGGCACGGACGTCGGCGTAAACACGGGCCTGCGGCGGCGGCGGAGCGACAAAAACAATACGTTTGACAAGGGAAAAATAATAATAAAACAAATTGAAAAACGAAAAACAACGTTGTTTATTATTATTGTCGGCGGAGGCGGCGGCGGCGGACAGGCCGAACGTCAACAAACACGACAGACCGACTGATGACGACGAGTGGGGCGGCAGTAGTAGAAGTGTAACTCATGGCAACCGGCGCGGCGACAGGCGTACAGTGTTACCGGATGTACCGGGCCAAAACCAACGTGAAGTTACCGTGCGCGTCGGTGCTGAAGTAGCCGCAGCTGCCGGCTGCAAGCTGCAGGTCGCGCGTCGACCGCCGTTGTGACTTTCTCGGTATCGATTCGCCTCCCGAAAAAAAATTATCGCAGGAATTTTGATATATTATTAGTTATATTATTCTATCGCTCATTTGACGGAGAACCGCCGTAAAATATTTCTGCCGTGACAACAGCGGCGCGACGGCGGCGGGTTCCCCCGTCCCGGATTCCGCGATAAAACGTCCACGACTACAATAATATTCGCGCGTTGGCGGCGCGTCATCGCTTTTGAAATTCGCCGCAAAAACCGCGAGAAAAAAAAAAAGTCGCTACACTCGCTGCGGACAGGATTCGAACCTGTGCGGGCAGAGTCCATTGGATTTCGAGTCCAACTCTAACCACTCGGGACACCGCAGCATCCGTGGAGAACAGGTCGATAAACGCCATAATCTAAACGAAATCGATTATAATAATATTATTGTTTCGTTTTTTTATAATTAAATTTTTTTTTTTTTTTTTTGTTGCTGATACGTGTGCCATTGTTCAGGAGCGAATACGCTGGAAGGGAAGATATTTAGAGTAATTTAACTCGTGTCTGTTATTCCGCACGCAACAATAAACTATTCCAAACGCAAAACGAATCTGAACAGAGTACCATAATTATTCATATTGTTTCTTTTGTAATCAAGATAATCCGAGAATTAACAAAAATTGTCCAAAATATCAACAATTTGATCCATTTGTTAAGAAGATAACATCGAAAATATAAAAATAAAAATGCCCCTCCCCCAATGCACCAATACTAGACCAAAAATGGTACAGACAAATTGCCATTATTGTCTGGTAGAAACGTTATTAACAGACAAAAAACCAACGGATATACTTCGCACAATGGGTGAACCACTGTTGTAGGTGAAAAGTTGGGAAGGTACACTGAAAACAATTGGTGTATGTCTACAACAGGATAGTTTTGTTAAAACTTAATTAGTTGATACTGCCTAGGTATATACCTGTCATAGGTTACTTTTCTTAATTATGAATACTAACATGAGTACCTTAAATAAACGCTTTGCATTTATAACGTGCACTTTAAAAAGTACAGAAACCCAAACTGACGAATGGACCGAAATAGACAAGCGATGTCAGGACCTTTTACGCGCAAACACTGAACAACGAATATTGTAATATACCGGAGGAATACACAGTTAAAGGCATTAGAAACCAAGTTAGTAGAAGGTAATATAGAAAAAAGAAAATGTTAAAATAATATAATGAATTGAAACGCAAGTTCTCGCCTATTGATGAGGAAAACTCTAATTATAGAAGATCATTAAAGAAAAAAAAAATGAGAAACACGATATGTCAACTTTATAAATCCTATTAAACAATATACTGTTATAATTTCTATTTATCTACAGATGCCTATTTTATAATAAGTTTTAGATTTTGAGCGTAGCGAGGAAGCTATTGATTTTACTAAGATGTTTATTTTTTTTTTTGTCTAGCTTGTGAACACTTTTTCTTCTAGTAAACTTGCTCCTAATTTTACGAGTAGTAACTTTTCTGAAAGCTCAAGTTGTCTAGATGGTACTGTAAACAAGTCATTTTTTGATTTTCGACGCCATTTTTTAAATAAAAGCACTTAAGTGGGAAAAAAGATAGGAACCGTACAATTTCACGATTTCATTATTTTATAAAAACATAGACGGCGAAGTAACTCAAACTACAGCTAAGGAATTGTCATCTTCAATAAATATTGCATTGCAATTTTCATTTTTTCTAATAAATAGTTTCGAATCATAGTCCAATGACCATTATGAGAATGGAGATAAAAACCTTGAAAAAAAACGATAATAAACCTAACCAATTAGAACAAACTCATGGAAGTCAATTATTAATTAAGAGTTATTTTGTGTTATACTAATGATATTATAAGTACCCAGATAGCAAATATATTCTCAAGTTGCGAGTCCTGCTTGGAATAGTCAAAACGTATACCTACTCAGTTTATCGTAAATTCGTAAAATAAACTTTTTTTTGGTTTTCTCCAATTATAATGAAAAGTGTTTGGATAATCAAAAAATTACCTCTTTAATACACCAACTAGATGGTGATGTAGCTTATCATTCGGGAATATTCCAGGAAAGCTGATGGCCTATCCATTCTTATATTATCTATAGTTTGACTCGATGAACAATTTTCAACTAAAGATAATACTTGCGTAATGTAAACGTATGTAATAGATATAATGTATACACAAAATTAAAGTTTACAACATTGACTATAATCATTAAGTTTATTAAAAATTATAATGGGTTTCACTCACCATTTTTTAGTAAACACTTTTGAAAAAAGCCAAAAATTAACTTCCGTACGATGATAACAGAAATTTATAAACAAAATTATATTTATTTTGTCAGATACAGTTCTAATCAGTAAAATAATGGTTATTCTTTACGTCAAAATTTGATGTTATCTACTCTAAGTTATTATCAATTCATTATCTTACCCGAATATAGTCAATTTACACAGGTTCCCCCTACATATTTTAAACGTCAGAACACTGCAAAAACGAATAATTTAAATTTTGATATTTTTACACTATTAGTATTATGTATATGTAGTTTTAAACGAGGATAGCCAACCCCAAAAAGTTGGGATGAAGGTGAAGGAGAAAAAGTATTATACATACGTATATTATATTTAGGAATTGTAAAACAATCTGCATATGAAATATCGATACTAATCAGATGTTTTGGATTAATTATTGACGATTTTGTCCCTCCTGAATAACCAATATGGGCTCATTATATAACTTTACTCGAAGTCTTAGATATTATGCTATCACACTTGAAGAAAAAAGTATTTATTTACTAAAAACTTTGATAGCTTAACTAAATTAGCTTTACTTAAAATACAGCAACAATTGTCTTAAACCAAAATTCCATTTCTTGGTCCATTACCCCTCTATGATTAAAAAGTTTGGTCCTGTTAGTTATTTATGGGCAATAAGATATGAGGCAAAGCACAGAAGTTTAAAAATTACTGCTGGGTCGTCATTCAATAGATGAAATATTTGTTTAACTTTGGCCATTAAACAATTAGTTTACAATATATAATATTAAATAAATATTTGTTTTTAATATGTAACCAATCCACACCTCTTGTATATTATTGACTACAAAACGTTTTTATTCACCATTCTTTTTAAATATTTTTGATTTTTCACTTTTTAATTAATTAAGAAGAAATCATAAATTGTATTACCTATTAGGTTACATAATTTATTGTTTATACATTTAAATACCTGCCTACTCTTTAATTATTTAACAATATAGTTGAACAATAAATAATGTAAGTGTATAGTTATGTAGTATGAAATGTACGTATATGTATATTGTATACTTATGCATAATTTATTTAAACATATGTGTAAATTATTGTACCATTATGTAATCGTTAAACAATGGTTCGCAGCTAGTATGTTTATAGATTGTTCCATTAACAATAATATAAAATAAACATTTGTTATGCCTACAGAGGTTTTACCCGCAAACATACTAGTATGTGTAGTATGTGTTTTGTTAAGTATACAAGAATGTATGTGTTTCTGTTACATTATTCCTGTAAGTATTACCAGATCAAGTTTAATACTAAACACGATTGCTCTTGTAAAACCAACATAATATGACGGCCAACTATAACGTATAAGTGTTCTCAACTGAAATTACTGCCGTCTCTGAGCCAATTACTTTTCATTGTTATGATTGCCATAATTCGATTATCAGAACCGTATTTTCATTTCAGTGATAGATGGAAAATTTAATGTATATCTGCCTGCATGCAAAGAATTAACAATTGCCAACGACAGGGCTTATTGTAAAGCGCAGTTGGGCTTATTTTGTGTACTCAGAAAATCCTAGATGCGTACTTGATAATCAACAATGTTTGAATTAAAAAAAAAAAAAAAAAAAACAACATTTTCAGATATAATATCAATGTGTCGTTGCATTACGATGGATCGGCGATCGTTCGCGGTGAGGCAGGTGTCGTAAGATACACGCGGCAATTGTTAATATTATACGCGGAACGTCTGCGCCGTGCGGGCGACCTCCGGCCAGTATCCAGGACCGTGCCAGGCACACTGACTGGATCGCGGAGGGGCGCGAGCTGGCTCGTCGACGAGCCGCCGCGGACCGTTACGCGAAATCGTTATTCGTTAAATAAAACGCACGATAATATCCGTTATAGGGCGGGCTGGTGTATTGATGATTGCACTGTCGAAAAAATTCGCATCGGCATGGCCGGGGCCGCGGACGCCGGTCGCACTACCGTGCGAAAAACACGCGCGCAACGGCCGTCGCCGCCAAGGGACGAGTTCAAAGCGCTCGTGTACCTCGCGGTAGAAAGGAAAACACAAACCGACAGAATATTGCCGTTTCTCGAATCGGCGTACTGGCCGCTACTCGGCGTGGCGTGCAAAAACGAAAATCGCAACGGCGTAAAAATACCGAACTGTAAAAACGTGAAAAAATGATACTGCGGGACGGGCGAACGTCGACGGCACAACGGTCGCCGATGGAAATGACGAGCGGCCCGCGGCGAGCGGTGATCGAACGACGACGGCGAATACCGTCGTCCCCGCTCGGCAGTGGCAAAGGCCGGGCGCGGGGGGACGGGGTAAACTAGTTTGACGACCAATTTTTACCGACACCAACTTATGGGATACCGCTGATTTTATAAATGTATAATTGTATTATATTAGGGGTGGCAAATTATTTAAACACTGCGTGCCAAAAATGACCTCTTTTTATTTTTTTCAAGCGTGCCATGAAAAATATTAAATATTTATCATATTCAATATTGTAAGAAAAAAAATTATCGTAATTGTATTACATAATTAATGTATTAATATAAAAAAAAAAGGTTGGTTTAGGTACCTACATAATATAAAATAAAAATATTTTAGTTTTTCGCGTGCCACCTCGAACACGCGTGCCATGGATTTGCCACCCCTGTATTATATTGTACATGGACGAATTAAGATATCTTAATCCGTGGACCGTGATAGACCGTAACATCATTACATCCGATGGTCGAACGCTGTCCACGATCGTATAGTTATTAAGTACTCGCGTCATTTGGCGACGTCCACCACATTAACACTACTTGAGATGGGATACGGGACAATTATTACAAGCGCTTTATGACGGCCGGGGCGCCAAAACCTTTATACAATCCAAGTAATATTGCCAAAAGATTGTGTAGGTCATCGAGAGAAAAAAAAGGCTATCAGACGTCGTAAAGTTCTATTTGTATTTAGAGATATCATCGGCCGTCTTCGATCTTATCCTACCGACGACCGTCTTATTATTTTTCGATGTACGTATTTTTTATTATTTTATATGTGTGTATTTTATTTTGAACCAATCCATATAATAGTGTTCTCTTCATAATTAATAATGCATTTATGCAGAAGTTACATAGTGGTATCTTATGTAAAACTCACATTATCACAATATCACGTATTTAAATACGAAGTGATAGAGGAAGATAGATAAAAATTATATAATACTTTAAACAATGTCATTAAAAGGAGTCGAAGAGCAGTATTTTTTGGGCGCAGGGCAAGTTGGACAGAGGTGCTGAGGAATTTTGGATACTATTGAAACAGCTTGTATAAATACTGTAGGTCATGATATTACTGAATATATTTTTAAAAATAGAACTTCGAACTAGAGAACTACAACTGTTTAAGGAAAACAATATTAAACTAATAAGGATACCAACATTTTTTCAAACCTAAAATAACCTAACCTTTCTTTTAGTCTAGTTAACGCAATATTAATTTCATGAAAATCTCTGGTTATATATATGCAAAGTTGTAAAATGAAAAAGTCTAACGGTTTTTTATTATTATTAACTAATTATTACTAACACTATTTATTTATTAGCGTTTTTGACAGATGTGTTGGCCATTTTTAGTGGTTATCAACTATTCAAAGTGATATAATAATGGTTTTGTATCTTGTTAAGCACACTGAGTCAGTTGTAAACAAAACTAAATGAAATTCAATTAATTTAGTAGATGGTTGGGCAGATGTATTCAAAGATGAACTGTTGGAACTGATGAAGATATTGATGGAAACCCTAAAAGGAATAAAATTAATTGATTTTCAAGAAAAATGAAAACATAGACATAATTTGTATGTTACTGAAAATAGATCTGTAAAGTATCATATACCAAGAAATAGACACATTGTCAAATTTCTTGCAAGACCGCATAGATATTAATAAGTATTTTATTAGTAATATCATTGATTATAGCATAGTCTATTCCATAATCAATGGTATTATTAAACTTCTTGTTAACCTTGATTATATGTTAACATTAAAAATTCAATTGACGTTTTGAGTAATGATTTTAATTTAGCTGATTTTAAATATGGAGTATACAGATTTAATTGAACATAATAGATTAGAAGAAATACAACAAAATGCTATTATCTAAATTAGTGCAATATTTATTTGAGTCCAGCGAGTTTAAACATATTACTATTTTACTTAGTTATGTTATAACTGCAAAACCTCACAACACTGGTGTTGAACAATTAATAAATAAAAGCATTATTCTTAAATCAATAAATTGTCAAAGTTTGCATTTAAAAACAAAAAATGAATATATTTTTTATTAATTTTAAAATGCCTCTCTTTGAAATTGAGATCTAAGACCAGCAATACGTTATACAGATATAGTTAAACCAAAATTAGCACTGCATTAAAAACACACCTAAAGCCAATAGTTTATTGGGATATTCATAGAAGCAACAAAAAAAATTGAAGTCCAAACAAATAATAAAAAAAAAGAACATTCTAACATTAAAAATGTAAATATCACAACAAATATAGATATTAAGCCATAAGACCAAATTATAAAAATAAAAATAAAGAGAATTCAATTACTATCCAATATTATTTGGTGATCAAAAATTGTAATTAAAAAAAAAATACTCATAACAAGTGTGCACTAATAAGCCATCAATATTATGCTATTTTAGGTATCTATACAATATGTTAAGTCAAGAGAGTATTCTGTGCAATTTATGGTCAGTTTAAAAATAAGTACAGCTCATTTATTATTACCAAAATAGCAAACTAGAGACTAATTATCATTATATTGTTTTATTCATATCAGTGCAAATATTTATTTAGTATGTATTTATAAATACATTAATAAACAACTTAAATCTAATATTTTGGAAAAATAAATTTGATGCATACCTCAAAATCCTTGGTGGAGCTTGTGTGAACCAATTCATAATACTGGATATTGCATCAGTTTTATAATCATTGTAAGTTGTGAAAGTTTTACCAACACCAGTTAATTACCACAAATTTTACCAATTTATTAAAATATTCTTGATCACCAGATGCAAGTTTAGATTCAATAACCAAAAGTTGTTCATCATTTTGTATAAGAAATGTTGAAAGTATGTCACCAGTTCTATTTTAATTAAATGTGTTATTTTGTGATAAAATATCTTTGTTTCCAACAAATAATGTTAATTCAAGTTTCAAATAGTTCATTTGTGATTTGAAATTATAGAAATCAGCTATATTTTTTTTAAAATTTACTTTTAAAAATATTAACAAGTAAATAACTGTTTTCTTATGAAATCTTACCAGATAAACGACATAGTTGATGTCCCAAAGATACTACCATCTGACATTTAAAATCTTCATGGCCAATGTTAATTTTCGGTTCAAATGAACAAGAGTAATATGTTTTGCTGGTCAAGTCACAGTTGTTTATAATATCATTATCTAAGTTTGATACATAACCTGAAATGAAGTAAAAATTATTATAACTTACATTATAATAATAATATTCAAAGTTTCAATTTCTTATAAACCTTAATGTGCAAATTTGGAACAATGTACCTTAAAAGTTAATATTTTTAAACTATAGTACATATACGAATAATTATTTATTTGACAAGCACAAGTACAAATTTTAGGTATTAGTATACAAAACTATTTAAATTATTGAATAATAAATAGAATATTTATAAAACTAATTGTTTTTAAATGTAATTAATAAATATAATTTAATATTTTGATTACCTTCTTTAAAAAGACTTGTATCTATTTAAAATTTGAACCTTTGTATTACATTAAATATGAACAAATTTAAAAGAAAATCATTTACCTGTATCTGAAATCTTTCTATAAACTGATTCATCTTTGATTTGAATTCTGTCTAAACCTAAAACATATATTTTATAGATAATTATTTAAATACATAGTAATATTATAAACTTGAGATTTTATGACATAGCTATAAATCAAATGCTAAAGTAATTATTAGTTTTTATTAGTTATTAATTAGTTATTAACAAAACATATGATTTCATAAAAAATAATAATGTAACAATATTAAACAGTGAACCCACTAATATATACCAAAAGCTAATTAATAATAATATTAAAAATGTCACAGAAATAATAAAACCCTGAGACAAAAAAATTAATAACAATATACAAGCCAACAACTACATTCCTTTATTAAATTGCATAAAAAAGATCATTCAGTAAGACCTCTAGTAAATTTCAAAACTTCCCCTTCATACAAACTTGTAAAATATTTAGATAAATATATAATAACCAACTTAAATATCGAAACTTACATTCCATCAAAAATACTTATACCTTTAATAATAATATTAAAGTTTACAATATACCACTAGGATGCAAAATTATGATTTCATTAGACATCAAAACCGTATACACTTCAATTCTCAAATTAGAAGCAATATAAATTTTAAATGGTAATTTAACTAAACTAAATAAAACAAACACTAAAGAAATTAATGAAACCAGAACAATTGCTGAAATTATTACTAACCAAAACTATTTTATTTACAATAATATAGTATAAACACAACCAGAAGGTTTAATTATGGGTAGTCCATTAGTGCCCTTCTTTCAGAAATATACCTATAAAATTATGAAAACAAACACATTATAAAAATCCCAACATAAAATAATATTATAGATATGTAGATGACACTTTTAAAATATTTAAAAGCGCAGACAGGCACAAAACATGGTTAGTGAATTTAACAAAATCAATGATTATATTCAATTTACTATAGAAATACAAAATAATAATCAATTAAACTTTTTAGACCTTAATATTAAAATTATTAACAATAAATTTGAATTCAATACCTATAGAAAACCTACACAGACGCCATAATACCTAATGACAATCTTACTACCTGTATAAATAAGAACAATAATAACCAAATTTAAAAACCCCCCTTCAATATATACAATATCATTAATTTACCAAATAATAAAATCAATATAAATAATAATAAATCAGTAAATAAATTTGATAAACTAGGTATTTATAAATTACAATGTGAATGTAACAAAATATATGTATAGGTATAAAATAGATAGAAACTTTAAAACCAGATTCAAAAAATATACATCTGAAATTAGATTATAAAAAAAAAAAATCCCAAATCAAACTTTGCCAAACATGTTTTGAAAGTAACCACAACATTACAAATAATATTGAAAAAGATTTATCAATAATATGCACACAAAAATTCAATACTAGAAAGTTACCATATTCATAATAAAATAAAAAACAACAATTTCAATAATTTATTAAATGTTCAACCAAATTTTAAAAATAATATTTTATTTTCTTGTCAACATAAACTTAAAGATGATAATAATAGTGATAACATTATTTAATCAAATTTCTGTACTATCATCGTTTGTTATAAAAATATGTACATATATTTTGAATGATATTATAACAACTATGTTTATTTTTGTTTTGAAATTTATAATATTCCTTTTTTAAATTATATTATGTAAACCATTTAATTACATTGTTTATCTGTTTATCAGCAACCTAATGATGGCATAAGATGAAACTAAATAGTTGTGTAAATATAACTTAATATACGCTTTATGTCAAATTTTTATATAACATAGTAATAATTCTGTTTAAATTAACAAATAAAATATATGTACCTACCAATAGAATTTATTTTTTGATGAAAAGTACTTGTAGTAGGAGTACTAACAGATATAACTTCTGAATCCATATGCATTTCTAAAAAAAATAAAAGTATGAGATATTGTCTACATTAATATTCGATTTACCAATTACCTCTTTTCTTATTGAGAAATGATAAAAACTTTAAATCATTTTTTATATATTCCGAGCCGATTATAGATACATCCTGAGTGATTACATCTCCATCATTATCTGAATCAGAATTAATGAAACCTTGAAACAAATGTTGACATTGTGGTTTATGCCTCATGCCACAGACTTTTTGTTCAGCATCAAAATGTAAATTTGTTTTCCAATAATTTATACATTAATTTAATCCTATATTCAATATCATCTGTTAATTAATAAACATTTATTTACTTTATTAATTTGTTACGCTAGTAAAATTAATACAAACAATTTATTTATAATTATCAATGTCTCGTTCTATTATTTTTATATTAAACTTTTCCCATTTATTTTGATCAGATGCAGTTTTTTTATTAACAAGAGATTTAATGACTGATAAACAAAAAGCCATTGGGTGAAAACAAGTTTGATTATCAATAATCTAAATATTTAAAATTAAATCTGAAGTTTTGTCATTTATAGACTCATATAATTTAATTAGGGTCCACATTCTAAAATAAAATAAATAATATTATAGGCGTATACATTTTGTATACATAAAGTAATAGAGTACCACTATAATAAGTTCTTAGAACCTATAACTATAAGTTTTATCATATAGACAATATATCCATAGGTCTTGGGACAATTAGAGCAAAATTATTTTAAAAGTGTATAATATAAAATACTGAATAAAAGATGTACAAGTATGATGGTATTGGAATAGATGGATAGTAATAATATGATATATCACCAATATTTTAATTGTATATACAAAACTAAAAGAAAAAAATAGTTGATACTGAGGATAGGAGCGGCCACTGTTGTAGATGAAAAGTTGGTAAGCTAGGATACATAAGGTTATTTCATTTATATCAGTAAGCAATGAAATATTATTTTTTTAAATGCTTAATAAACCAGATACGGCTGTAGCAGTTATATTGTGCTTAATTGTCCAAGAACAGAGACTATCTTTAATCCAGGAGACTTTTCTATTCAATCGGTGGATTCAGTATAAAAATTTAATGTTAGAAATAGAGGAATGTACCCATGTAATAATACGTTAACATTCAATATATTTAATAATAGAGTTCATAAACTACTAATTTCTCCTAAAACTTCATGATCTGATCTTATTTTAGCAAAGTTTATATATAATATTTATGATGTTTAATGTGAACAAAATGGTGTACTTACCTCGCGGCTCGTACTGAAGATATTTTGTTCTCGACCTAACCTGCATTCAAAATTAAAATAGATACCACTAAAGTACAAACGAGTGATGAAAGATGATCAGTGAAACGAAGTACGGACAGTTAATAGTCACAATAGTAATTACTAATGAGTAACACGCACGGCAATTCCGTTGTACCGCATGCATTAACGTAAAACGTACGAAAATGGTCAAAATACGGTTAGAATAATAAGAATAATAATAACATGATAATGATAATACCATAGAGTGTGTAAAACATTATAGACCTGATAATATGTTTATAGGTCTACGGCATAAACATATATACTATCATAGATGAGCAATTTATTACCCTTCTAGGGTTGCCAACTTTTAAATTATGTGATGTAGAACAATTTATTTCACGTCTTATTTTACTTCATTAGTAGTTTAATGAGAAATGTAATATCAGCAGAAAGGTATATTACCTAGGTATGACTTTTAACAAATAATCTACATTTTGTTCATAACTTTTTTTTCTAATCTTTGTTTACTCATTTGACTTGGAGAATTCTTACAATATATCAGATATGCAAATTGTTAATAAATAGCAAGGTAAGTACATTTACTATTTAAAATATGTATAAGTTACAATGTGTAATAAAATATTATTTATCTATATTCTATTAACAATTGATTTTTCTCACGATATCAAATCATAGATATAAATAATAGAATTAGAAAATTTAACAAATCTGTAACAAGTTTTTAGATACTTAGTAAGTATATAATTATTTATTGTCTTAAATTACACTTTAGTAGGTACTATATAAGTGATAAACGATAACTTAATCAGTACCTATAATCAAAAAAAAATACCTAATAATGAATTATTAAAAGAATTTTTCATAGACCTTAAACTACAACCTATCATTAACCTAATAACATGATCAGGGGCGGATTGGGAAAATAGTAAATAGTAAATAAACCGACACGAGGTTGTTGTAAATAATGTTGAATTACATCCATGCAATTTTTAAGTTTCAACCACAAACATTTTTTACTATAATAAAATAACCAATTTATTATAGGTATATAGCTGTGTAATAATATATTTATATTTTTGTAAAAGTTGCAATATCTTAATATATTATATTTTGACTCTCTTTCCCATAAATTAGGTCCATTCCCAATTTTATATTTAGACCTTTCCATAAGTATATTACCTCACTTGAAATTCTTCATATTCCATACTTTATATTTAATTTTTTTAACTTAGGTACGCTATTTCGAAAAATTGTTTTATTAAGCAAAAAAAAAAAATATGACTATCTGTTAAAAAAACAACCACCTTTCCCTTTTGATACATTAAATTCACTCATACTGACGAAAAATGTTCATAAAATCTCACAAGAAGATTAGACATTTCTAATTAATAGGTACCTATTAGAATAATAAGTAATACAAGTTAACAAAACATGCATATGCGTTGTCGGTTAGTGTCGAAGAGAGTAAGTAGAAATTATTCGTGCAATGTTGAATCCAGGTATATACAGAGGGCGATTTTGTTCGCTCTTCCCCCTTGTTAAATGTAGAAAAAATAAAATATAAAAAATAAAACAATTACGTTTTGATTAAAATTGTATTCATAAAAAAAAAGTCATTACTATAATTTTTAGTGATGCCCCCCCCCCCGACAAATTTTCTGGATCGACACTGGTCGTACGAGCAACTAGACCGACATAAGTACCTGCATGATGTTATAAACACTGTGCTCGATGGACGATGCGAACATACTATTGTATACATAAAAACATATATAACGCTAATTGTGATAATAATTTTACAAAATAATACCACAGATCAAATGAAACATTGAACATTAGATAATAACATTTTTAACTAATCTGCGATACCTAATCTAGATAATCGTCTCTTATTGTTTATTTTCCTACTTCTTTTTTTTTTATCAAAAAACATTCATAAATCACGATTTGTTTATTGAATTGAACAATAATTAGAAAAAAGATTAAAAATTATATTCGTCAAATATAAAATTATATACCAATAAGGACGCCCGGAGTTGAAAATTCAGGGGCAGACAGTCTTAATTTTTATTAATAATCAAACACTTTTATTAATGTATTAAGTATATTTTCAAAAATGTGTAAAGGTATTAAAATATAATGTTAAATTTTTCACTTATAGTAATTGAACACAAATTGCAATTTAATTTTTTTTTTCCAAATTCAATTTGGACGCCCATTTTATATATCGTGTGTTCATGATATGAAGTATCCCTTAATATTTCAGCTGGATAACTTTTGATTGAAATAGTGTTTTCGGGAGATGGTAGGGAGTAATTTATTTTTAGATGACAACTATAATTTTTTTCTACGGATTTAGGTTGAATTTTAATGTAATTTAATGGTATGTGTAAAAATAGCAAACTAATAATATTAATTTTAGTAGCTTGATTATAAAATAATTATTACTAAAATTTTGTTAAAAGATTATCCGTAAAATTTAAATTTCCACACACTGTAACTTTGCCAATATAGTAATTAGAAAAAAACATGTTTATAAAAAGAGTTTAGTAAAAATAACTCTACCTGAATCTGTTGGAAAAAATTTAAGTTGCAATAAAAAAGAAAAAGTTAAATAATTAATTGTACGCATGCGCTAATCGAAGGATTAAGGGGAAATGTGTATTTCAGTACTCCATATCCTGAAAACCCCTGTTTCAATCCATGGTCATCCCATTGATATATTAAACGGTATCTCATATCTTGAACGCAGTATGGACAAACTTAATCGTATAACTAAAGTCACTTCTTCTAAAATGCAATTTATTTTTTCCCAGGGTATTTATTGTTCATATTATATTGTATAGTCTCGATTAGAAACAGAATTGTACAAATTTGTCTATAGAGTTAAAAGCAACAGAGTAGCTATATATAGCTAGGAGGTATAGGTAGTCATAGGCGGTAATATGGTATTCCGGGGGGGTTGCAGAGTATGCAACTGCACCTCCTGTGGATTCATTATCGCTACCCTATACATTAACATTATTTACATTTTATACACACAAATGTGCCAAAGGTAGGTCTGGTTTGGAGTTTTAACATAGTTCAAATTGTTATAGAGGTTACTCAACAGAACATTATTTTTGATGTCCAGCGTTTGTCTTCAATTACGACCTGTGTTAAGATTAATAGTTGTTGATAGAAGTATTCACACCAAAATTTTACATTTTGTATTAGGTATGTAATTGATTATTATCAACTAGCAAACCACAATATTCTGAATTCATAAACGATTACTCGTTTTTCGTATTATGCGCTTGATTCTGAACTTCTCAAATAAATCGAAATTATTGATACCAGCTGAACGTTACGTAGAGCTTTGAGACCGTGTAAAATACCTATAATAATAATATGTGACTAAATAATGTGTATGATAATATAAATAACGAAATTATAAACTTTTAAAATTCTTAGTTTTAAAGTAACAAAATAAATCAATTTTATTTAATCGTTTTATAACATCGTTTTTAATAGTATAACTAGCCTAAACATTTTGACGAAATATTGTTAAAAATGTACTTAAACAATTTTCTACCCCCTCCCCTGACAAGAGAGTATTATATAGATTCTATATTATAGAATATTATATAAAATCAGCTCTTTAATTAAATACGTATATAATAAAGAATTTTAAGGTTATAAAGATAAAATATTTCACTCCTTAATCAAAACTGCAGTGTTATACAAATACTATGCATATTGTGGAGTATCTGAAGTAATAAGTACCTCTTCAATCGCAGCGTCAAATACAAACATTACGCTCAAGTATAATTAAAAATTAAATGTAGTTAAAATTAAAACGATAATTTTCGCATTGTTAGTGTATTATCGTGTGTTGAAAAAAAAAAAAATTCCACTTCAATGAATCTGCAAAAATAATCGTATGAATAGTATAAAT